ACACTGCTTGCTTGAAAAACTGTCCATAGTCCACTGAATGGTCACGCGTAGCCTCCATGAAAATCAGTTGTTTGTAAACACGTGGGTCCATTTCTGTTCTTTCAATTGTATTCTCCTGATGCATACTTCATTCTGATCCAGTACCAGCCTGTCTAGAATGCCTCTTCTTTGCAGTAAATTTTGAAAACAAGAAATGTGAATCCTCCAACTCTGTGACTCTCTTAAGAATGACCAGACCTGCTCATCAATGTGCTAAGTTCTCATAGTTTTCCCTCTTTGAACAAGAATCATCCTATTTGTCTCCAGTAGCACAGCAGCCAGTATTTAGTGGACATATCCCATGGGTTCCTACGTCCACTTCCGGGTGTTATTTCAGAATTCTTCAAACACATGACTCCTTGCATACCCACTTCCCTGTGCACTCATGCTGACTGATGAGACCCCCATGGAAATCCAGGGGTCCCACACTGTCAGGGGCAGCACAGAGGCCAGGGCCTCTCTGTCCCACTCCACAGAAGGCATCACATTGGTAGTGGGAGGTGTCTGGTTTGCTTCTTTCTTTGTCAGTTTTCATGTCTATCACATAGGTCACTGTTTTACAGTATAGAAGGAGTTTGCCAACTAACAAATTTCCAAGATTCCTTTAGAAAATTCTCATGAGGAAAAGGTATATTCACATGCCAGTCTTCAACAAAAATGACTGGCTGTTTTAAAAGCGTGGAGTGAGTTTATGAGACAATGACAAAACCCTTTATATCCACATCTTTATTTTGAACAATTTTCTGTGATAGCTAGGAGAATACAGCATTAATGACACAAACACTAAGCACAACATTAGACAACTATGAATTTAGAGCACAAACATCATTCTGATATTATTTTGGTTTTCATATTAGTACTAGATGATATCCAGGGAAAGCCCAGATTTCAAAGGTTTTTGCTGATATGAGGTGAATAAGTATTATTTTCCGACTTCCCTGTGATATACGCTGGAACAGAATCAGTGAGAAATAGAGTTGACAATGTCTTTCACTTCTCAGTCCTCCTGCTTCCTGCTCAGTGGATGAATATTTCACCTAAAAACTTTTCAAAGATTAACCATATCAGTATTTTTCTAGGCAAATCAAAAAGTTCATTCTGCAGATTCAACAAAGAAAAAAAAATATTTGGAAACTGCAACATTCAATTTCATTGTAATCAAAATGCATGTTCAGTTCATAGTGAATTAATAAATAAGGTTAATAATTATGAGACACAAAATGTCATGAGTTCATTTTCTGTGTAACACTGTCACAGCAATTTAAATTTTCCAGGAACACAAAAAAAAGTCAGTGTTACTCTAGGACCCCACAAAAAGACATAACCAGGATTCATAGATTACAGCATACAGGTCCACATTTGAAGAAAAATTCACCATTTGTTGGAAAAAATAATGGCTCTAAGGTGTCAGAGAGCTTCAAATGCAAGCTAAAATATTATATCATGTGGTAAAAATAAGATATTTGAAACTACTGACTCTGAGAAATTCATGAAAATGTACCGACTACCAGTGAACTGTACATCAGTCTCAAAAAACTCAAACATTTTTCTTTCAAGTGTTTCAAGCAATATTATATTAATGAAATGTTAGCTATTTTCAGAATTTAATAATGCCCACTAAACTAATAAACATTTTAAGTAGACCAAATTATAAAATTAAAAAAATGTACAAAATGCATTTTGAAAGATATTTTACATAGTACACTTCAGTTCCTGCTTTCTTGAGAACACTGCTGTAATTCCAGTTAGATCTATTGAATTTAGAGTAATACAGTGGGTCAGAATTCACAGCACTCATTCTTGTTTTTACTCAACCTTTTATAGCAGAGGGCTCTTACAAGTTTATTTCCTATGGAATGTCCAAGAAGTTTTAGCATTGTCTTTTATGACAATTAAGAATTAGTGGGAAGCAAGACATTCACGTATTCCCAAGTACCTGGCTGCTCTCTGTATTCTCCCCAGCATCCATTCACTCTTTTGTGCTAGAGTCCCCACTCAGGAACACTCTCAAAACTGATACTTCATCGGTTCTGAGATGGTTGTTACCCTCTAGTTCTAAACCCTGTTTGAAAACACTGGAAAGAAAAGGCAGGAGAAAGTAAGGCGGTGGGGGAAAGGGGTCATGCAGAAAGGGCAGAAGGCCACACCGAACCAAAACCCTTATGAAACCTTACAAACCAGCCAGATGTCCTCTCTAGGCAAGATAACCCTATGGAGGAGGAGTTCTGGAGAACTTAAGGCAGCTCTAGAAGGGGGTGGGGTAAGGGTTAAGGCGGCCCTCACAGCACAGCCTGAGAACAAACTGCAATGCACTTATCCATGAACAGAGGCCGTGGCAACACACAGAGCCTCAAACACACATGCAAACAGCACATCTCCTAGCTCCAAAGTAGACACTCATAGCATGCACACACTGTGGTATCCAGACACACATGGCTTGCACATTGTCTGTGTGCCAGATAGCCCCCAGCAGAGCTCCAGGGGCCTGGGTCCTTTGTGTTGAAGACCTAAATTGGGGACAGTGGCCTCCCCACAGCTTACCTCTGACTGCAGCAGGGATGCCAAGCACCGGGAGGTGGGTGACCTTCATCTTCACTTTGCAGCAGCTTTCACTGCTTCCCGTCTCTCTGGCCTAGCAATCTGCTACTAATGAATGCCATGCTGAAATGCAGAGTCCCAAAGAGCGCTGATTCACCACAAAGCCAGGTCCAGCTATGGCACCGAGTTAGGATTAAAGGGCAAACCACCTGCCAGGGGGCATTTGGTCTTGTTGGTACTCAGCCCTTGCTCAATTCCCTGATGCCCAGCTGGCACTCCATTTAAGGAAAAGGCCGGGGCAATTCCTGGGTAGGAGGAGGGAGAGCATGGGAACCTTATAACTCTCCAAGCCTACTTCCTGGCATCTAACCCCACTTCCCCTGCTTCACTCGGGAGAGCAGAATCATCAGAGTGGGCTGAGGACAAGTCACTGACCTGTCTGTGTCAGGCTATCTGTGAACAATCACGGAAACCATCCTATACCACCCCTGCTGCTGGGAGGAGGAAGTGCGCAAGACAAGAACACATCCAGACCCAGGGCCTGCTTCCGTGCCACCTTCCCCGTGACCTGTCACCTGCACGCTCTAGCTCCTGCCTCATGCCAAGCAGTCAACACTGCCAAGAGGTCCCCTGATTATGCCTCTGGAGGAGCTCTGAACTGGTGCCTTCCTTCACTGGTGCCGGAAGAGAGAGTAAGAGGGGTGAGCGAGAATGTGAGGACTTTCTCGGAGGCTGGCAGGTGCTCATCTTCCTCTAAGGGTTATTAAGAAGATAATTTTTCACCTGCAATCACCACATTAAATTCTGGTAACATATTTTCACAGGCTGCTCTACTATGATTAGTGAAAGATTTGATCTATGTTACACATTACTCACCCAGAAAGGGACAACATTCAAGTGAATGAAATAAATGAAGGCAGTGAAAAAAATGACAAAACAAAATATCCAAAGGGATTCATATGCCTGAATTTCCTATTAGTTGCTTTGGAAAATATTGCTGACGTAAAAAGAAGAGTCAGGGCCATGGGGAGCTCTGCTCGGTGGATTTTAGGCCACGCCCACCTTCTCCCCAGTTCTGGTTAGTCTCTGGCAAGGACAGCCTCAATCTAAGACAAGCCACAAAAAGTGAACCTGATGGTGAGACAGTCTGGGTGTGTGCTGAGGGAAGGGACCAACTGGGAAAGGACAAGAAACACCATGTACAGCTGTGGTGTCCAACACCTCTTCCTCTGAATTCCTATTGGTGTGTCACAGAGAAATGAGGAAAAAAGTTGATTTGTGATAACACTGCAGACCTATTGTAGACAAGGGAGGGCAGCGAGATTTATGCAAACACTGAACCCAGGGAAGGCCAGCACAACCAATTGAGGACCGACCCAACCCATCTGCCTGCAATACACAACAGCAGCCGAGTTGGCAGGGGAAGGGATGGATAATTGGGTGGAGGGAACGGGATAACAGAAAGCCTGGTAGAGATGTGTGTGTGTGAAGCTGGGTGAGAAAGCATGGATGCCAAAGGATGCCCATGTTCTACAGAGTCTTAAAAGTAGAGTCAGAGTCAGGAAAGTAGCGTATGAGGTCATTGATTAGGTCTTGGGGCTGGGGAGGGGGGTCCCTGGTTGTAAGGTGTATTGATCATCATGATGACTAAAAATCCTCAGGTCACAATGAGAAGTTAATTCTGATCCTCATCTGGGAAGGCCCTGCGGGAAGGTGGAAGCCTGGAGCAGCTCTGAGCCACTACTGCTGAAACACAAGTATTGGGGTGACCAGGGGCTCTCAGCCAGGTGTGGGAGAGTGGCTGCAGCTCTGCACAGCAAAGACAGGATGGACGGAGAGGCCCAGGGCAGACAGGCTTCAGGACACGAGCCACCTGGAGTAAGAGGGACAGCTGTAATGGCTTTGGAAATTACCATATGATCCCGAATCCTGGACAAGGTGTTGGAGTGGTGCTGGTGGAGAATGTCTTGCCTCATGGGACTAAGCTGGCCATAGGCCCACTGCCTGTACCAAGGCTGCAGTTCCTCAGACTTGGAGACATTCAGCACTCGCTAAATGGGAGTAAGAGTTCACTGTTCACTGAAAACTACCTTGACAACCAGGAAAAAAAGAGAATCTGATTGAATTAGTAGTGTTTTTTGTTAACATTACAAATAAATAAATGAGGTCAACTGAAGAAAGTAGCACGTGATATAACAAATTAAATGAATTTTCAAGTAATACAAATATAGGTTTTTTATGATGTATGTTCATGACTCATGTACATTAAGAACCTGTGATTTTATGTTTTGTTAAAGGGATGGACAGGCACTGTACACAAGTCCTCCCATCAGAGGAAGGATTTAGTGAGCAACTGCAGCTCTTTTCTCGAGGAGCCAAGCACTCAAGAGAATTCTAAACACGGGAGGGACAGCCAGGTTCAGTTGTCCAACCCTTTTATTTTATAAACAAGGAAACTGAGGTCCAAATAAGTTAGCAGACAATATTTATCATTTAATAACAACCTTTGTCATGGGTGTGAAACTGACTTCCATAAATAATATTGCACATATTTCAATAAGATATGTCATTTTTATAGACCATGTAGCGGTTAGATCATATAAATCTATGCTTGTATTTGAGAATCAGGGTTTCTAGTGAATGCTAAGAATTTGCTTTTTGTACAACCTGAACAGTTTATTGTATAACACTTCTAGAAAAAAAAAAAGAAAAGCATATTTAATTAGAATTTCAGAATGAAACCTTACAGAATCTGGGTCTTACTGAACCAAATCCTCTGTAAAACTCAACAGTCTTGTTATGCTTCTTATTTAAGTCTTCTTAAGCTAATTCTACTACGATGCTCTGTAAAGTATCTAGTGGTATCTGAGGACATTTACAGAAGTTGCAAAGCCTAAAGAAAAAACCTGAATCCTAACTAAATACCTATTATATACCTTCTTTTGCATAATTCATAATCGAAGTTTCAACACTTGAATAATAAAATTCTGATAATTCATTCTTGATAGTGACTGAGATTAAGTCTTAATAAGTCAAAACAGAAAACCCGTCCAGGTTGAAAACATAGAGTGCAGTAATCAGATCTGATAACTGAAGTCACTTCACAAACAACGCAGCCTGATGAGCCTGATGAGCCTGATGCACTGTCCACCCAGGGCAACTAGCAAGCACATCAAGGTAACACATCCGGAGTAAGCCACAACACCAACAATAGCACTCTGCCCACTCCTACCCCTAAATGTCAAGTATTTTGTCATATTAATACATGACATCCAGTGTCTGCTACTTGTGCAGGTCAATCTGTAGAACATTTGCATATAATCCAGTTAAAACTGTGAATTGATGGAATTGTAAACAGTAAAAGATAAGCTTATTATTGTAGCATCTAATATCGCTTACATTTTAAGAAGACAGCATGTAGCAGCAATGTAAAAATGCTCAGTAAACTACAGTACCAATGGACATCTATGTTCTATAGCAAACCAACATTCTTTAATATCTCTATATCATAGCGACATGAATAAGGAAGCTACTTTACCAATGACTTTTCATATTTCCAGTTTACTTTTCTCACCCAGTTTGACGGTATCCACACAGCTGATTTCTAAACTGGTAAGATTTGTATACAATGGCAAGTTTTCTTTCCATTCTCGTGTTCTTGGCTGGTACTTGCCTCTTAACAGCTCATATCTTGAATTCATGCTTTTTAGACCACTTAAGCACACTGTTGAGGATTTCCAATAAATGCTGGCAGCTAAAGACACACTTCTGCCTTCTTTCGTTTCCTTCCTCCCTGTTTCTCTCTTCTTTCCTTCTTCACTCACTCACCTGCACATAAACTCAGGCTACCTAACTGATCAGGGATGGGTGTTGCTCCAAAGGTGACACAATATGCAGGAGCCTAACTTTCTTTGCAGGGTGATGATGACAGTGTTCTAGGGGAGGTTTCCAGTTAACAGCTTCTTGTTCGAGAATCAGTACTTCCTCTTTCACAATGTTACTTGCAGTAGCTGATTGGAACGAACGTGTTCTTATTCCAGACAAGAGATGCGCTGTCCACATTTGCCTGGCCGTCACGTTCAGACACGTGAAATGAAGCCCAGGCCCAGGCTGGCTGGGATTTGGATGGTTTCCAGCGCGAGGGAGGATGGATTGAAGGGGAACGTGACAGGGAAGATGTGTTTAGCATCCATGAGCAGCTGAGGAGAGTCTTTCCTGTCCCGCAAACGCATCTGAGAAGATTAGGAGAGGAAAACGCCAAGAGACCATCAGTTCTCTGCATCTCAAAATTTCTAATGAAAGTTTCTCAACTGATACAGAAAAGTTATCACCTTTATTATAAAATTGCCTCATTTTCCCAACACATTATTATTAAAAAAAAAAACCTAAGCACTGTAAAATAGGTTTAAACAATATAATCCAAGATAGAAACATGTTTTCTTTCAATAAATTAATTGTAAAATGTCCATTCAAAGAACTGATTTGGTGAATCAAAGACAAGGAAAGCCATGGCATGCTTACCTGTATAGTACGAATGAATGACACGGAGACTCTTTCTTCAAACTCATTAACGGGAGTGTACAGATTCAACACTTTGACGATCTGTGAGGAAAGCAATGGTTAACATTTTTGGTATCTTATCAAGTGCACATTGGAAACCTACAATCTGAAAATGCAAAGGACCTGTTTTCTATTCTACCTGGGTGTGTGGTGTGGGGACAGGAACCAGCAGGAGCACAGCTACCCTTGCCATTCGAATTTTCACAGCAAGAATGTACTGGCATATATTTACATGGACTTGGAGAAACATCCAGAAGCACTCTCCCTCACACCCACCCAGTCCCCCAGAGCAGCAGCTGTGTTCAGTGGCCATCCAGCTGTTTCCTAGACATTCTAGGTTGAGTCACTTTAATATACATGGAGTTCACTCTTTTAATACTATTCTAAAATTTACTCTCTTCACATAAAAATATAGCTGGCCATTTAAAAAACAACAGGACTAAGTATCATTTCTTCTTTTCTGGTAACAATTGTATTTTGACAAAAGCTGTTATTATAAATGAATAACGACAAAGCCTTCTAAAGAAATGTTCTGGTTATAAGGGTACGGAGTTCTTTAAAAATGTCAAATTAGTTTATTTTGTAAAATTTTCAAAACTGTTTTCCAATGAAGATGAGTCTTTTCATAGACAAGAAGGAAGTATGGGACAGTAGGCCTGTTTATCAGGTCTCAGTGAGTCAGGGGTCAGCCCGCCATCAAAGGCAATCACTAGAACTCTGTGAAGTATGACTGCTTTATTAAATATAATTTGTTAAGTCAATGAATGATCATTTTATCTCACTCTACAAAATATATGTCTGCGGTAAAGTATATTAAAGTATATTCTTTTAGCGTCTGATAACAGAAAGATTCTCTATAGTCAGGCTATGCCCCAATACAGCCTTATTTTCTACTTGGCAGAAATGGTGGAAACCTTTCAAGTTATCATTCAGTAGCTTGTAATTTCTTTGTTCTTCACAAAAATCATGTAAATATGAATTTAGTAGTAAGAAGTTGTAAATGTAGAGGCCAGCACAATAGCTCAACTGGTTAATCCTTTGCTTTCAAGCACCAGCATCTCATATGGGCTCCAGTTTGTACCAGCTGTTCCACTTCTCATTTAGTTCTCTGGTTATTTCTGGGAAAGCAATAGAGTCTTGGGCCTTAAAATTAAATACATTTTAAACATTTAATAAAAAAATTTAAAAAGAAGAAACTGCAAATATTGACTCCAATTAATTACTGTGTTTTTTTTTGTAAGATGGATTTATTTTTTATTGGAAAGGCAGATTTACAGAGAACAGGAGAGACAGAGAGGAAGATCTTCTGTCTGTTGGTTCACTCCCCAAGTGGCCGCAATGACCAGAGCTGAGCAGATCTGAAGACAGGAGCCAGGAAATTCTTCCTAGTCTCCCATGTGGATGCAGGGTCCCATGGCTTTGGGCCATTCTCCACTGCTTTCCCAGGCCACAAGTAGGAGGCTGGATGAGAAGTGGAGCAGTAGGGACATGAACTGGCACCCATATGGGATCCTAGCAGTTGCAAGGCAAGGAGTTAGCCACTGAGCCACTGCGATGGGCCCCTAACTACTGAGTTTAATTGCATCGTATGAAAATGAAAATTCTTGTGTTATGAGATACCTGAAAGTGTTATATGATGAAAATGAAGAAAGTCCAAGCACTGGCAAAAGAAAATTAAAATAACTAAGAAAAAGCCAAATGGGCAGGTGCATGTCCATAGCTCATCTCATGCTGTTGCTGTTGAGCTCCAATGATCTCCTCGCCCTTTCATTTCCTTAAATCCGATGCCCAGGTACAGGGGACCTGCCCTGAACAGTCACCATCCTTCAACACTTTCTGTAGGCCTCTTAGCACAGAATTTGCTGAAACCTCCATGGTAATCAGCTGGATACAACTGCTTATCTGTCTTCCCTATTAAATAAAAACTCCTGAAAGGGATTTTCCTTACTTATTAAACTCTTTCCACCAGGAGTAAGTATGGTACCTGGAGATGGGTGCTTAATTAGCTATTTTTGAATTGAAGGAATGAAGGTAATCTATCTTTAAACAATCTAAAAAGAAAAAGTCAACCAGTGCCACAGGGCATGGGCAAGTATGCTGTGGCATGTAATACCCTGAGAGCACGGGCTGCTCCCCTCATATCTCCCTCAGCACCTGCAGGCATCCAACAAAGACTTACTGTGTGCTCAGACAACTGCTGTGGCCAGTACCAAAATGTATCAATTCCCGGTAAAAATCTCCTTTCTTCAACGTACATATACACATGAGAGGTCTTGAAAAAGCTCATGGAAAATGCATATTATGAAAACTCTGTGCATGACTTTCAAAATTCCTTTTTAACAAAATAAATGTATCTTTCAACTTTCTTTTCCCTACACTGTTTTTTAATGTTAGACACTCTTTTCTACCATAAGGAAAGTCAGCTCAGACACCACAGCAAGGACCAGACTTATCTGCTTCCCTAGAGCTCATCCTGGAGGAACGTTAAATGACTTCCTAACGGGGAAGGCCACATCACCTGTGCAGTGGTCAAAGCATTGCACATGGAACAAATGGCTTCTGCATCATCGTCTGTCTTCTTTTTCACTTGCAGGAGCTGAGCAGCCTGAATGAGAGGTTCCAGAGTTTCTTTGGCCCCGCTGTTCATCAGATTCTTGTCACGCAGCCATTCTTCCAGTTGACTGACATTGTACCTGTGCCAAGGGAGAGACAGCGATGGAGAGAAGTGGAAGAGAATGCAAATTTACTGCATGTCATCATAAATGTCATAATTTTGTGTGTGTGGCCTTGTCAGTTAAAATGACAGGCAGTATTTTCATTGCTTTTTAAAACTCTCACCAGCTGTGCTTAAAAAGTATCATTATAAATAGTCATGAGATTGAAAAATCATAATTATATAAGATTAAGTGACATGAGAATATAATTCTTATTAATGGAAATAAAAATGGAGTCAATATAGCAAAAGTTGTAGGACTTTCTAATAAACAGGAACATGACATGGCTTTGTCCCCCCTGAAAGCTGACCAGAAAATGAATTTCTCTCAGTTTCAGAGGTCGGCTCATTTTGCTGTGTGGACTTGATCAGCGTTTCAAATCCCTGTCTTCCTGATAGCAAATTCAAAACTGGGTAACTGAACGAACCGCCTCTCTCTCCCACCTCGTATAGTTTGTGCTCAGGCCTCTTTCCAAAGGGCAGAGGCTGGGCAATGGAGACAACGGATGTTCAAGGATAGACATTCAAGGACAGACAGTGGACGGTCAAGGACAAGTGGGAGCCCTTGGAAGAGACTGAGAAGCTCTACCAACCTTGAAGCGTCGGGAAGTAGCCGGCCAAGGGACAGTGGTTCTCAAACCAACACTGACACAATGAACACATGATGAGAACTTAGTAATCGGGCCAGGAGGAGCTGCGACTGTAACTCCACCCTCATAAGCAAAGCTAACGGAGAAAGAGTTCTGCAACCTGAATGGAAGATGTTTTCCACTACTGTCTTCCAATACAGTCTCCAATTTCAAGTTAATTACAGATGATTACATATGGCTTGGCATGAAAATATCTGGAAAGAACACTAAGGTTTCCTGTGATTGAGTACAAAGACTTTGGTAGGAGAAGCCCCTCTCCCCTTGGCAAATGTACCAGCTATTTAAAGGCAACTACTGTCCTCCTTCCCCCCAGAATTCGATCACAGTAAGGAGGTTGTGCTCAAGACCAGTAGGACATAAATGAGTGTGGCTTTTCTTAAAATACAGAGGGGACCTGTTTCAAATGTCAGTGAAAGATAAATTAGATCTTTCGTCATAGGTACAAAAAGCTTATTTTGCTAACAAATGTTTCTAAGATCCAACATTATAATATTTAGTATTTTCTTCTTGTACTCATGCACACACATACACACAGAGCAGGAAAAAGTCGTTAGTCTTCGTGTATTTTTGCATCATCTCTCTCCCTCAAATAAGTCAGCCTCACAGTGAAGCAAGGTTTCCCATCAAGCAATAAGAAGACCCTGCTGGCCAGGCAGAGCCAAGGAGATCTGCAGAAATCTGGTCAGGTAAGAGAGGGTGGCTCCCTGCCAGTTTGCTGCCTGTGGCTTGGCCACGTGGCACCAGATGTCAGGTGTGCGGACTGCAAACAAACCGTGGACTCTCCACAGCTGTCCCAGGGCTGGCCCTGGCTCACCTGATCTGCATGCCTTTACTCCAGGAGCACATGTCCTTTCGCAACAGGAGGTTGTTCAGGGTGATGGCCCCCACGATGTAGAACATCTGCTTGACCACCTGCTTGATCAGCTCTGGGTCCATGCCGTGTTGACACATGACTGAATGGAAGGAGTTGAGCTGCCGGAGAATTGAGTCCAGTGTGTAGGTGCCCTCGTCGGCGATACTGGAGGTTCGTTTTCTCAGCCCCGTGGGCTTCACACCAGACACACCCTGAATGGTTTCATGCTCCAGCATACCTGAGACTGCAGGAACATTTCAACTGTTAGAAGGCAAGGTTTACAAAGAACTTGTTTCCTGTGCACCTGTTCATGTGGGTGCCTATGGGCATGCATGGTACATGACTTCAGTTCAGGAAAAATGATCAGAGTATCAAAATAGAAGGAAAAGAAGTTTTACCAAAAAAGGGGCATCTGGATTTTAAACTTTAATGAAGGAATATTTTTGAATTGCAAAAGCTTATCATGAACTTAAGTAATCCTGAAAATATATTTTTAAACCTAAGAAGCCATGGCTTGGTGATAGCCCAAAGTGTGTGATGTTTTGGGGAGGTTTCTAAGAGAGTTAGGTAGCTGTCAGAGGTAGGATAAACAATAATATCCCAGACATTTCAGCTCCAAAGGTAAACAAACAGTGAGGAAGGCAGGACACTGGGAAGTGGTCATGTGGAAGACTACGGACAAGGCCAGAAGACCAAAGCCCCATCTGGGTCTCCTGTGTGGGTGCTCAGGGGCCCAAGCACGTGGACCATTTACTGCTGTCTTTCCAGGTGCATTACCTGGGAGCTGGATTAAAGTGGAACACCTGAAATTTGAATTGCAAATGGCTGCTTCCCCTGCTGTGTTACACTGTCAAGCCCAACTTAGACTGCTTTAAATTCATAATCTTTTAGGGGGCAGATGAATAATTACTGCTATCTTCTGTGGCTTTCACAGTCTTTCACATCTCTGACTAACTATGGGCCATGAGAGAAAAACAGTCTACTATGAGCTCACAGAGGGGAATGAAGTGGTAGAGTGTGAAAGATGCAGTGGGCAGGGAGAAAGGGCAGCCGGGAATACATCTAGCAGTCCGTTGATAATTTGCTTGAAATAATTATGTTTCCTAACTTAAAAAAACATTTAAAATAAAATCCATGCATTTGGGGTTGGTGAGGTGGCATTGCAAGGTAATCTCCCATGTGGTGCTGACATCCTATATGGGCACTAGTTTCGAGTCCTGGCTGTTCCACTTCCAATCCAGCTTTGCTTATGGCCTGGGAAAGCAGTGGAGGATGGTCCAAGGTCTTGGGCTCCTGCATGGGAGCCCTGGAGAAAGCTCCTGGATTTCCCAGCTTTGAGCAGGCTCAAGTCTGGTAAATACAGCCATTTGGGTATTATACCAGGAGATGAAAATCTTTCTCTCTCCCTCTCTGTAATAATAATTTTCAAGTAAAATGAATAAATCTTTAATCCCATACATTCAAAATTATCAGTCTGCAATTTATACCTGCCTCCTACTTCCTATGCCCACATACTACACATTCTCAAGGAATCGAGGTATCATAATATAGATGATAAACACTATGTGAGGACGTACATACAAATTATGAACTGCCTTTAATGGTTCCACAAGAACCATGAGATGTACAACTCAACATGCAATGCATGAGATGAACCTGTTCTTGTTGCCACAGTATCATCCTAGTCATTCACTGTGGCCTATTAGGCTAAGTGAAAGCCCTCCCCAGGCTCCACGGAAACCATCTGTCACAGTGTCCTAGTCCAGAGTTTAAAGGGTTCCTAAAAACTAGATCATGGCGCCCAGTGGTGTGGCCTAGTGGCTAAAATCCTTGCCTTGAACATGCCAGGATACCATATGGGCGCCGGTTCTATCCCGGCAGCTCCACTTCCTATCCAGCTCCCTGCTTGTGGCCTGGGAAAGCAATTGAGGATGGCCCAAAGCTTTGGGACCCTGCACCTGTGTGGGATACCCGGAAGAAGTTCCTGGATCCTGGCTTTGGATCAGTATAGCATTGGCCGTTGCGTTCACTTGGGGAGTGAATCATCGGACAGAAGATCTTCCTCTCTGTCTCTCCTCCTCTCTGTGTATCTGACTTTCCAGTAAATAATTAAATCTTTAAAAAAAAAAAAAACCAAAACTAGATCATGATGAGACCTCTTGCTGGATCTAAAACATCACTTGGTCACAGGGGAGATGCCCCAAGGACTGGGGAAGGAAACCAGATGCCAGTATTTGGATCCTGAGCAAGCAGTTAGCCAGGGCTGGGTTTCTGGGATCCCTTGATCCCAGTCAGGCTGCTACCCTTACTTCTTGCTTTGTACATGGATAAGTGCCCTGAAACGGGCCTCTGCTGGGCATCTGGCGATGGGCACGTGGCAGAGACAGGTGGGGATGCTCTGGCCTTACCAATCATGGGCTGCAGGATGTTCTCTAACACCCTCACAAGCTGCTGGTAGATCTGAATAGCCAAGTCACTGAGCACCTGCCGATACTCAGCCAAGTCGAAGTTGGTGAGGCAGTGTTCATTTTGGCGGGTTGTGTTGTGCTTCATAAAACCCTGGAATTGGAAAGCAGATGACATGAGACACCTCTCCCATCTCACCAGCTATCTCCAGTTTGGTCTCCATTTTCTCCTCTCCAGGGAGTTTATCCACCCCACCCCATGCCAGGATAGACATTCTTAAATGCTGTTGTGTGTTCCTTGGCTTCTATCTCTTCTATATTCAATGTCTGACTAGCTTCAAGATAGGTAAACATTGCAACCTAGTATCTAAGCTTTACTAATAGCCACAACAATGAGACCATTTGGGGTCATCCAGTAAAGAAAAAACGAAAGGAAGGGAAGGAGGGAAGGAGGGAAGGAGAGAAGGAAGGAAGGAAGGAAGGAGGGAAGGAGGGAAGGAAGGAAGGGGAAGAAAGAAAAAAGAAAGAAAGAAAAGAAAAGATGAGTGTTTTTATTATAAAACAGCAGGTTTACTGTCAAACACTAAATTGTCCAAAGTACTAATCTTGAAATTTCAGTTCATTAAGTATAAACACCGTGCCTAAAAGGGCAATGTACAATCTTCTTTAAATAGACTAATTACTACAGACTTGTAAACAAACAAGCACAACCCTCTTTCTTTCATTATATATTTCATGCTACCTACATTGTGAGTTTTAGTGAAAACTTTTAATAAAAGCTTTCAGAGGCTTTTCTGTTAACACGGAAAGCTAACTGCCAGGCAGGTGCTTATCGCAGGCGTTCTGCATTTTGACATGCTGCCTGCTTGACACTGCTTAATAAAGGCAACTGCTCACTTGATGGATTCTGCCCACAGATGAACATCTGCCTCCTTACAACCCACAATGTCTGAAAGTGGGGACTGACACAATGCAATTACGGTCTTCTAGGGGATTCTGGTCTCTCCATCACACCTTCTTAAGGATCGCGTCTTGCTCATTTTGCAGCTTCCAGCACTGGCCAGGCCAGCATTCTGCCACTGGGGGCTTGGAGAGTGGCACTGACCAGTATCACTGCTTGCCTTCCTGCAGGGCAGCGGCTCAGATCAGCAGACCGTACCCTCAGCTCTGCTCCTATGACCAACGGCACTTGGGAAAACTCACTAACTTCACTGAGCTGCCAGGTCCTTGTATGTAAGACTGAGTTATAATTCCTGCTGCATAGAGATGTAAAAATTAATACTATCATGCCCAGCAAGTGCTGCCTGATGTGTGACTAAGCAGCTCAAAATAGAAATTCATACATTACATATTCTGAAACATACATAAATCTATCAAACAACTAATCACTATGAACAAAAGCAATACAGAATCAAGAGAAATGATGTGATCTTGTATTTTTTTGGTAGTTGCGATACAGTAGCTGAAATTGCTACATTTCTTTTAATAGTCAACCTTCTGATATCAGTGTTTGAAAAGGCCACTTGAACATATTGACAAAAAGTCAGATTTCTAAGTGACTGTTTGTAGGCTGCTGCCTGTCGACTTGGGCTGTGCTGTCTCTCCGAGGGGAGACATCCCTACAGCTCCTCTGGGCGCTGTGTCAGAGGCATGAGTGCTCAACAAAGGGCCACGCCTCTAAGCTACCTCTGAATCTGTGCTTTAAAAATCCTCCTTAAAAAGGCCAGAGAAAATAGAGCTTGCTGGTTTCATAATCAGAGCTTTCTCACCTCTTCTCCGCTGTACTGTTTCAAGCAGTGCAAAAACCGGCATGTGTTAGAGAGCCAGAAGGAGACGGTTTCAAAATCATCACCTCTTTTCTGAAAGAGAGAACAGAAGTCTCAACCTTTTTCTCAGGGAAATGACGACTTGAAAAGGACTGCACAGACTCTAAAAGGCCCATTCTTCCTCCTGGCCGCTGTGAAGACTTCAGGTATAAACCACACGGTCATCTCTCCCCCATCAGTGCGAGCAGCTCTCAACACTGGCTCATGCGCTGTTAGTTGCTTTGTCATGCATCCATTCTCATTAGCAAAGTGTTCTACTCCGTTGATATTAACATAGCTGTCACTTTCAGCAGAAAAACTTCACCAAGACAAAGCTGACCCAAACTCACTCTTGAAGGAGTTAATGAAGGGAACAAGAAACAGATAAAACCACAGATGGGAACAGCAAACATTGTAATGAAGAATGAATCTGAGGCAAGGTAAAGCATCGTGCTCAGCACTCCGATCAGATGGCAAATACTGTAAACTGGAAGATAACATTTCTGAGCAGTGAGCAGAGATGACCAAGAAGTTTGTACTGAGCAGTGGTACAGCCTGCGGTAACCACTGGCCCCTTGGACGGGGGACAAAGGGGATGGAGACAACGCTCATTGCCTCGGAGAGACGCTGGGGTGGGGCATGTTTCCGGGGGGCCAAATGGCAGACCTACGGGAGCACCGGGCATCTGCGAGCTGGGCCACTGGCTTGTTGGGATTCCGGAATTCACAGCGCTACCAGTGTTCGCCTGAAGCTCGCCTACATGGCTGGATGCAGGAAAACCCCAAGTGGTCTACAGTTTATGCCGCAACAAGTGTCCAGCATGAGAGAGCTGGGTTTGAACTTAGAACTCTGTGTGTGTGTGTGTGAGAGAGACCTCCTATTGTAATAATGCTACATCACCACAAAACCCGGGCTCTCAAAGGTTTGGTTCCTTGGTAATGGTTAAGGTAGTGAAAACATGACAAACAATTCTTTTTTTGCATACATTAAATTCACTTCCTTAAGCAAATGCAAAACAGCTCTTAAATTTTTGAGACTATTTTCCCAGGGAGACTTTAAGAAAAAAAAAATCAGAGGCTATCCAATGTATTTTCAGGTGAAACTGGACAACTGCATTCATGTCTGACTCTTCTACTGGGTAACCATCTGAGACTTGGTTGTCATCTTGCAGCTTTAGGAAGGCTGTGGAAAGTAGATACAATTTTATCACACTTCCAAATATAGCAATCATCCTGTGGCTTCAGTAAAAATAGCCACGTCCCTTCCAACAATCCTGATCACAAGTGCGCCTAGTGGAGGCTCCGGCTGTGTTGACCAAGCCAAACAGACTAACAGACTGCGAGGCAGTGCTGGCCTGGGGAGGAGGACCAGTGAGGCCCTGGGCACTGTCTGCATCCTCAGAACAGCTCTGGCCCAGAACTGCTCACTGAGCCTGCATCAGAGGCAGTGCTTCATCAGGCTGATGAAAACCTAAAGAAGAGATTTCATTCCACAATTAATTCAGCATCTGTGCTCACAAGGAGGTTTCAATCTTTACTAAATTATGTTTAAAACAAATCCATTCTACAAACACAGTATCTTCTGGTATGAATGCTAAGGGTGCCCTCTATTCTCAATATAATAAAGAAATCCACATTACTTAAGGGTATTTACTTCTGGTCCAGCTCGGTAGCCTAATGACTAAAGTCCTCGCTTTGTACCCACCAGGATCCCATATGGGCACTGGTACGTGTCCCGGCAGCCCAGCTTCCCACGTAGTTCTCTGCCTTCGGCTTGGGAAAGCCCCAAAGCCTTGGGACCCTGTACCCACATGGACGACCCAAAAGAAACTCCTGGATCTTGGCTTTGGATCAGCACAGTTCTGGCCACTGCAGCCAGTTGGGGAGTGAATCAGCAGATTGAATTTCTTTGTCTCTCCTCCTCTCTGTATATCTGATTTTCCAATTTAAAAAGTTCTTTTAAAAAAAGTATTTATTTCTTTGGAAATTTTAAAAGAGTAAAACTGTTACCTTGGCACATTATGGTGTTTGTGGCTGGAGTTTTTCAAAAGGATATTTTTACTATGAACAAATCATATCTGGCCAAACTGGAATGTTAGTTGTATCTATCATAGGAGAAACAATTTATATGAACTCAAAACTATTTGCCGTCTCTGAATTACTACATAAAAATGAACTAAGAACTTACTCATATATGTCTTTGACTAAACTGCAGATCAAAAAAGCAGTTGCTAAAATCAAAACAGGGCCGCCAGACAAATACATTTCAATTTAAAACAAAGACATGAGACAAACACACATCACTATTACATGGCATCTAAAGGATATTACACTGTAGTACTCATTGCTTTTTATATTTCAATTTACTACAATAATTACTCCAAGTAGATAAATGTCTTCTAACAACCTAGATGAGGGTGAAAACTTCATGATTTGGTTGTTTCTTTGTGTTGATAGTTGTAAGAAGTAGCAAACTTCGTAGTTTAAGTACATTATGGCACTAATATACTAAAATGACATAAGCTATGTTCAGAAGATACTGATGAAGTTTTAAATATTAACTTTTTAGAAGCTCACAGCTTTTATAACCACTGTAGAGTGTAGGGTAACTGTACAATACTCCCTGAGAACCTGCATTTAGCAGAAGTCCTTCTCTTGCGGCTGGAGGAGGAAAGAGGAGTCAGAGCTTACTAGAGGGGAAATGGTACCAAGCTTGATGTGAATGCACTTAGTGACACAAAACTGCACACTTCAAAATGGCTAAAATGGCAAATTTTCTATTATGCATAATGGCTCTTCAAAAAGTTAATGGAAAATGCACATTATGAAAAAGCTACACTTGGACTTTTTGAAGCATCCCATTGCTTTATATCATAATTTTTAAAAATTCACTAAAGACATATTGGATTTTTTTGTAAGATAGCTTTAGGGGCTGGCACGTGGCAGAGTGGGCTAAGTGCCTGCCTGTCACGCTGGCATCCCACATGAGCGCAGTTTGCGTTGTAGTTGCTCCGCTTGTGATCCAGCTCTCTGCTAACGACCTGAGAAAGCAGTCAAATATTTCTTTCTGCCTATTCCTCTCTTTCTGTAACTCTGCCTTTGAAATAAGTAAATCTTAAGAATAAAAAAAAAAGATCATTTTATTTGAAAGGCAGAGAGACAGAAGGCGAGTTATTTTCCAACCACTGCTTCACTCACCAAATGTCTACAACAGCAAGGTTTGGTCCAGGCTCAAGCCAGGAAGCCAGGAGCTTCCTCCTGGCCTCCCACACGGCTGGCAGGGGCCTACGCGCTTGGGTCACCTTTTACTACTTTCCCTCGCTCGTTCACAAGAAGCCACATTAGAAGTGAGGCAGCCAGGACTCAAATTGTCTCTCCAACATGGAATGCCAATGTTGCAGATGGAGCACCACAATGCCAGATCCAGACCCCTCAGACTCGACCAAGTCCCCTCGGCATCCTCCTGAAAGTTCCTGGCATGGTAGACAAGTGGAAGGCAGAGCAGCCGGCTGGAGCACTTCGTCTTAGTTTCTCAAAGAAACACTGGAGTTAAAACGAAGCGTGAGGTTCGCTGTTTCTCTAGAGAGCCTGGAGGAGGATTATGCAAGGTGACTCATGATTGCTAAGTTATGCAGGGTTGCGTTCTGCTCGATTACATAATGCGGCTGCCCTTTCCAAGCCTTTCCTTTCTGTTCAGCATCTGCTTATTGCTTCTCACATGGAACCAGGCATTTTATGTAACAGTACAAATCATGACATGAGCTGAAGTACATGAGAATAAAAGTTTACAGAAAAATGTAATGTTTTAGCATTTTGAAATTATGAACTATGCATTACTGAATGTATTTATCATCTATTTTAACTTCAATATCCTTTTCCTTGCATGTATGCAATTCATGAAATACTTCTAATTTAGCTCTAAGTAAAATCTCAAGGCAGACATGAAGAAATCCAATTTACTCCACAAATAAATATAATTATATAAAAGTAATTTTGCTTATTTTCCAACCTGAGCCCTGTTTTGAAAGTAGGCATGTAAATACGTTGAAAAGAATGTTTCCTTCAAAGAAGGTTTTAAGTTAAGACTGGACAGTAGGGGCTGACATTTGACCTGGTGGTTAAAATGCTATGTGTTACTCCTGCACCCTGTGTCTATGCCTGATTATAGCTGCCTGCTAGTACAGACCCGGGGAGGCAGCAGGCGATGGCTCAAGGACTTAGATGCATGACACTGATGTGGGAGAGCAGGGCTGAGTTCTAGGCTCCTGGCTTCAGTCTGGCTCAGCCCCAGGATTTCAGGAGTAAGTCAGCAGATAGAAGGTCTCTGCTTTAAAAAATTAAAAAAAAGACTAAACAGTGTTTAGAATTAGCACCAACAACACAGCTCAAGTCTAAGGTAGTAACATTTCTCTGGGCAGGTTCTGTCATTAACACTTATCCTGAGAATTCTGCTCAATATGCACTGACCTTCAGCACTTTCTTGATGCTGTTAATTGTTGATGTTAGCAAAGACCTTACTTTCTGATCATCATTTAAGTAGTCAGCATGTCTGACACACATGAACAGGATATATGCTGGCAAGCCCGGAATCAAATTAACTGCTACGCCACGAGGTTTCAGTTCTGGGAAAGAAAAAAAAAAAGGAAAAATCACCTTTTACAATACTGGAAGTCTCTGTGGGGAATGCATTGTGAGCTACAAAAGTATAGTTGTTGTGGAACAGTAATTCAGGGTAAGTAGAACATATAAAAAGGGCATTTTGATGCTTCCTGAAGCGGAGAGATTTTTGAGTGTGGGGACATGTTTGCACAATGAAAACGCCCAGGTTTCCTTGCTGCCCTGTTTTCCTTGAACTCCAGTCTCATGTTTCAGGTGCCTTCCTTATGTGCATCTCTGCTTGGGCACATCCAACTGAGCCTCTCCCAAACCAAATTCTTCAGTTCCCATGGAATCTGCTTTTCTGAGAGCTCTCCCTATCTCAGTCAAGGGTGGCTCCAGTAGTCCAGTTTCTCAATCTTTGGTTCCTTTCTTTTTCTTCTACCACATGTTGAATCCAACAATGGATCCATCTATAAAATACAGCCAGAATCCAACCACCTGCTGCCTGCTCTAGCCAGGATGCTCACTGAGATCGCCATCAACTTCTGCTGCTGCAGCTTCCTAACAGGCCCCTCTCCCCAGCAGCAGTCCTTTCTCCACACAACAACCACAGGTCAATCTTTGGCTGTCAATTGCTGTCATGTGGTTCTGAGAGTCCTCTGAGAGGCTTTTTTTTGGCTCTCATTTATAACATCAGAAACCTTCCGCCTGGTCTTTGTGATCTGTCTCACTGTCTCTCCCACGCCCAGCTCCCCAGCTCACTCTAGTCAAATGGCTCTCCTTCTTTCTCAGGTAACAGCATGACTTGTTCCTTTACTTGCTAGGCTTCTGTCCAATGATCAACTTATCAAACAAAACCCCAAGAATGTCAACCAGGTGTAACTGTCCATCACACTGCTGTCACCTAGACATCTGGAGAGGAATGCTTATGCACAGGCTGGAAGCCAGAATTTTTAGGTTTTCAGCTCATCCTTTCCAGGTGTGTCTTTTCTCTCAGCACCTAGTGCCACCCCCTAAAGAGGCTCCTTGCAGAAGCAGGGGGCCCATTCAACCTCCGCTGAGCTCAGGCTGTTCTGAACTGCTTCTGCCACTCCCTCCTCCTGGTCCTGTGCTTTCCTTCCTCAGCTAAATCTTTTCCTTAATTCTTTTGTTTCTTCCCCATGGCTGAGCTGATATCTGCAATTTACTTAGTTGAAAATCTTTTAAGGAAAGTAAGGGAAAATAGACATTCAGGAGGCAAAATGGCCTAGAACAGGGTGTGTTTGGGGTATCCTTTAAAGCTTCAGAAAAGTGCTAGTCCTAGTACCTACCCTTTTCCCCGTAGACACTGAGATTTAATCCTTTTGGTATTGGGGGGAGACATTAGCACTTCTCAAAGCCTTACAGGAGACCCTAAGAAGCAGTAGGACTGAGGAGTCCGACCTCAGGCATCCTTACACGAGTGCCTTCACTTCAGCTAAGGTAGCACACTGGGACGGGGCCACTACTGGGCCACCACATAGCAGCGCCTTCTGGTGATTGAAGAGCTTAGGTGCTGACTGAGTAGGGTTTTCTATCATTGACACATACATAAGGAAGACCTCTTCTCCCACGCAGAAAATACTTGCCCAGAATCAGATTCTTCACAAGTTTCTGCTCATCCTCCTTCTTGTACTCCAGCATTCCTTGGAAGTCCTTTTCTTTCCTGGGAATGTTGACAGGACGGATGGGCTCATCAATGATCTGTCCTGGAGATATGTTCTCCATCTGGCCCACTTCACGAGAAACCAAAAAGGAGAAGAAAAGGTTTTCCAGAGAAAAAAGATGAGAGGGAGGCCTGATCCCATGACTTTAAGTGATCTTTATGAGAACAGAAGCCGTTGTCTTGGTTGTGCTTGTCCCCTCTTAAAGCATTTTATTCTACTAAAATTAGGTGGCTGGATGGCAAAATTATGTCACTCTAACAACCACCGGTCACTGATTACTATTAACATTAAACAAACTTACCTGATATAAACCTGATAAAGTTTATATTTATAATGAGGCTTATTTTATAATAAGATTAAATGTCCCAAAGCATGCAGTATAACGGTAGCTAATCTATATGAATCACAAATGATATTTAGACTTGAGCTCTATGAATCACATCATTAAAGGCAAATTTTTTACTTTAAATGTATCATTAGTCAGTGCAAATCACACCAAGATTGATAGAATAACAGTGTTTCCTTGTACTAATTAATGTGAAAATATTTCATAAGGCAAAGACCTAATCTCTCCTGACATTCCTTAAACCCACGAGCAGAGAAAACAATCTTATTTTAATATGACGTCTTAAATATTGCTGATTGTTTGTCTTTAACGGAATGACAAAATTCTGAGTGTGAATTTATAATCAGTAAAGTACAATCACCAGATAATAACCCTTTTAGTTGTTAAAAACAGCCACTATTGCAGAGACAACAGCTAGGAAAGAGTAGTGCTAAGAGCAAAAAAAAAAAAAAAGAAATAAAAGTGTTCACTTTCATCTCAAAATTAAAAACTGAATGGGAATTACAGGGAAGAAAGTCAGGGGATCCTGAGTTGCCACAGTAATTGTGCAGGTAAATGCTAGGAAACAGGCATGTTATCCTTCTATTTACAGGAAGGGGGCGCAATTAAGAAATCTATTTCAGAGCAGATTAAGATTTCTGATTGCTGACAAACAGAAGGCAGGTCAATGCAAAAACATTAGAAAGATTTAATGTGGCTGGCTGCATGAGGCATCAGCAATGCTTCCTTGTGTCACTCTGGACAGCTTCCTGTGTTAGTTCTGAGAAGCCTGTTGCATAGGAGGATGTTATCACGGAGAACAGGAATACCTGCTGATGGATGCTGTTGCTTACAAGGCACGGAGCCTGAGCACACACCGTCCACCTTGTGCTGCAGCCTCACACACGGGACTATCGGTGCTGAAAACCTGGCTTAGGTGAGGCCACCACCATCCGTCCACGCTAGGATATCTACAGAGTGATCAGATGGTGATTGGACACATCAGGGCTATGGCCAGCTCTAACAGTCTTGACATGCCTACGCATGGTGCACCCTGAAAGCCTGGGACTAACTGTGCAATACATGCTTTTCTGCAAAAGATTGGGAGACTTAAATAGTTTTGCATTTATTACTATTGGAGTCAACTTAAATCAAGTGCAATGAGGACCACTGCAGCAGATATTGGTCTACACAGCACATGGGCCTGTTCCTGTGAGCGGAGCAATCAAACTCCTGCCACTATAAGCCACAAAAAAAGAGGAGAAACTGGGAGGAGACAAATCTACAAAATTAGGTTTCTCATTATATGCACATGTTTGGACTCCATGTAACCAAAAGAAGACTAGAATATTTTTTTCCTTAAAAGATTTAAATGTTTCTTCGAAAAGCAGAGTGAGAGACAGAGGAAGAGAGCGAGAACGCTTTCATTTGCTGGTTCACATCTCATATCAAACAAGTACGAGAGCCAAGTCTGGACCAGGCCGAAGCCAGGATTCAGGAATTCCTCAGCCTCCCACGTAGAGGATGGGCCCAGGCACCAGGGTCATCTTCCATCATCTCCCTGAGCACATCAGCAAGGGGGGGCTGGATGGGAAGTGGGGCGTCAGGAACTTAGAGGGCATGCTGCATCGCAGCTGGAGGATAAACTTGTTGTACCACAGTGCCGGCTTCCCAAAGAGGAGGTTTCAAACCTACCAAATTTACCAAATTTAAGATGCTATTGCTTGTAAGTACATACCTTTCATACAACACTATCAAAGGGAAAATGCTACCAACGAAACTATAGCCTATCACTTGTAAAATATACTCTAATTTCAGCGATGCACCTCAGGATTTATGAAACATGGTGAATATTTTTTTGCTCAGAGAGCTCATTAAAAAGAAACAACTTGAGTTTCCTTTTACAAAATTTCTAGCAAATATATTTTTCATTCTGTATAAAATGGAGAGACAAAATTTACGACATGCTCAGGAAAAACTTTCTACCTCTGCATTTTCCCTAGAGACTTAAGTCTCTATACAAACTGAGAAGAAATACAGATGTCAGCTCAACAGAATCCTGGTTTGTTTTCCAAAATCACCCACTAATGGAAGTGTCACTTCAACGTAGCATCAAGGAAGTATAGACCTTGAAAGAGATGAGGCAAGTCCATGCTCTGGCTTTCAAAAGCTCAGGGAACCTTGGCAGCTGCTATGAACTGAAACCTTCTGCACAGCACAACAGAGTTAAGAGGTGGAGCATCAGAGGTAGGTGACAAGGCTTTGCAGGCTCTGGCCTCACAACGGGGCGAGTGCATCAGAAAACAGCAAGGGAACTAGCTCATCCTGTTACCTCTAGGTGACTTATGTGACATGGACCTTTATTTTTTGGGGAATAAAGATGCTGACCTGTCCTAGCCCTTCTATTTATCCTGCTGTATCTGTGTTACAGAGAAAGTACTGGCAATTTTATACACTAAAGTGCACAGTGGCCAGCCTCTCATCTTGGAGGCAGAGATGAGGCTCTTAGCAGGTACTGACTCTCTCGGGCCCTCAAGGTTGACTGTCCATTCTCCTGAATGTTGAGAGAGAAACTTCTGTTCTTCATGCACTGCCCAGTGTCAGGCACCTGGCTATGGCAGTACACGTGAGCTGAGTCACTGGTCAAAGTCTGGTAGTCCATCTTACAGACACCTTTGCAGGAAACCTGAAACAATCCATGTTCCTATTTTCTAGGCTCTTAATAGACTTGAAGGGAGAATACTCCCGAACCTTTTTGTCCTGAAAAAATAAAACATACTAGAAAGATGTTTTTAAAATGTCCTTTGCTTACTTTCTTCACCAGGAAGATACTGATCTTAGTTTAACTGAGCAGATAAAAACTGCTCATTAGGATTATTAGAGAAATCCTGTTGGAAAACAGGACACAAAGGAGAGATTGGTGCCCTTGGAAGGACACTGGGTTCTGGTCCTGCCATCTAACTTATTTGCCATCTAATTTATTGAGGTCCTGCATAAGTCATGTATGACTTTTTTTTTTGCTCTTATAAAACACAACTAACTGATTTCTAGAATTTCTTCCCTGTCTAAATGTCTTGCCTATGAGAACTCTTGCACAGCACCCACTCCTGGGTTAAAATTCAAGCACACAGCAGAGCAAATTTTGAAACACTCTCCATTTAGATCTACCATTTCTGCTAAAAATTACACAAGTGTATGTTGGAATTTTTTAACAAGTTTTTGTTAGCTTCCAAAAAAAGTTTCCCTAATTAAATGTAGTCTACAGGAGGATCCAAGGATCATGTTATTTTAAAGCAAAAGATTTTATGTGTGTTGCAATATACTTAAACAACAGCACAAGAAAACTTCTAGCTGTTAGAAGGTGCTTTGTTGTACAAAGTTGCCAGTATTTTTTGTATACCCTAGAGACAACAGGACAAAGAGAAGTGTTAGAACAGATTGGCATCTTTATTTTTTAGAAATAAAGGCAGGGAGCAGAGATAGTACCCTCTGCAAGTGCCTACATCACATAAATGGGTGAAATTGAAAGAGGTTTCAATTGTGAAACTCACAATCATGTATGGAAGGATTATCATAGGAGGGACACTGTACTAGGTGCTGTGAAAATGCAGGGAAGTGAGAGGTGGTTTCCACACTTGGGAAGCTCAGAACCTTAATAACAGTAATTCAAACAAAACTCACAAAAGATGGGAGTCACACTGGCATAGAGAGGGCAGAACTCCAAGATTTGGGTGATCAGGAAAGCTCGCTCTTAAGGACAATATGTGACTTCGGTCTCAAAGAATATGCAAGCTTTGGATAGGAAAAGCAGGGAGACCGAAGAGCAGAGGAGGAGAGGAGAGGAGATTGTTAACCATGGCACAATCTCCTGAACACCCCCAGTGATGGGGAACCTTCAAGCCAAAGAAAAATTATGCAGAATAACGGGGAGTGAATAAAACAGGCTGCTGTGCTTTGTAGGAATCCATCTGGTCAAGGTGATACAGTTCACGGGAGACTGAACGTAATTCAACAGAGCACCTCTAAGATCTCAGGAGCAGCAGATAAAGCATTACTGGAATGAACTTAGAATCTGCCATTAGTCCTGTTCATAGTGAGGTCACTGACACCTGTAACTGTGCCCAGCTTATAGTGAAAACTCCACAAAGACTGAATGAGTAAACACTAATTCCCAAGATGATACAATGACAACTAATATTTAATGGTTTAGCAAGGAGTTTTCTCAACATATATAAATCTGAGATGTTTAAAATATATTATTGCTTTATAATCATAACCCGTGTGTTACTTATGTCTCTTTCCATGTTGTTCTGTGAGCTCTTTGAGAACACAAACTGTGTGTCATCATCACTAATACTACCTGTGACACTAGTGACTAAGGTATATATAACATCCACTATTTGTCAGGAACTATTCTAAATGTATTTTATATGCCACTGCATTTAATCTTTATATGGAATGTCAGATATAACCGTCATTCCCATTTAACAAATGGGAGAATTGAGGAATACAGTTATTGAGTTGCTTGTCCAACATCTTAAAATTAATCAGAAGAGGCAGGATTTCAACCCAAATTAGACTAGTTCTAGGACTCATACTGTTAACACTATATAGGCTTATGATAGTGCCTGGCATACAGGATATACCCATTAGATATTTACTGAATGAATTCTCTCTCTTGGTAGATTATTGTTACCATGAAAAGAATTTCTTTTCCACAGTGGTCACACTTACTGAAACCTATTTAATCATATCTAATATATTTGCATGCAAACTTCTGTGAGGCCAGTAATATCACAGAACAAAATTAAGAATCAGAAACTGTCATGAAAACATATATAAATACCTTCTAGTTCACCAATTTTTTTGGCAAACACTTTCAGTTGTTTTTTCAATTTCCGAACAGTCTTATCCTGTTTTTCAAGTTGTTCCATCAAGTCCTAGAGATTAAAATGAGACATATGACAGATCAAAATAGGTTTTCTGAAATGCACCAAGGGAAAGCAGACACAACATCACAGAAGTAATACTGTTAGTTTTACATAAAAGCTCCAGAAAAGCTTGTTGGTGGAGCCACCACCTGGCTAAAATTGTCAGGCGTGGGAAATGTAGCTACAATAAAAGCCGAATGTTAAATATACCACGAAGTAAATCCCTTACAGGATGATGGACAGCAGGTTCTCTGTGGAGGCTTTTCTAGCAGGCTCCATGTGGGGCAAACAACAGGATACTTATAAAACTTATTGCCTTTTCCCCAGGAGAATGGCTTCTTTTATTTTTAAGAAGATTTTATTTATTTGAAAGGCAGAGTTAGATAGAAAGTAAGAGAGAGAAGAGGAAGAAAAGTGAGAGAGAGAAATCTATTGATTCACTCCCGAAATGGTTACCATGGCTGGAATCAGGCCAGGAGGCCAGAGTTCCATCAGGGTCTCCCATGTGGATGGCAGGGCCCCGAGTACTGGAGCCACCTGCTGTGGCTTTCCCAAGTGCATCAACAAGGAGCTAGATCAGAAGAGAGCAGCTGATACTTTGACAGGTGTTTATATGGGATGTTGGCATCGCAAGAGTAGCTTAACCTGATGTGCCACAATGTCAGCCTGAAATGATTTTTTTCCCTGAAGGTGGACTAGGCAAAACCAAATTCTGATGAAGGCACAAAATGTATGGGGACACTGAAGGGGGACTGGCCTTTGGTGGAGACCAACACTCTATGTGTGAAGGCCTCTGAGACCTTTCTTGGGAGGCTCTGACTTCCTGAAGCCCCAGAAAAGTTAAGCAGTTTGAGACACTAACAAGTTGAAAAATAGTAATGAAGAACAGCAGCAGTCTGCTGTCTTAGCAGGTGGCATGAAACACCCATAAAATTTTGTTGGTGATAAAACTATGTATACATAGAACAAAGAGTGTAATTAGGACTGCTTCACACCAAAGAGGGAAAAAAAGCAGTATTTGGAAAGGGTTGAAAAAAAAACCCCTCTGGTGATGATTGGCTGTCTGATTAATAAAGGGTTCCCTGAAATGTTTAAGACTCAGTCGTTAAGATGAAGATGGACAAGGGCAGACTGAGAAAGGACCTGGAAGAGAGAGGAGCCAGTGATATCTGTGGTTGTTATGCAGGTTGTAGAAAAAGAACATGCCTACAAATATAAATTTTCACTCTCCATTTCAGAGAGTGAAAATGGGGGAAGTGGTGAACTGAGCAGCTTGGATTCATCTCACATTTTGCTTCCATCACACTGTAAGTGGTGTTAATAACAAACTGAACGTGGCCACAGACACAGGACGCTGACAAGGTGACACCAAGGGCACAGCCGTGGGGAGAAACAGGCTTTGTGCAAGTGCTTGGGGAGCAGCAGCAGCAGCGTGCTCTTCAGTTACAAAGGGCTAGAAGGAGCGAGAGACAATTGGCAAGCTCTGTGGTTTTACATACAATCATCCGTTTGTAAAGTGAAATCCGATATGACTGATACTTCTTAGGGTCATCTGCATATAATTCCTCAAAATACTGAAAAAACAGGCACAATGGATGTTTGTTGTTTTTTTTTTCCCCAGTCTTTGAGGGGAATGCCACCTCTCAGTGAAATCAATTTGACAATAGTTCAAAACAACAATATGGAAACTGCATACATCCTAAAGGCTCTCCTCTGCCCAGCAGAGGTGATCCGGACTACATGCACAGACATTCTTGGCATGAGCACGGGGAGCAGGCCGAGGCCAGGAGGCAATCCGTGAGCAGGGAACCAAGCTGTGCACACTGCCCGGAGATGGCTGCCTTTTTGTTCCCAGCCTCCCGTGTACAATGTTCATCATGGCAGCAGTGCTGGGAAGCATAGGGAAGGCGACTTCCACGACAAGGGCAACACTGGCTACTCCGGTGGCCAGGTTGGGCATCAAGAGGCTGGCGAGAGTCTTTCCCCAAAGAGCAGCTCACCTTGCCTGTCCATCAGAGTGGATAAACCACTTCTGTGTTTGTATTGGTGGGTCCAGGAGGGCAGAATTTCAAAGAACACCGAGCCCAGGTCACTGCAGCTTTACTGTTCTGCTCAAGTCTTTCTTAAAGCAATGATTGAGCAAACATGATTTCTAAGACACTACAGCATTATATGCACTTAAATTTACTGATTTACACAGTTAAACACTCACTAGAATCCACCAGCTCAGTTTAGTCTTGATTTAGCTGTGAAGAATTGCCACCCAAGAAATACTGCATGCAAGACTGCCAAGGCAATGCATCGGCCACTTAGTGAAGAACCCCGGGGAACCTGCCACCCGGAAGCATCTTTACGTCACGGTTTCACCTTGTATTTTAAGCTAATCACTCATGAGTAAGGGATTTGTACATAGAGCAATCATTATTTATCATTCAGTGTATTGATTAATTCTTAATCATCAAAGCATTGTTAGTTTAATTTACTGGAGTAATAAAATTATATTTCAAAAATTAGATTCAGAAGATTTCCTCCCAAATTAGTGAGATTTCAGTAAGAGTTCCCCACTCCCACCCCCAATCTGGCATTCCCACCGGTGATCCGCAGGAAATAATTCATTGAAGGCAGTTGCATACAAGATACCAGGAGATGATTTGTAATGTAAATGGTCTTAAGGCAGTAATGGAGGGATGACTGACACTTCCAACCTTCCTAGAAAACTCAATCTTACTACAGGTCATTGAACAAAAATCTTTAAAAAAAAAAAGATAAAGCAGCACTAATCCCAAACAACTTTTCTGAAAAGCTAACAGTACAACATAGATTTTTATATAGTAATATGGAATTAAAACATTTCAATGATTTTTAATATACTTATCAAACTTTTGATTAAAACTGTGCACTAAAATTTAATATAGGACTGTGAAAGAACTGTTTCAAAACTATTTGATAAAAAAAGAAAAAAGAAATCTTAGATTCTATGACAGTACTAGAATCTGGCAAGAGTAAAAAAAAAAAAAACTCCTCCATATTCATCACATAATCTCTGTTCAAAAGAACAAACCAAGTGTGAGCCTGACTTTGCTACTTCTTCCCTCCGACCCGGGAGCTTTACCCAAAGTCAATCAAAATCCTGGGTTGGCTTTTGTCCAGTGTATTCTCTGATCGTGACTCTAGCCCCCTTGTCTGCTGGAGGTGGATGGTATACATGATGGCTTGGGCACCAATGGTGATTATCCGCAGTCTGTAACGACAATCACCTTGTGCTGACAAACCTCTCGGGCAGCCAGAGGACCCGCCAGTGGAGGCAGCAGATTGTGGCACCTGGAATCTGTGAGAACCCCAACATGCTGGCTACCTTCCAGACCTTCAAGGTCGACCTGACAATACTCAGATGCTCAAGAGCCTTCTGTGAGAAGCACAACCTCTCTGTGCCCTTTTCATTTCCAGCAGTATCGTCTTATTTGCCTTACTCTGTCTCTGCTAGAAGAGGTTAACTAACAAGACAGGGTGATGTGGGTTTCCCCCAGAAAGAATAGCTGTGTTGGGTCCAACGGGCACTAGGCTGTACTGCAGGGCCAGGGACAACTCTCCTTACCAGGTTCTCGTTGGTTAGCCGGGTGATCTCGTGCTGCAGGCTGGCCTCAATGCGGGCCTCCGGAGGCAGCTGCAGGTTCTGGGCCAGCAGCTGCTGCTGCCGGTTGTTCTCCTCCTTTAGGCTCTGGATCTCCCCACGCAGGGCCTCCGCCTCGTTCTCGTGGCTCCTCTTTTGCGCCTGGAGCTGGGATTCCAGGAGTCTGCCGAGAAGCCACACAGGTTGGAAGTGGAGAGGATGCCCCGAGGTCCTGTCTAAGAGGGGCAAGGCTTCACCTCTGCAAGCGGATATGCTTTTGCGAATGTGTAGAATGTGTACCTTCTGGGTTGATTAAAAAATCTCAAATAAGGGCTAGTAGTGGAAACCACTGCTTTCACATGTGTGTCTTTCTGAACTGTATAAAGTTCCCAGAGGCACTGAGAAGCTTGGAGTTTTATTTCTTCTGAAAGGTTCACAGAAAATTACTTTCAAAAATCAATTAAAAGACACAGCTCTAATCTGGCATACTGTATTTACACACTAACGTTTCAACTGGCAAAGACTGTTATCTTTGCTGCAGATCAACTCTTCACTACAAAGGGGTGAGATGACCAACTCCCTGTCTAATGAGAGGGGAATGCCACCTCTCAGTGAAATAAATTTGACAATAATTCAAAACAACAATTAGATGTGCCTTTGAACTTTGAGTTACTAATTCCAGGCAGAGGGTGGGACCAGAGTCCCATTTTTACTTCCTATTCTTATCTCTGAATTACAAGCTGGAGAACCACTACAAGATAGAATGGGCTAAATCCAGACAGTTTTTAATTTGCTACATATATTTTAGACTTTTCATTTTCTCTTCTCAACAGCTTACAGAGCAGCAACAGAATCTCAACAAGCCCAGTTTTAGAACTTAACCAACAAAGTGGTTACTGCTTCTCTGACCAAAACACATGGCCAGCTACACCCGGAGAGCAGCCTAGGTCCCCAGTGGCAAGGACACCACAGAGAACGGCCTCCTTCCTTCATTACACACCCCCACTTCTGCACTTACTCCTTTTTCAAATGCAAAGGGAGTGAGGGTTAAAACTGAATGTGAAGAAAGTGAATATTCTAATTCTCTTGGTTGCCAACCACTGCGTCAAACTTATTGAAGCCATTGCGAACTGTTAACAGCAGACTAAAGATAATTCAGCGATCACAAATTTCCAAAGGATTTGAACAAATAATACCCCAAAGTTAATGACAGTGCTTTATGGTTAGAACAAAGCAGAATATGCAGAAGCCCCTGAACAGTAAATTAGGTATTAGTAAAAGTTAATGATGAAAATGAAATTTTCATGATTTTTAAGACACAAATATCACACACCAAATGAGTGACTATGTTAGAAAGTCAGCTGTTTCTTCCCTTTAAACATTTAATTTACTGTTGGCTAATTATCCTGAACTGCACCCATGCAGGGAGCTTTCTGACTTGCTGTTTCACAAATACGAATTCACAATAGAAGCACAGAATGCCTACTCATGGGTTTAACGTTGCTTTGGGCAGTATAATAATGTATAAGACCACAGTCGCATCGCAACAGGCATGCATAACCTGTAAACTGACAAAGTTGCTGTCTTGATTAATAAGTACTAGTCCCTATCACCACCAGTAATCCGTGCTCTTGTTGGAAGGCTGTTTTTCTTTCAACTCCTAGAGAGAGACATTCACAAATATCTGAAGGGAATTCTCGATAGCATCATTCACTTGCAGTGGTGGGAGCCTTTATTCTGCCAAGGGCCATTTGGATATTTGTATCATTTGCAAGTCATACAAAATGATGAACTGGAAAGTGAGCCTGCTCTAGATTGACCGGGTTTCAGGTCTTGCCTGCAGCTGCCTTGGCAGGGCCAGACTAGGTGACTTCATAGGCCTCTGAACCCTACAGCGCTGATGCTCCACGTCCCTGATGTGAGGCGAGCGACTCTCACTTTCATCATCAAATAATTTCTCAGCTTGGTGCAGAAGGTTTTTAAAGTGCTTGGCTGAATATGCTAAGTTTCACTGAAACCAGTTTATCCAGGGAAGATACTTAATGCACAAGAAATGCAAGTGTTAAAGTCAGGAAGCCGGTGTTAGTAAGAAAAACTGCAAATTAACAACATCCCGTGTCAGGAGACAAATATAACCTGTTGGCTTGTTTTAACCCTTCATAAACCAGCCACAGCTCTCCATCCTCATTCAACTCATGGAAATCCATAGCAGACGATCTTCCATGCAAAAGGAACAACAATGCAAAACACAAAGGGATACAGGATGGTAATGAGATGGTGACAATCGAGCAGCACATGTTATTTTAATATCTCATTAAGTGAGTAAGAATATATTAATTACAGATGATTTTAAGACATTACCACAAGAATTATTTTTGGTTTTTTAAATGGTTAACATGAAGCATCACAAGTAAATGAATAGAGATTAAAAAAAATTAAGAACCCACATCTTCAGCTCCTACAAATATAAGAAACGACTGAAAAAGGTGAGAAAGTTCCACTTTATTGTTTTATTCAGCTAGCAGGGTGATTTTATTATACCAGCAACGAGACTAGAGGCTAAGCAGGGTATACACACATAGGATGAACACTTCAGCTACTGTCTTCCTATGATAATCTTCACAATCTCTTTTAAATTGTGCTTTAAGTCTTCTAGGTAGGAATTTGTTTTAGCTTAATAAAAGCTGATATCCCCTTTAAAATTGGCACATAAAACTCTCACAGATGTAACATAAATAAAAACATGTGCAAAGTTCTCAGCACTTATGGCATAATTGTTTAAAGTTTTCTGTGTCGAAAATCAGTTTTAAGGATCAAGTGTTAATTTTAGTGGTTAAGGCACCAGTTAAGGCTCCTAAGCTTTATACCAGAGTATTTGGGTTTGACCCCCAGTTCTGGCTTCAAACTCCAACTCCTTTCTAAAGCAGACCCTTGCAGACAATAGTCATGACTCAAGCAAGTGAGTTCCTGCCACCTGTGTGGCTTTCAGTAGGACTTGATCCTGGATATTGCTGGTAATTTGCTAAATGAATCAGCAGATGGGAGCTCTAGCTCTATGTTTCTCAGATAAATAAGTCAAAATCAATAAAAACAAATAATTGTACTACCTGAAAAAACTAATTTTATTACCTTTGTGTTAAATATATTAATTAACAAACAATGACAAAGTTGGCCTTTCTTTTTCTTCTTCTTCTTTTTTTTTTTTTAACCTAGGACTTAAAAATAATACTTTTTTGGAATACCTGGTAAACGTCAGGACTTTTTCTACCTCCTTTTACTGTGTTCAGTCTCCCAGTAGCCCAATTTCTATCACTTGCCACATTGTGGAGGAAGATACACAGGTTCAGAAGACACCTGCAGAGGGTGGGTGGCTGGCAAGTAGCAGAGCCCACCCAGTGCCAGCTCACTCCACAGGCCAGTTCTCACTCCAGATTCTCCCTCCCTATTTCTACATTTACATAGCACATTTAAGGACTTTCCTTTCTAGTTTTTTTAATCTATCATCTCTCCCTAGAGAGTTCATCTATTACACATTATTTTACTCTAATTACTTTAAAATTTACTTTAGTCCACACATCTCTCCTGACTTGAGACCAATATATGGAACTGCCTAAGGGAATTCTCTCCTTGGATGTCCTCCTGATTTCTTAAACTCAGTCTGTGTAAATTTACTCATGACCCCCACCCAGCACTGTACCACAGCACACCACAGCTCCATGGCTGGAAAACGGCCTTGCCACATCCAACAAGTTTATCAGGAAACTTCCCTGTCCCTTGCAACACACTCAACTCACCGCCAGGCTCACTGGCCTCATCTTCTGACATATCTTTCAAAGTGTTCCATTTCTCTCAATGCAAACAGCCACCAAATAGGCCCAAATTGTCATAATCAGTCACTGGATTACGTGTAGTCACCTCTTAACTGGTCTACATGCCTTCGATAATTGTTCCATGGCAATCTGTTCTCTAATACATCAGGCAGACTAGCTTTCTAAATGTCAACTCTGATCACCTCTTTCTAGTTAAAGCCTTCCAACAGTTCCCACTATTCTTGAAATAAAGTCCAAATCTCCAGTAACTTCAGCCTCTGACATTTTTTTTTTAAGATGTGGTCCAGTATCTGGCATAAAGTGGGCATGGACATCCATGGGCATGTATACAATGACCTGTGGGTCATTGAATACTTGAGTGGACGGACAGTACAACATTCACATAGTTCTTGCTGCACCAACATTTTTTCTTAGATATAAAGGTATGCTTATAGTTTATATTCTTAAACTGAAATTTAAGTTTAACCAAATTATTTTAGAAGTGTTTCTCTATCCTTACCCATAAGAGGGTAGGGAGTACCTTACCTCTATATGGCACTGTTCTTTAATCTGTGAAGTGTTTATACATGCCAATACTGATATGATACATTGATAATGCATCTCTCCAGAATTTTCTTCCTTATCACTTGCCAGGTTGTCTCAAAATGGTCTGGTCTGCAGTTTTGTGAGCTCAATTCATTCGCATTAAGGCTCTGTTGGGAAGGGCTGGGGTAACAGAGCTGAGGGGAAATCCAAATATGAACCCTCATACTGCCCTGCTCAAACTCATTGAACCATTTTAGGGTTACATGGCCAACTCTGAGGCAATTCTAAACACTGCACTTCTCTTCACACTTAATTGCCCCCTACAAAACTTCACAAATAACCATGCGGAGTAACAAATGACAGTGACTATCCAGGGCAGCCCACACTGGATAGATGGGTTTCTTCTCAAGGTCCACCTCAAAGTTAAACTACATACACACCCACTAGCTTCCCTTGATGCAACGAACACTCTCCCTGGTGGCACTCGTCCATAATGCTGCCTTAATACATGAGATTTTAACTGAGACTACATTTGAAATCCTGGATTTTCAATGCATAAACACGTTAGCTTGTTGTACAAAAGCATGGTTCGAAGGCCAAAAAAATCAACACAGCTGTACCACATGCACAAGGGAACTATCAACTTACCTGTTGGTTTCTTTCAAACCAATGTAGGCTTGTGCTATTTCACCTTTATCTTTCATTTTTTGCACATCTTCCAAAAGTATTGTGGAGTCCGTCATTGTATTCTGAAGGGTAAATGATATATTTCACATTAACATCCAATCAAATGCTTTAAACTACATATGATTTCTTTCTTTTCTCCAGTGAGGGAGATTTACGTGCTCTAGGGAGTCACCCCAGGCCCATGTAACTGTGGAGGAAGTTCAAGGTGAAATTATACAAACATATGTGAGTACATGAGGACACTTCAAACTTTTGGAGGCCTTCTGTTTGTCTACAAATGTTTTATATGCAGAGATGTGTGTATACATATATATTTCACATAAAGTATATAGTATGTACTATAGTGATCATAATAGTATCAGGAAAACAACAAACCAACACTTGAACAAAATACATAGAGCTGTTTCTTCTACTATTTTCTCATCAGTTAGAATGAGATAAATGATAAAGGCTTCTAACAAAACACTAAAAATATGATATACAGTACATTTTTAAAAATTAAAGGCCCAGTGCAAAGAAGGTGGTGTTAAGATGATATGTTTTAGCAAAATGTAGGGTTTTTTTTTTCCCCTCACATCTTCAGATATATATAAATGGCAGGGGTTCAGCTTCATGTAAGTATCTACCATCTGCTGTTATTCAAAGCCTTTTTCTGTGATACAGCTTAGCATGCAACATAAGCTTTGGAAACAAACATGTGACAGGTCGGGATTACTAATGTCTGTATAGTTAAAAAGGCCTGTTATGCACATTCTGACTTGCCTGATGTGATTTCAAAATCCTTTTCTACTTAGCCACTATTATGTTGCACCTTTCCGGAGCAGACATGAAGAATCAATGCTCTGTGGTCTTGAAAGGATGATTAGTACGCTCCAAAATCTCACAGCTCATTTTATTCGTGTACATTGTATATACGTGAGCCTCTAGAGCCAGGTCTCACAACACAGCGGACTTAAGAGAATACACTTCAATACAGTGATTGCAGACATGTTCTAGCATGGCTTTGAAACCACAGGCTTAGCAATGTCTGCCCAGATTTCAGTGTGTAAGAAACATTCTTCAAAAATACTCCTTTATATATGCGTTCTTTAATCAGGCTAAATATATAACCTGATATACACTATTAATAAATATAGAGGTTAATTACATTTTAAAGATCTTGTCCATAAATACCACATACATATTTTTTCAAGTATGCTTTCTAAACAGTTAAAACAGATTTCAAAAAAATTTTTTTCTCTGAAAAGAAAAAAAGAACCAATTTTTCTACTCCATAAAGGATCATACTCATTTTTAAAACCCTTATGTAGTACCTTTCAAAGTCTCAAGTAAATAATCCTCGATGTATGCTTTGATATCTAAGACTGACTTATGTGGTTTGAATGTCCATAAAATTAAGCCACTTTATCTAATTATCTGGCCCAAGGGACAGCTGTATGTCTTTAAATGTTGTTGTCCTGGGGTATAAGTAGTGCTCGGTTCCCTTACCCTGTCTGCTCAGGCTAAGGAGTGGGAGCTGCGACATGAGGGTGGCCTCGGCGCAGTAGCAGAAGGCCCTTACTGCTTAGTCTGTCCCCACAAGGCCAGTGACCGGAAGTTCCGAGAGGATAGCACCCTGTGAGGTCAATCCCAGCACTAGCTGTCATGCAACAGGGAGAGTACAGAGCAGTGTGTTCTTCCCAGGCCTCTCCTCATCCTTGCTGAGCCAACAAAGCCACAGATGGAAGAAAAGAGCTCAGCAGCCTATGTGTCTGAGTAGACTCCAAGTCAAGTTTCCCCGACTCCCTGCTTGCGTGTGACCGACCATAACCTATAAAGTGAGTCACAAAGCTGATCCAGAATGGAATCTGTGACAACCACTATTTTCCACTGATTCCAAAAACAGGAAGGAATCAAACAGGAAATTAATCTGTAAACAAATAAAGATCGACTTGATGGATATAAAGTACCAATTGCATATATTTGGGAATACCTGTGTACTAAAGTTAGAAATAAATAGAAGTATTTACTAAAAATCGGAAGAAATCTTATAATTACCTTGTCATCCTGAAAATCAGAAGCCAGCAAGCAAACACACACACAAAAGAAGAAAAAACAATAAACCCTTAGTTCTACAAATCAATTTTTGTAGTCCCTTGCATAACAGGTAAAACTTAATTTAAAAAAAAAACATGAATTGTTCTAAAACTCTGTAAATCACAATACATGACACTGGTATAAAATAGATGCTAATATATATCCTTGTCATAAACCCTTATTAAGAGAAAAAAAAAACTCAAGCTTTTTTGAGTTGTTTGGGTGTCTCTGGCTGTGATATTTCTGGGTTCTTGAGAGAAAATGATCCTCCTGTTAACAAACATGAATAAAGTTTTCATCCCAAGTATGTGGGAGCCCCAGGAATGCCTACTGGTAGGTCTATGCAAGGCCTCCAGAGCCCTCTGGAGGTGGAGCAGATAAACTAGATGGGGCTGGCCCATCCTACCTGAACACTGCCTGCAAAGGAGTTGTAAGAGCTGACCAGTTGCTGAGCAAGACAAACAGCCCCAATGATGTTGGGAAGGCCTCAGTGTCAGGAGAGGACAGGACTGCCCAGGGTAGGCTGAGCTGGGTGAACAAACTTTGGTTAGACAGGGCTAGGCCACTGCAGGTGGGTGAACAGTTGACAAACGTGGCGTGAGGGCTGGGTCAGGCTTTTGATGCTGGTAGCATCATTTTCCTTTTCCATTCTCTTATATTATTCTAAAGTTTCTTGTGAGATTATATTATATCATATATAAATATACAATTACATGTAAATAAATTGTAAAAAGACTAGCAACTTTTCCCAAGGGAATGAGAGACAAGAATCCTGACTTTGGATTCCGTAGATGAGCAGAAACACAGCCTTGTTTCTTTGGCTTCAGGCATGATGGCAGTCTTTGGAATCAATCGAGGACAGGGATGCCTGCTTGGCCAAACCACAGCAGATGGCCTCTTTTCACCCCAGATTTAGTGATTGGTTTTAAAATTTTGAAGCCCGTTTCTTTACATAATCCCACTTGTTACAGGACTTTCCTCTCCCACCCCAGCACAAAATTATTTAGTCAGATATCTTGGATTTGAATTCACTACTTTTCTTTTCAAGATTTATTTATTTATTTGAAGGGTAAAGTGACAGAGAGAGACAGGAGAGAGAAAAACCTTCGATCTCCCATTTGCTGGCTTGCCCCTGAAATGACCACCATAGCTGGGGATGAGCCAGACCAAAGTTAGGAGCCAGGAACTCCATGTAAGTTTTCTAAGTGGGTGGCAGGCACGTAAGTACTTCAGCCACTATCCACTGCCTCCCAGAATGCAATTGCAGGGAGATAGAGCAGAAGTTGAATAGCTGGGAATCAAACTGGCAGTTTGATATTAGATGTAGGGCATTCTAAGCAGCAGCTTAACGAGCTGCACTGAAAACTCATTTTAGAACTGGCTATTTTTCAAAGCAGCGTTGATCCCAGGTGTGAGCTGCCTTAACCAAAACTAACTGTACATTCCAAATAAAGAATCCAAACCACACAGAGAAATAGCATTTCTAAAGGAAGCATACTCATATTTTTCGCAGCATCCAGCTCATTCTGTCATGGACACCTCACATGGTATGTGACCCAGCTGGGGTACTTGATGACTTGGTTCCTATGCCTTTGCTACGCACATGTGGGCAGAGACACAGAGCAGATTTTCAAGCTGATTATTAAGGTTACCTCTGATGGAAAGTGACAAACAGGCCTATTCTCATTAGTACATGGCACTACCAGGTCTCAAAACAGCCTCGGACAGGGAAGACCTCAGTGTGGAAACCCTCACTGCAGAGTCCCCAGTGACAGCCCCTCCCAGTGGGCATGGCTTCCCAGGGGAGCAGGGATCTCCTCCATGCAACTTCCACCCAGTGGTTCATTTCTAGCCTCTTCATATGTTACTTTTCCAGGCTATTTTCAAAAAGTAATTTAAAAGTTGCATTTAATTCCTCCCCAAGCATGACAACTTAAGGCCTTTGTATTAAATAGGATTTTATATCAGATCATAACTTACTATGGCCACATTAATGCAAAAGATTAATTTTTAAAGACTTTGCTCACAAGAGAGCGAGAGATAAAACTTAGGTCATTTAAAATTCATTGCTTTTAAAAATTATTAATTCTCTGAGTAAAAATGCTCATATATATTTGCTTCGTTATAACAGAAAAGAAGAAACAGGGAAGGCCTGGCACAAGATCTCAACTGGCCAATCCTCACCTGCAAGTACCTGCATTCCAAATGGGTGCCAGTTTGAGTCCTGACTGCCCCACTTCCAATCCTAGCTCCCTGCTTTTGGCCTGGGGAAGACCCACAAGTGGGTTCCTGGCTCCTGGCTTTGAATTGGCTCAGCTCCAGCCATTATGGCCATTTGGGGAGTGAACCAATGGATGGAAGATCTTTTTCTCTCTGTCTCCTCTTCTCTCCACAAATCTGCCTTTCCAATAAAAATAAGTCAACTCTTAAAAAAACAGAAGAAGAAGAAGAATTGAGTGTGGTCCCCACACAGCCACTTGAGCCCTGGACACATACTTACCTTGGGTTGGATGGCTTCCTTTTGGCTCACCAGCTGAGACCTCAGGATGAGCACTTCCTCCTTGCGGACATCAAGCTCCTCACTCACAGTGGCCAGCTGCTCCATGAGGACACGGTAAGCAGGTGCACCAGGAGCGGTCACCTCTGGGGCGCTCTTCTCACTAAGGGCCTTGCGTAACTCATTTAGCTCATTTTTCAGTTTTTTGTTTTCTGATTCTAGTTCTTGACGCTGTATGAAGAGATAAGGCAAAGCTCACTGTTGTCATCCTCAGCTTTACGCAGGAATGCTCTTCCCCTAGGCTGGCAGGGAAATTCTGATAGCAAAGATGTTCAGAGCTACAAGGGAATGACTTCCCAGGCCCTACAGCAAGCTCTGCTCACAAATTACTGAAGTCTAGTTTTTCAGCAATCCAGCTTCCACAGTCAAATGTATTCTGGCCTGCCCAGGAATGTTCATAGGTCTGGTGAGGTGAGCCCATCCTCTTGAGTCCAGGTTTTATGGGCACATAAACATGAGGGCAAATAAAAAGATCTATCTGGTTAAAACATCTCCAACAAATTGTGGATCCCTAAAATCTTTAGTAGACCGCTCTTACTTTCTATGTAAAGCAGACCTCTGAGATAAGAATTTAACTTTCAATTTTTTAAAAAAATTACCTTACCATTTAGGCTGATAAAATTCCTTCATGTTTCAATGACAATGCATAATGCAGTTCTCACACTTCCTCCCTGTGTGGCATGCCTGTGAAGTCAGCAGCGAGGCCTTGCTCTGAAGGTGGAAGGAGCGACTGAACACCTCCTTCCCCCAGCAGATGGACACGCACCTCCTTCATCCTCTCCACACTTCCACCAACCACCAGCCACCCTCATGCTGCCAGCTGGCTCTGTCCTCCCCTCATCCTGTTCAAACAACAGCAGTAGGAACCCAGAAAAGAGTGCCAGCGATGCTAAGATCCAGTTATCATAAGATATTGACTGAGAACCACTGAAGTAGATGAGCATTTTAAAGCACTAGGAACCCTATGGTGCCTTCCTTATTTAGCATGTGACGCAAACCTGACGATGATGGACATGACACACACCTGTATAAGGAGCAACTCTTTTATTATTATTTATTTCCAGAGAATCAATCCTGGGCGCCTCTTACCAGACCTATGTGGAATCCTTCCCCTGCTGGTTTAGGAATTATGTAATTCCCCATTCATTAATCTAGTCTTCTGTGACAGTGTGCACTTGGACTCCTACCAACCAGTCGGCATGAATTGCTCTTTTCTGTATTAGAAAACAAATGAATGTCTTTATTGTGATGCCTCAGCTCTGGTATATGTGTGATGTATCCAAACCTTCACTGAGCATCATAATCACCAGTGGTGGGGTCTTGTTACAACACAGATAATTGGTCCCTTCTGCAGATTCTGACTTAATGGGTCCAGGAGCGTGAAGTCTGAAAACCCGCATTTCCAGCAGGTTTGCAGATGATATCTTATAACTGTGAATCTGGCTCATGTACACGACAGAGAATACCTTCACGTGGCTGTTTTTTGAGGGCGTCAAGAGAGGACTCAGAGAGTGGACTTCCACCTCCATGCCCTTGGTCTGTCGCCTCACCCCTAATCGGATTTGGCTTTGTTTTTTAATTTGGAAAGGAGACAGAGAGAGAGAGAGAGAGAGAGAGAGAGAGAGAGAGATTGTGGGTGTGTAGGGAGAGGGTGAGTGAGCTTCCACCTACTGGCTCACTCCCCAAATGCCTGCAAACAGCCAGTGCTAGGAAGGGACACGGCTGGGAAGTAGGAACACAAGCCAGGTTTCCCGTGTGAGTGCCAGGGACTCCCGGGATGTGCATTAGTGGGAAGCTGGTGCTAGGAGCCATAGCTGGGAATTGAGGCTAGGTGCTCCAGTGTGCGATATTTTAACTGCTAGGTGCACACAAGACACCTGTGTTCTAAGTGGCACATGTAGCAGTTGAATGCAGGTAGCCCAGAACCCCTGTCTTTACTACTGCAGTCTCAAATGGCACCTACTTTTCTTGCTCCTGTTTAGACTGAAGTCTAGCTTCTGAGAAACAGAATTTCCGTAATGCCTGAAGAAGGTTTATCTGGGGACTTTTGATCAAACCTCTAGCCCTTAAGGATGTTCTCCGAGACAAAAAAACAAAAAAGCAACTCTGGGCAAGTCTTTTGCCAACGTAAAAGAGTTCAAATCTTGGGCAGAAATTCCCCAGTACCTTGAGTGACTCATATTCCAGTTCTGCACCTCTGACTTGGGGTCTTTCTTCTTCCTGAGGAAAAACATGAAATAAAAATTTTATCTTTTAATTGTCACATGTTCACTTTTAAGAATATGTCCCTGTCCTACAGAAGTTAGCCCTCAGCAGTCTAACCAAACATGGCTTGGCTAAGGTACTTCTGGGCTACATTCTCACTAAAGAAGCCATGGCGGACAGGGAGCCCCAGGCCCGCCTCAGCAGCCGGGTTCACCTCGGGCCAGGAGCGACCACACTGCGCACCTTTGCCTTGCTGCGCAGCACCTGCTCCTCCTTGCGGTCCAGCTCGTCCTGCATCGCCTGCTTCTCCTGCTCCAGCTCCGTGACGCGCTTCTGCAGCTTGAGAAACAATGACATGTCCAGAGGGACCTTCTTCTCACTTGGCTCCTAAACCCCAGGAGGGACACGCACAAGGCAAGGAAAAGATCATGAATAGCTCTGGAGGAAAAGTAATGAAGAATATACATGAAAAAATGCTCATTTCACTAACAACTGCAGAAATGCAAAATAAACAACAGAAAAACACTGCCTCTCTCTTATCAGAGTGACAAAGACTGAAAGATTCACAAGACCCTGTGTGGGCAATCATGTCTCGTGACGTAAGTGGAAATACAAGAAAACTTTCTAAAAAAGCTGTTTCACTGTATTTTTTTTAAAAAATAAATGTATATACCTGCTAACCCAACAAATCTGCATTTAGGAATTAACCCTATAAAAATACTCAGGTAAATATGCAAAACATGTGGGGAAAATGTTTATCGAAGCATTTTTGTAATTTTGCAAAACTTTGACAGGAACTTCAATGCCAGACCAAAAAAAAAAAAAAACCTGTTCAAATTATTGTATTGTCAACCTGAGAAATATTTTACAATTGCTAAAAGATTTACATGAGCAGATAAATATACTTCATCCCAGACAGATGAAGTACTAAATTAACACTGTATATTGTGGTACAGAATATACACTACAATCTAATTTTTGTTTTTTTAAAAAAGGCACATAACGATATGTGACTTCAAAGTTCATACGTAGAATGCGCATACAAAAATCTGAGAGCCCATCAGTGGTTGCCTTGGGGGCTGAGAGATACTTTTTCCTTTGCACATTTCTTTATCTGAATTGTTTACAATAAGCAGACACTAGATTGCAATCACATAGAATGATTTTGGAAAAGGTGAAGAGCCAACAAACACTTATTAAGATCTGCTAGAGGAAAGTGAGAACCCAAAGCAGAGAGCGCCCTTCAACTGAAAGATCCCCTAACAGCATTCAAGGCTTTGCTTTGCTTTTTCTTTTCTTTTTCTTTTTTTTAAACTGGCTATAAAACAGAAGAACTGCTGAGGCTTAACAAAGGCATACTGATTAAAACAGATATGGAAAGAATCAAATATCCTTATGGTACTTCTCAGAGTGTTATAATTGTGCTATCTTGCTTAATTGAGGTTTTAACTTTTAATGAGGTCAGAATGAAAATAACTGCATCATTAGCCTTAATGTAAAGTATATCTGTTGATGGAGAAGATAGAGAGGGAATGGTTAAAATAACATCTAACTACATGAGGCCAAAATACACTACTTCAGTGCTTCGAAAAGCTTATCTTTCCGGCTATTCATAAAACAGGATGCTTAGTTGTGTCTTAGGGACATAGGAGTGGAACAAGCTTTTTAGAAATTCTAGAAAATTGGGCCCAGTGGCGTGGCCTAGCGGCTAAAAGTCCTTGCCTTGAACGCACCGGAATCCCATATGGGCACCGTTTCTAATCCCAGCAGCTCCACTTCCCATCCAGCTCCCTGCTTGTGGCCTGGGAAAGCAGTCGAGGATGGCCCAAAGCCTTGGGCCCTGCACCCATGTGGGATACCCGGAAGAAATTCCTGGATCCTGGCTTCGGATCGGCACAGTACCGGCCGTTGTGGTCACTTGGGGAGTGAATCATCAGACGGAAGATCTTCCTCTCTCTCTCTCTCCTCCTCTCCGTATATCTGACTTTCCAATAAATAAATAAATCTTAAAAAAAAAAGAAATTCTAGAAAATAAGGACAGGCAGGATAAAGAAAAATTTAGGAATAATCTCATATGCAGACAAAACTCCAATTTTATCAGTATTTTTCTCTGCATCTACAGATTTAAAAAATTTGTGTAGTATGTCTTTATAAATTTGATTGCCTTTTAGTCTTAGTGCTACACTATAGTTCTAACTGTATAGTAAGTATAACATCATCTAGCCATTATCTTGCTGATGTATGTTGAGAATGCTTTGCTGTTTTTGCTACTGAATATTGAAATTAATATCCTAGTACATCCATATCTAACATGAACTATTTTAAGTCTCTTACATGGAACCAAAGTACACATTTCCAAATTGAATGGATGCTTGTTTTCATCTCAGCTACTACCTTGTCTGGAATACAAGCAACTGTAGTAATTTGAAAATAAATCAGCTCAGCTGATAGACCCAAAATAGTATTTCACTATTATTTTAGTTTGTATTTCTCTGACTTTTCATAGCATAGAATGAATATTTATTTTGAGGAATTTTGTATTCATTAGCCACTTTTGGTCTTTTTCTGAATTCGGAGTAGTGTCAAGTTCAGTGTTATTCCAAATCTTAAAATAAAACAAAACAAACTAATGGGGAAAAATCAACTAAATTAGAAAGTTGGCATTTATAGGGGGTCAAGGCTATTTGCCCACAAACTAATTATACATGGACTTTGTTAATGTGTAATTTGTAAGATTCAATAGTAAGAAAAGGGTAGCCATATCATCTTTACCATAAAGTCCATCCTGACTCAGAATGAAGACTACGTTGCCACAATGTGAAAATACTATAGAATTTCATTCACATAAAAATTCATTCTTTAGTGCTTGCTTTAGCAGCACATACACTAAAAAAAATCCACTTTTCTGTTTCATATTCACATTTTAGCTTACTTGCAATGTTTAACACTTACCTTATATATTTTTAATATTTGTTCATTTATCAATAATGCATATGTTCTTGAAATTTTAACTATCTTGTATTTTTTATATAACAGAAACCTTTGTCTGACGTATGAATATAATACTTAAGTCATAGTACCTAAAATGTTATGAGTTAGAAATTATTCCTGGGCCTGGTGCTATGGTGTAGTAAGTAAGGAGCTAACTACGGTGTCAGCATCCCATATGGGCACAGGTTCGAGACCTCACTGCTTCACTTCCAACCCAACCCCCTGCTTATGGCCTGGGGAAGCGGCAGAAGGTAGTTCACGTGCTTGGGCCCCTGCATCCATGAGGGAGATTCAGAAGAAGCTCCAGGCTCCTGGCTTCAGACTGGACCACATCTGGCCACTGTGGTCATTTGAGGAGTGAACCAGCAGAATGAACCGCTCGCTGCCTCTGTCTCTCCCTCTATCTCTGTGATTCTGCCTTTCTAAAAAATTAATCTTTTTTTTTTCTAAAAAGATTCTGAAGCAAATTAGCTAAAAACAAACAAAAAGAGAATTATTCCTTTGAACCTTGAATGGCATCTTTAAATTCTTATTAAAAAAGGAATGGGCTATGAACTGATTGCTAAAGAAGAATGAAATTCTATAGGTAGGAATATTAAGACAGAAGAGGGAAGAATACAAAAGATAACTTTTGACAAATGCAAGATATCTTGAGTGACAAAGACTGATCATCATTTCAGAGTGCTCTGAGTGGAGCAAGGACAAGATGGAGCCAATTCTTGTCCTTACTGACACATCTGGTTAAAGAGACCGCTTGTCCACTTTACGTTGCACAAGCGATAAGGACAACTGGACCACCTGCCTCAGGAAAGTTTCTAAAGTTTGGTTTTTGCTTTCCTTCCTTAGTAAGGAAACTAAGTATGGTCAACTAGGGCTTTTGTCACAATAAAGCTCCGAAACTGACCTAAAACAAAAACAAAACAAAATAAAAAAGAAAAACACAACCAGATTCTCAACTGAGAAAAGTCAGAATTATTTGCACAAAATTATCACTGCAGTTTGGCAGTCACTCTGGAATCATTCCTATGAGGAAGTTCCAGAACAAAAGCAGAGTTGGGGTACTCAGCCAAAGGCCGTCAGGAAAGGGGCATGACTAAGCAGGAAGCCGTGGTTCCAGAGCAAAGGAAACCCAGCACACCAACAGGCTGAAGTGTGGGAGGCTGCCAAGCAAGCGGAGCCGGGAGGTGGGCGGGAGGTGAGTTCTCCAGAAACAGCAACGGAGGCACCACGGTGACTCATGAAGGAGGAGCCACAGCTTTGGCGAAGGTAGCAGAACACTGAGTCCTTTGTAAATACCCTAAGTTATCTATTCATTTGAGTGGAGGGAGAGAGGAAAGAGGGCAAGGGGGAAGGAGAAAGGAACGAGAGAGAAATCCTCTACCCACTGGTGCATTCCTGCAGTGCCTACAACGGCTGGAACGGGGTCAGGCCAAAGCCTGCATCCCAGAAACCCAATCCAGGGTTCCCACCTGAATGGCAGAGTACTGAAATCATGGCTTGCTGTATCACAGAGTGTGTGTTAACAGGAAACTGAAATCAGGAACGCAGCCAGTACTTAATTTCAGGCATTCTGACTTGGGATGTGAGTGTACAAAATGACATCTTCGCCACTATGCCAAATACCCACCCCTAATTCCCTTTTTATACCAAACTTTGCTGCCGTTGTATGATTAAAGTTGGAATTCTGTTCCCAAAAATGTCAAAAGAATCCTACCTATTTTAACAACAAAAAAGGTCCATTATTTTCTGATACGATTCTTATAGATTTATTTGAGAATATCACATTTTAGGAGCTAAAATGTCTCCTTGGGTTTGGGAGACACAATCTGTAAACCAGGCAACCTTAACCCAAGCCTCACAAGCAACAGAAATAGAGAGACCCAGCCAGGCACAGTCTTGGGCTGGCACCTCTCTCCTGTCCAGCTTCCCTCTGATAATCCATCTCCCTGTTCCTATTATGACTTAGACAAATATACACTTTTAATCCTGAAAACATCCAGTCAGCAAGTGATCATTAGGAAGCTATTTACTACAGCTGTGACATCTATGCATTGAGCAGTTCCTATGTAATAGACACTGTCCCAACTGTTTACTATGAATTAACTCACTTAACCTCAGAACATAAAACAGCAGAAGCATCTCTACTTCCTAGCTGAGGAGACTGAGGCTAAGCTAATGAACTGATGCAGGGAGGAGAGCGTCTGTGGTCTATCTCACTGTCAAGACAACACTGGCTCCCCCAGACTCAGCCACATTTCGGGCATATGCAGTTAGTTGTAAGGGACTGTTCACTGGCATGACTTGATCTGGCTGCATGACTCACAGCTGGCATGTCGGTGCCCTTAAAGGGTGGCACTTAACATATCAAGTTCTAACATGTAAAGTGCAAGTCATACTTCATTGTCCAAAAAGAGAAGAGGAATGTCCTGGATTTCACACCTCAGGCAGTCAGTTGACACAGTTGGGATATTTGCTGCCTCAGTGAGTACCCAGGTTTGAGCCCTGTGTGCTTGCTTAGTTCCTGCTTCCTGTCCATTCTGGGAAGTAGCAGGTGATGGCTTGAGTAGCTGGGGTCATGTCATCCACACTGGGGACCTGATTTTGAGTTCCTGGCTCCTGGCTTCAGGCTGGCTTGCCTTTACTGGTGTAAACACTTGGGGAGTGAAGCAGCAGATGCGGGCTGTCTGTCTGTGTCCTTCTCTGTGTCTCTTTCAAGCAAATGACATTAATTCATGTTTTAAAATCCCATTCTAGAATTGGGGCCGGGGGGGAGGTGGGTGGGAAGGGAATCCCAGACTCTACAGAATTGTATCATAAAATTAAATTTGAAATAAAAAATTTTTTTAAAATCCAGTTCTATCTGTTAGCTTCAGCAGAAAGCAGATGAGAAATAGAAACAAAAAGCTTATCCTCCAAGTCTATAATAGTCTGGAGGAAATTTGACAGAGAATTTGACAAACACTATTATTAATAAAAATTGGGTAAAGTCCATAAGATATTTTTTTTTAGTTTAAAGATGTGATATCCTCAGTCAAAGCCATTGGCAGCAGACCTCTTTGCCCTGAGCTTATTACAGAACAGGTCTCAGCACACATCTCTTCTTCCTGGTTCCCACCTACCACGTAGGGACTGCTTAAACAGCATCAATTGGAGGGGTCAGTCTGTAAATGTACATCACTCTCTACTGCGAGAGGACACTTCACAAAGACCAACCGGATGCAACACTTCACAAAGCTCCCCTCTCCACGAAAGGCTTCTCTGAAGTCCTGCTTTTGAAATCTTCAAAGCCTAACTCTGCAGTAATCTCCAAAGTCGATGACCAATGGTTCCTCCTGATGCACATGGTTCCTCCCTGAATCTGTGAATTGCCTCGACTACAGTGTGGCAGAACTGACACTGGATAAGTTCTTGGTCCAGCCTGAAGAGGCCTGGCATTGTCTACACTCTCAGACACACTTGCCTGCTGCCGAGGAGACAGATCTCGTGTGAATGCAACTGCAAGACATTCCTACGATAATAAAGACAATTTTCCTCAAAACGAATTGACTGAGTTGGCAGAAACTTTGTATTCTTAAAACTAAGACAAGAAATAAAAGCATCACTCAGTTTTCTTCAACTATTATGCCAGAAGCTGGTTATTTCTAATGTGGCCATTTTCAAAGAATAGAATATAAAAATGGAACAACCTGTGCATGAATTACCTATCACTGAAACTAACATTGTATTCAACCAAATCTGAGAACTGGCCAGAAACAAACTTAAAGTTAACTATTCTTTTAGAGCTATAGTAATGTCTGGTTTTCATCTCATATTTTTGTGGAAGAAAATTATTTTGGTTAAAGACTGACATCAAACTAAGGCATTTTTAACTTTGCTAAACTCTTAGGCATCAATATTTATCATTTCAAAAACAGATGACTTAACTTTTTAGACAATTTACCTCAGTCTGAAGTAAATTCCTAAGAGTATATTTTCAGTACAGATCATGTTAAAGTGTAAAAGGAAACTACAAAAGGCAAATCTCATCATCAAATTTACATTAAAAATATAATTAAAATGCAGTCATTAGCACCACCACTGCTCCTGCCCAGGACCAGACTGCAATGAACTCTCTTAGTCTAGAAGCTCAGCCTTTGCCCCCAGAGGGCCACCTGCTCCAACATCATAACTGATGGGATTTTTTCCAGAAATGTACCCATCAGACTCATTGTATCTTAGCTATTCCTGATTCTTTCCAAAAGTGAAAACAAAATACTATTTCAAAAAATACAATTAAAATGTATTTCAAGAAATGCATGTGGTAATTATGTGTACATCCAGCTCATTAGACATCCATTAATCACTTAAAAGAAAAAACAACTCAAAATAAATGTCATATGCGTGGGAACTTAGACTACTCTGTGATGGAAATGAGTCCTGTCACTAATGCAGGGTCACTTTCTCCTTGTGGTAACAGATCTAACACATACCTCCGTCCTCAGTGGAACGTCTTCAGTTTCTGCAATTTCAGAGCTAAAGGTATACTCGGACTCATTGCTGCTGTGGGTAGAGTCTGTCCTCTTGTGTCCGGGCTTAGGCACATTCTGCAAGGTAGCATTAACGCAGCATCATCAAAGTTGGCACAGCTAATACAGTAGATGTATTGGGTGTAATCCCCAAGCCTGTTGTAGTGATTCCCAAATGAGTGATTCCCGTGTTATCTTGACCGCATTGCCATAAAAGGGTCATCTTTTCAATAAAAGAGAAATATGCACTAGTATAGGGTGACAAGAACCTCTGAAAAGTCGAATGCCCAAATGAAAAGTACCTGTTATTTTAGCTGAGTTCATTCTACACTTTTAGTTCTGAGTATAAAACACAAGAGGAGACCAGCATTCAATCAGTGGCCTTAATGTTATTATTAAACAAAACATCTGAACGCTCACAAAATATATTAAATAGTAAACATCTTCACTGCACTACATAATGATTGGGCACGCATAGGTTTTAGAATATGGCAGAGGGTGAGGGCTCACATAGGTAACTCTAATTTCTATTGCATTTATGCATGAAGTAAATCTATAGAATGAATAGTGTGAAAGGCCAGACAGCATAGGGGAGATTTTTAAAAAGCTGCCTGAGAATCCTATTTAGATCCCTAAGTTATTGATTTAGGGGGTGCTGGTGACATTTTGGGAACATTTGTAGGGTGTGTCAGTGAAATCAGTGTTCAGAAAGCTCAGGTGAAACAGAAAAGTTGGGCAACCACGTCCCCTTTGATTCTGAACTGGAAAGACTGGAAAACAACCTGAAGTAAGGAACAGAAAAGCCGGGTTCATGTTCCCCATTCCTGAGTGCCCCTGCAGAAAAGGTCCCTCACTTTCCTTTCAAAAAACCTCGCTCAGAAAGCCCTCAGAACTTTCCGAACCATCCAGTTTCCTTTACCTCTTCCCCTAGCTGTGTGAAGAGCTGGGAGCCACAAGTCCTTTACCTCTTTCCAACATTCAGGTTTACAGAGCGAAGACTCACTCAGGGATAGATAAAAGCCTCTCAGATCAGCTCACGTGTTATTCCAATATTTAGTCCCAAGCCAGGCCCTGATAATCTGAAATATCCAGAGCCAGGGTTGTACACTAAAGGTAGGAATCACCACATGAAAAAAATCTTCTATTTACAAACAGGGGCCTTCATATTAAAATTCTCAGCCCAAGTCCACAGTGATGTGGGATGGAGTCTATTTATATGCTGGATGCAACATTAAGAAACACATGGTGCATGTAAACACCAGCACAAATATTCTTAATATACTTGTTAAAAATGAGATCCCTGTTTTGCTATATTTACTTATCATGCAACACTGATTACCACAAGGTGGACAGAAGCAATACTACTATATGCTTTTCAATGTAACTTTTTTATACATGGAAGTGCTTAAGGCCTGAGAAGTGAGAAGGATGGCTAGGCATTTCAGCTCTGCCATTTACTTGTCCTTACCCAACGCCTCCTGGCTTCAATTCCACCACTGGAAAGAAAGGGATAATATATAGCTCTAGAATGTACGTGAAGAATCAGCAAGAGTGTGCAAACAGAGCTTGTCTTGTGCCTGGCATATAACAAGCACACGCGTGTAACTGCTAGATCCATGGAGTAACTCAGTTACTTCCTTCTTGGTGATTTTTCAGTTCCCTAAATTCCATTTCCCTGTTATGGCATTCAATAATAAGGATACTTGACTCAATCACCATGTTCTTTTCCAACATCCGCACTTCACTCCTTGCCTGTATTCTGTTCTTTATCTGTATTCCTCTCTCTCTCTCTCTCTCTTTTGTTTTTAACAGTTTCTGTTTTATCACCTTTACACACTAATAACCCCACCGCTACATGCTGAATTCTCTCCTTACTCTGGAATTAATTCATCTTTAGATACTTCTCAGACTTGGATTTCCTTGCATTATTATCCTTTCAATGTTGACGTGAAACACCTTACCTCTTGACCAGTCTCTTCTTCATTAGCTTTGCCCTGTCCACACTACCTGAACAACTGTATGTTTCAAAGAAAAATCCTGCAATATTTCTTGTACTTTGGTCAATATCTCCGGATTTGGTACTTGGTGACACTATTAAATCCCTATGTTCTTTGGTCCATGTGTGGCCATATAAATTCCCATAGATGATGAGAGGCCCTTGTGACAGTCTCTTAGTTCTTTTCGCTAAGGTTTCCTCCATCCTTTGAGGAGTTTACTGCAGAATGCCTTATAGCGCTGGGCTGCAACAGGGAGAGCTCCATTTGCCGAATAGTGTTAATGAAATATTGGCCAAATATCTGTTACTTATAAAGTCCTACTAAACCTTATAATAAGATACTACAATTCATATTCTAAGGTTGTCCTAAATTGTAAATATTTAAAATTTAGAAACATTTAAAGTTTAAATTAGGACCAGCGGCATGGCCTAGTGGCTAAAGTCCTAGCCTTGAATGCGCCAGGCTCCCATATGGGCACCAGTTCTAATACTGGCAGCTCCACTTCCCATCCAGCTCCCTGCTTGTGGCCTGGGAAAGCAGTCGAGGATGGCCCAAAGCCTTGAGACCCTGCAACCTGCATGGGAGACCTGGAAGAAGTTCCTGGCTCCTGGCTTTGGATCGGTGCAGCACTGGCCATGGCAGTCACTTGGGGAGTGAATAGATGGACAAAGATCTTCCTCTCTGTCTTTCCTCTTCTCTGTATATCTGACTTTCCAATAAAAATAAATAAAATTTTTTTAAAAATTTAAATTTAAAATATTTTAGTTCTAAATTGTGAAGTCAGATTTTTTAAATTCATAATAGATATTCTCTGAAAAGACTATGATCTGATGGTAGTTGGAGCTTCCTCATTGGTAGAGACCTAACAAGGGCCGAGTAGGAAGCAAGTTCTCTCTGATCTTCCTTTGTCTACTTTTTTCTTTCTTCGTTCTCTGGGCAATTGGTGACCCAGGAGGAACCACAATGAGTCGTAGGCACATGACGGAGACCAATAAGGGCTGAGAAAAAAAAATCCAGTGGATAATGTTCCCTAGGGCAAAGGTGGGAGCAGAGTGGACAACCGGCAAGGTCTCGGTTAGCAAGGAGCTGCTGGAGGCATGCCAGTCCTGGAGAGATGTCTCCAGAGAGAAGGCTCCCTGGCAGGCTGAAGAGAACAGTGACTTCTCAGATGTCTTTTGCACAGGCTACAAAAGTGACATAAACACTGCACATGCTTGTCTTGCTTGTTTTTATGAGCTTTACAAACACATGCTATTAAAAAATTGAAGGTGTTTAAGCACATTTGGATTATTGCACTTATTAGATCTCAAAATCATTTCTTCTGCAACATCATTTATTAACATCGTGAGTAATTAGCAGTACTGAAACCATTCAGTAGGATAAAAAGTCTAGTTCCAAACTAAGTGAAATAGGTTAACTATACCTGTTGGCCTGGTTATCCAGTAAACAGAGTGAATAAAAATACAGTGTAGGATAGACTTCTTGGGAGAGGGAAGTTAGAGAGAAAACTGACTCTAGAGATAGCTGAGGACACGATGTAAAGCAGGAAGGGTTCAATGTGGGGCCTGATGCAGCACGGCGAACAAGGAAGACAAGCCTGAATAAGGTCCTTCAGATTCATCAACTACAGGCATTTTGGTGAACTGTTCCTGCTCTGTCACACACAAATCAAAGTAGAGCAACGAAGTTTGAAACGATTCAATGTGGGAGTCGCATTTGCTTTTTCACCTCTTTGGACTAGATTTTCTGATCTGCAAAGGGGATGGGAACACTTGTTTTGTGTTACATAATCTCTTTCGACTTTTTAAGTGTCACATTCTGAAGAACTCTGTCAACAGATCCAGAAAGAAGCGAAATTCGAAGCAAACACTCTACTTCACAGATAGGATGTTATCTTACGTTGCATAACAGCGATTCCAGGACATTTCTGGTGTTTGTAGCACGAGTTACCTTTAAAGCTGACAGCTGTGGGGAACAAGAGAGCTGGGGGACTCTTTCCTGATGGTGGGACAAGTAGATCGGGGAGAGGGTGCAGAACTACATCAAACAAAGAGGGACACTGGCAAATGTAGACCAGTACTTGAAGTAGGTAAGATAATTTCTTAAAAACAGAGGCTGAGTTTTATTTCTCTAGGAATATATGTTTGGAATCATACTAAAATGCATTCAAGAAAACATTCAATTATATAAGCACGCACTTTATATGCAAATGTTACAGTAAGTCATTCAACATATAAAATTAAATCCTGATGCACTGACATTGTTCCATTTTAGAGCCCAGCCTTTAGTGTTTTGCTTCACTGACGTACTATGACATATATCTGAGGTTTGCTTTATGGTAATCTGAAGAACTGGATGGGGTGGGCAGTGGGATTGGAGGGATAGCCTCGTTGGCATCTGTGGAGGCGAGCTCCACTATTCTTATTTCTGTATATGTTTAAATTTCTTGCTTTAAAAAAGCAACAGTGTTTGACTCACCACCATCAGGCTCATCTCTTCCTTGAGGTCATCATATCGTTCTTCCAGGCGACTGAATTCATTCAGAAGGTTCTGATATCTCAGCCTTTCATCATTAAGGTCAAGTTCCAGTTGTTTCGTTTCTTCTACTAACTTTTTCTCCATAGTTTCTGAAAGAAAAAGAGACAGAGTGAGAGACAGAGAGAGGAAGGAAGGATGAAAGGAAGAAGAATATATATATTCTTCTATATATATCTATATATTCTTCTTCCTTTCATCTATATATATATAGAGAGAGAGATAGATAGATAGATAGATAGATAGATAGATGAAAGAAGGCTCCATCAAAAGCATAGATAATTAACCTGCCATCCAGTTTTTAGGAGATTTCACTTTCATTGCCACTCTGATTTTAGTGTATGTAGGCCAAATGCGACCAGAGACAGGCCTTTAGCCCAGCAGCTAGGACTCGGGTTAAGGTGTTTCTGTTTCTCACTGGAGTGCTGGGGTTTGATACTCAGCTCTGGCTTCCTGCTAATGTAGACCCTGGAGAGCAGCAGTGATGGCTCAAGCGACTGAGTTCCTCCCATCCAAAAGGGAGATCTGGATTAGATTCCTGGTTCCTACCTCTGGCCTCCAGCCTGGTCTGGGGCCACTAAGGGCATTTGAGGCATAACTGGTCGATGAGGGCTTTTTCTGTCTCACTGCTTTTTAAGGAAAATATTCTCCCCCCCAAAAATGACCACAAGTGATATAATTAATTCATAATAAAAGTCATCCTACTGAATTCTTCCGTGTACCACAGCCTTAATTCCACTGGTTTATATACTGGTTACAGCACATCCGTGGTAAACTTCCATTAGCTACTATCTAATAAGTAGAAGTTTTTGTTCTGATGATAGTCTGTTTTAGGGTCTGTCCAAATCAGTGGGCTCTCTCAAGAAGCCCCATGCCTATCTGGAGAAAGCCTTCAGGCCTGGTCCTCTGTGTGCTGGCTGCTTTGCAGGCACCTTCCCACGTGCTGCGGCAGGAACCTGACTTCCGTGTGTCTGCTTCACTCCTCCCTCCCTGCTATCAGTGGCTTGCACTTGCCTAGTCTATGGTCTGCAGGCTGGAGATTAGCCCCTGACCACAGATGCAAAAAACCTCGAGTCTCATTTTCACTCAGAGAGCCAACCAGTCACACTTACAATATCAGTCTTTCTGCTGCCGTTTTGACCATTACAGTTGGAGGCTATCTTGACCTGTCCCACTGCTTTTATTGCCGCTCCATTTCTTTGTTGGTGAGCCCCAGGGGACAACGGCAGCTCTCTAGTGCCCACCACAGTGTTTCTCTAAAGCAGAGCTTTCATCATTTGTGAATAAATGAATGAAAATATTTACCTCTAAGCCAATCTATAAATTGCTTTTAATTCTCACCAGTTTGCAGAAGCAGCTCCAAGGTCACCAACTAATCTCCCCTAGGCAAATACATTGTTATTTCTTGTTGTTATAGGTCAATTGCAAATAACACTGAATATTTCCTCAAAAGCAGTTTCATCCCATGACACTCTGCACTCAGGCAGCCTTCCTTCTGTATCTCTGGTGACTCAGTTCTTTCCTCTCTTTCAGTTCTCTTTCTGAACTCTTCCCTTCATCTTATTCCTTAGTTATGCTCATGAATTCAACTTTTCTCTCTTTCCCTTACTTTGCCCCTACTCTCTTTCCTTCCCCCTCTAACTGGGAAGAAAGCTGTGTAGGGAAAAGCACAGAGGCTTCTGTTCCCAGTCCTATTGGGCATCTTCAGGCTCATTTTCTCTCTCATCTTTAGCTTGAATTTCCTTTCAGACCATTTAATGTTGAGCTCCTAATTCCCATTCCACACTTCGCACTTGAGGTAGCTCATTGTAGGTGTTGCTTTGGACTGGATTAAGGGACACCTAGACTGCTGGTCAAGTGTCACCTCAGGGTGTGTCTGTGAGGTTTTCTGAGAGGCTGGTATTGAGTCTAAGGACTCAGAGGAGAAGATGCAACATGGTGGGCACCATCCAGTTGGCTGGGCCCTGCTGGTACACTACTGCCGAGCAATGGTGAATCCCTGCTCCCTGTGCAGCAAGAACGCCCTCCTTCTGACTTGGTCCTCAGAACTCCAGTGTCTAGTTTTTGGTACTGAAACGTCCCCAGTGCCTGTCCCAGACTCTCAATTCTTTGGCCTTACAGTTAAGCATTCAGCTTCCTTGGTTTGGGGGCCTTCTGACTTGCACTGAGCCATACTCCTGCTTCCCCCCATCCTCCAGCTTGCAGGCACTTACTGTGGGGCTTCTTAGCTTCTGTAGTCACAGGAGCCAATTCCCTCAGTAATGCCCCTCTCATGCAGCTATATCTATAAATCTGTTTCTGCTTCTCTAAAGAACCCTATCAGCTGATCTCATTAATTTACCTGAGAAACAGGTATTTTCCCCCTCAATTTCCTCAATATTTCTAAGAAACTATCATTATCCTTACACTACATCCTAAAATTTTATAATTTTTTGGTCTTTTCTTTTGGATACCACATTGAAAACAACATTCTGCTGGTTATTTCTATACACAGCTTGGTGCCAATCCCTCCCTTTTATTTCTACCAATAATTGATGCTTAGATCTCTGTCCTATGCCATGTTTAATACAATCAGGGTACCTCACAAAGTTCATGGAAAAAATGGAATTAAAATTTCACTTTGTGCAAAAAGGTTTGTGATTCATCTCTACCTTTTTATAATTCTGATTCTTCACAAACTTTTTGAAGATCCCTTGTATATATGAATTCTTACCATTCTAATCAGCAAATAGAAAAAATGGCCACTTTTAGCTAGTTGCTTTATCAAAAAATTGAGTCTTTAGTCTGACAGCAAAGAATGGTTGATATTAGAATAACATCCACTGCTAACAAAATAAATAAAATAATACACATATTATTCATATTAGCTCAGAAGCTCTTACCAAATCAAATGTTAAATCACACTTACAGAACAAATTAATTTTTTGAAAATTACAGATGATTTTGACTGAATAGTAGTTCATATTTAGAATCAAGAAATCAGGTTTACATCTGGAGATCCTGCCTCTCAGAATTTTGTAAACTTACTGATGACAGCTTCAACATTTTAACAGTTAAGCTCAGAGTAGTGCTGACATTGGCAAAATAATGTAACTTGGAAAACTTGCCGTGGAGGGTAGTTAGGGTGCAGTAACTTTGCTCCAAGGCCTTACCTGTCATCTCTTTAGCCTGTTCCACAATACGGTGGTTGAGGGTCTCTTTTTCCTGCTTCAGCAAAGTATTTTCTTCCTTCAGACTTGATACTAGCTGTAAAATGAAACAACAACCTGACATGGCTGCAATAAAGGGAGCCACCCTACCCTGTGAGGAGGTCACACAGCGCTCACTCCCCACGTTCATCATTTTTGAGCCTCACGCCTCCGCCTGGGTGCGTTCAGGCCTCCTCTGATGCTGGCCCAGTGTCAGCCCCTCCAGAAAGTCTTCCTGCAAACTCCCATCATTAGACATCTTTTCTGTGGGCTATTATAAAACTCTAAAAGGTCATTTTATGTTCCATGTTTTGGAATGACTTCCCAAATAGACTAAAAAGTCCCAGAGGACAAGGGTTGTGGTGGGCTTTGTTTTTCTTTGTGCCTTGAACATTTAACAATTGCCTGGCAGCTCGCTAGCGTTCTCTTTTGAAGCAGTCATAATATCTTCGAACCTCAACATCTGGCGCAAAAGTTATGTGTGTTTGTGATTCAAGTGAAGACATCAAGGAGGTAACGAAGGGCATGAACCCTTTACCACTTTTGAAATCATTAGAATCTTTCAAGGCTACTTTCTGCTATTTGTCTTGAGAAAGGGAAAGTCCCCTTCATTGACTTTTGTAGATTGAAGAATGAATCCACCCTTGAAATGAGCACTGACCTTATGCAACTGCACATTTTTTTAAAGGGGGGGATGGGAAATAAACATACATATAAGCACATCTGTAATCACCATTTTTAAAAAGCAGTGAGTCTTTACTTTTTAGTTCCTTATTGGATCAGAATTCCTAGGAAAGAAGCATCAAAACCAAAGGTAACTGCATGGTACATAATTTACCCAGTTCATCATTAGAATAACTGCGTGCTTGCAATCAATGAAATCTGATCTCCTTTCCCTAAGAATAAGTTCAAGGAATTCTCACAGCAAGTGCTTCAATAATAGAGAGAAAGGTGGTATAGAAGCTTTTTGTTGTGCCAGAGTTCAGAGACAGGGAGAGATGGCACTGAGACAAGGGATCCCCAGAGAAAACGAAAGCAGATACAGCTCTGTGCCACAGTGTCAGTCCAGAAAGTGGACTTGTGACCAGCCCGATCTCATCCCTCCATCCCAACATAGGCTTGACGTCCGCTCTCAGGAGACAGGCTGTTCTCTGCAGGAGCCAAGGGAAGCTGTTCTACATCAGGGCATGCAATTAATCACCTGTGATGCTTTTTCAAAATGTACCTACCTGCCCTAAAACAGTCTTTCTAAAAATTCCCCAGTGGGGCCTGGTGTGATAGCCTAGTGGCTAAAGTCCTCACCTTGCAAATGCTGGGATCCCATATGGATGCTGATTCTAATCCTGATGGCCTCACTTCCCTTCCAGCTCTCTGCTTCTGGCCTGGGAAAGCAGTCAAGGACAGTCCAAAGCCTTGGGAGTCTGCACCCACATGGGAGACCCAGAAGAAGCTCCTGGCTCCTGGCTTTGGATTGGCACAGCTGCAGCTGTTGTAGCTAGTTGGGGAGTGAATCAGTGGATGGAAGATCTTCCTCTCTGTTTCTCCTCCTCTATATATTTGACTGTCCAATAAAAATTAATCCTAAAAAAAAAAAAACAACTCCCCAGCAGTTTCTGACATATATTCTTGGCCAAGAGCCATAGCCCCAGTGTCACTTCTGATCTCCTTGACCAGAATGACAGAAAATGGAACTCTCCGACAACAAAGCTGACTGTAAAGTAGAATGTTTGCATTGATTCATTACTACTCTAATCCAGCAAAAGGATTAATGACAGTGCCTACTACTATCCCTATGAATTACAGAAAACAATGAAATAAAAAAAGAAAAGAAATCTGATTCTGTTCACTAGCCTACCAGACTAGAAAAGCAAGGACTTGGCTTTGAAGAAGAAAGGGGATTGTTCCCACAGAGGTTAGATACTCTATTGATCCAGAATTGAGAAAAGTGTCCATAGCTATGGAGATTCCAAGGAGGAGAGGAGAATCTTAAGCACTCAACAGCATCCTTTTGAATGTATATTTGCATTTTGACAGAATAAACTTGCTATGCCAGAACAACATTACATAGTGGCATTGCTGTTTCCATATGCAGAGTCCAGATCCCCATCCCTCAGGGACATAGGAGGAACTGTTTGCTACAGATTCTGCTTTGCAAGCTGACTGGCTAGGCAATGCTACCTGTCGTTACATAGCTCCTGCTGAGGCTCTCACTGCAAATACTCGGCAGCAGGTAGAGAAACACATCGGTATCCGTGCCAGCAGTTATAGCTGATGTAGTCAATTCAGCTTCAGCTTCTAGAGGGTCATCCCAGTGGAATCTCTGAAAATCACTGACATTTTTCTGGTAAGCCTTAAGTAGATGGACTTTCACAAACATCTGAACAATATATGTTACCACTGCTTGAGAACTTGATGTTATTTGTACTTCATGAGATTCTTATGTAGGTTATATACATTTGAAACACAAAAGCACTGACGGGACTGTATGTATGGTATTTTGGTGGGAGGGGCTCAGGGGAGGAAATGGTTGTATCTGCACAGTAGCCCTTGGCTGAGATTACTGTGCAGACATTTGGACTATTTAACACAACCTTAATTCAGGTTTCCACAAGGATGTACAATCATTATTGACAGTCCATGGCTTCATTTATGTCTTAAGAAAAAGAAGCCTACATGTCATCCAGATTTTATTTAAAGAAAAAGACTGCACAGTTATGTATTATGGTTAGAATGGATGCTCCAAGACTCATGTGTTGGAAACATAGTTTGCAAATCATTATGTTAACAGCATTTGGAGGTGGGATTTGGGGGAGGCAACTGGGTTAGGGGAGCTCTGCTCTCACAAATGGATTAATTTGTTCACTGGGTGGTTGAGGAAGAGTGAGTAGAGTGTTATGGATGCAGCTGGCTCTGGCATGCTGGCTTGGGCTCAAAGGCCCTCAGGGGGACAGTGCCATTGCTCTTGACTTCTCAGCCTGTGGAACAGAGTGGGAAATGTCTAGCCCAGAACCATCTGGTCTGGCCCTGTGGAATCAACTGGAGAGAGGGCATTCGAAATTCAATAAATCCTTAGCAGGCTAACTGTTAAGTTGATAATTTCTTGTGGCTCATGAAGGATGTTATGAATATCCAAATGGCCCTTGGTAGAAAGAAAGGTTTCTCACCTCTGGTCTAGAACCACAAGGTAAATAAATAATTTTTAATTAGTCACGCTGGCATTTTGTTACAGCAATAGAACACACCCCACAGTGGTAGGCATTTGGCCATAATACTATGTTTCAAGCAATGCTTTGACTCTGTTGTTGATCATGTGAGAGAAACACTTGGAAAACACAAGTGAAGAGCAATGAGCCAAGTTAAAAAAAAATCCATTATATCCGCATTTAAAGCAAACACCAAACCTCATGGGTCAGATTAACACGACAGCAACTTTCCTATGCGGAAGACACAGAAGGGGACGTGGACTTTAGCTCCCACCTGTTCAGTTTCTTGCTTGTATTTATCTGCACGCTCCTCAATGGACTTTTTCTCTGATTGAGTCTGTTCCAGATCTTTCCGGAGCTTGGCAATTTCTTCCTGCAGACTAAGAACACGTCCAGTGGCAACCTTGGCTTCCTCCTCACTTAGCTGGAGACGCTCTAAGTCATTCCGTAGTTTCTCAGTCTCAGAGTTGTAGACTCCTTCCAGATTGGTCAGTTTCTCCATGAGACATTTGTAGTCTTTGTTCTTCAAACACAGACATAAGTAATAATAAGTAAATAGACACATAGTTATTATATTCACACTATATCATCACAACATTGACAGAGTTCCCAGCCAACATTTATAATACACTTGGCATGGAAACCAACTCTGAGCTGGGTGAACCAGGTCAAGACGATGCACATTCTCTTTGTGGAAGGTGCACGTGGGGATGTGGACATTAGTCCTTGGCCGCTCAACATGTGTAGTATCAACACCAATGCCTTCTCAGTAATCCCAACAGAAAAGAGAACATCACAGCTAACGTTGGTTTAATTTGCACAATTGTCAGCACAGATGTGATTTGCTTATAATTACAAGGTGAGTTACATAATAAATTCTGAATTTCCTGATTCTTAATCCATAGAAGGAATGCATGTTTTTTAAAAAGTATATCATGTACTAGCTAAATAACATGTGGAAATGAAAAAATGACTTGAAATGTGATCAGTTTCTTATAAATATACAGCTCTACTACCTTAAACCCCTCCTGCTTCATTCAAAGAATTTTCCTGATGAATCTTATTTCGTCCTAACCCAATTTATCTTTGTTCTCTTTTGTATTTATATATTCTTAATCACCTATATATAACTTGCATGTGCTAAAATACTGGTTGGAAACTATCTCTAAGCAATCGGATTTTAATCTCTGCAAATAGACTACAAGTTCCTCAGGTACATGGACATCTTTCAGCTTCTCTGGCCCATTCCCATGCCAAATAACTAATCTGTAAAATGAGCAATATACCATATGCAAATTGATTATTATGGTCAAAGAGCTCTGTAAAGTACAATATAACTGTCAATCAAATTTGTTTGGAGCATTAGTAAACCTGGACTTTCAAAAATAATTTATGCCTTAGTCATTGCAATTGTTATCTAACCTATAAGCTCATCACTACTTGTTCATTGCTGTCATTATTTTACATTTTGCTAAGCCTAACAGGTAGAGTCACAGGGAAACAATACTGAAAGGAATCCCAGAGGATTTCTTCAGGCATGGACAACACTCAGGGCTCCTTTATAACACATACCTGCTCATCAACCTTCCGCTGCAGCTGCATGATCTTGTTCTCCATGCCAATGTGAAGCTTCTTATAGCGCTCCACAGAGCGGGCCTCAATCTTGAGCTTCTTCAGCTCCCTCTTGGCCATCATCCTCCGGAAGCAGCACTGAAGGTAGATAATGGCGCGCATGCTCCTCCTGTAGTGTTTGCGAGCCAGCCAGCCCCGGACCCATTTCTGAATGATGACTGCCTTGTGTTCACGGAGTATCTACAGACAAGGTCATGGCAGATAATGTCAGGACCTGGATCAGACTCAAGGTTAAGCCCCATCAACCTGTCACACTGAGAACCCATATGTTACCTAAAAGGAAAGACATACAAGTTGAGCCAACAGTGTATCAAATAGACTATCACACGGAAATATGGAGGAGTTCATTAATTTAAAGTGCAGCCTGTGGCAGTGAGGTGCGTGATCTGAGCACTTGCAGAACATCACAGTCCTGATTGAGCTCCTTGTCTTATGTCAAGGATGACTACACAACTGAATAAGGCTCAGGGACAGGAAGCTGAACACTCAGACTTGAAGTTCAAGCAGCCAAAGTGGTAAGACTTTCAGCTTTCCTGTTCACTTACTTCTTCCTGGTGATTCCTGACAGTGTTGCATTTCTCAGAGTTTAGCCATATGGAAATAGCTTATAATCAGAGCTTCCATTTTTAATCTAATTTCCATTAGTGATTCAGATAAATTAAAGAACACCAGTTCTCCATTTCAATCCCATGTAGGGTAACACTGGATTTGAACTACAGCTAGAAAGAGCACTAATGAGATGGCTCCTGGCCTGTACTGAGCAAGCCACTTCTACCATGTCTAGTTACAATTGAGAATCTGAGCTGGATAGAGAATCTTAGTGCTAACTCAATGGCCTGGAGACCCAGTTCAGATGTTCCTAAGGAGAGTACTGAGGAAAACAGAAATTAACAATTAGCATATCTGAAAAGCCAAGTTTAAAGTTTTCCCTTCCATGGAACCCTCATGTTTACACAGAAAGAGAATAAGACTATGCAGCAGGCATGACCACTGAGAGCTTGGAGTAGCTATCTTCAAATTATCTTCAAGACTCAGCTATTAAAACCACATTAGTTCTGCAAATTTTTTGGACTAAAATAATTTCCAAGTAATATGTGCAATTACTTAATCTCATTATTCACTTACTACCCGTGATTAGAGACTCACCCCCCAAATCCTGCTATTATTGTTCTTTTAACAGTGACACTACAAAGCTAATGTCCAGGCTCTACTGCTGGATTATAGGGAATATATCTGTAGGATATATTCCCTATAATCTTTTCATCAATTGCCACAGAGGATGAGTAAGATTAATCTGACCCAAAATTTACAAGATCATGTTGATTACTGCTAAACAGAAAACCTGCTTGTCAAAAATGTCTGGAGAAAACCAAATTCGTATTATAATTTATTGCCTCTGTAGTATGGCAAGCTCTTCTAGGATTATTTCCTTGAAAAAGTTACCTACCTGTTGGCTGGTTATTCCACGTGTTCTGAGCTCTCTCTGCTCAAGTGATAATGCGACCACTAACTAACTTAGAAAAAGGGTCTCTGTAGAGAGGGTTGAGTAAAAGACCTTGAGATGGGAGATCACCCTGGAGGACGGACGCGTGTGGGACCTGAATCCTATTGCTCTTACAAGAGACAGACAAGAGAAGAGCAGTCAGGAACACAGAAAGGAAGGTGATGTATGAAGACAGGGGCAGAGGCTGGAGGCATGTGTACGTTGTGTAAGCAAATGCTGGCAGCTGTGAGACTGGAAGAGGCAAGGAGCAGATTCTCCTCTCAAAGCACCACAAGGAGTTCAGCCCTGGGAACACTTTGGTTTTGGCCCAGCGGTGCCTGTGAATTTTTGATCTCCAGAACTATGAGAGAATAAACACCTGTTAAGTCATCAAGCCTGTGCTGGTTTATTACAGAAGCCACAGGAAACTAGGATACACATTCGTTTCTTTGGTTCCAAATTCCTAGCCAGGGGGATAAAAGCATTGTAAATTTCATTTCCCATTCCCTTGCTAATAAATGCATGCATCTTGAAACACATTTTGATTGCTGTTTGTCTCCACATAGCTCCTATATTTATACCAGTCACTGTGGCACTTTGTTTAAATGTGATATTTGTTTAACATTAATGGAATGGCAAAGTGAAGTTGAAAATGATGCCTCACCTTGCGATACCTGTTTCTAGCCAAGTAGCCTCGCCAATAAGACTGAAGCACGACAGTGGCGGCTCGTGTGATCTTGTACCTCCTGCGGACCACATACATGCGCCAGTGCTTCTGGATGGTGATTGCTGCCCTGGTTCTGCGCAAAAACTTGGCATAGCTGATGAGAGAAAACAGGGGCACACTATCAGTCATCGGGGAAAATGCAGTACACATCTGACAGAAACTCAAGACTGGTAATATCCTACAATAATGAGTAGTGTGCCCACTGTGTGATTCTAATCATGTGTCGTTTGCGGAATCAACATTCACAGTTGTACATCAGTTTAGAGTTGTTCCAAGTATCTTTGCATGCCTTACCTCATTTAGCCTTCCCTGACTCTGAAATGTGGGATGGCCAAAGTGAAGTTCATAAAGGTCCATTCTCTCCAGGACAGGTTCGCTTGTGAGGTTTTGGACCTTTTACTTTGCATTTATATACATAGGATTATTTACATAGGATTTATACACACAGAAATCCCCCTACTTACCCTCACAAGCTTTCTTAGATCTTCCCATTACTGGCATACCATATTTTCCCTGAATTTATCTGTTTAATTTTTCATTATTAAGTCATTTCTATTTAAACTCCTAAATTACAATTATCCCAATATTTAATCATACTGAAGCATAATTGTCTTCTAGGCAGTCTCCGTTAGCTGTGTCCCCAAAAACTGCACTATTAAGTGGCTCATATCCATGACTATTTTCCTTGACACATGATTTCATCAAATGCCACACAGAAGTATACAAAAATTCTAAGGACTTATATCAGCAGAAATTAATAATTTTCTTGAGGATGAATCTGTATGTTTCACTAGGCTAAGTGAAATTTGATTCTACTTAACTCTTTTTATGGATTAATGTGGTATCTCCTGAAACCAAGAACAGATGAAGTGCTGCCTTCTCAGGTATGGTGACCATATACCATAGTACTAGGCTGGACAAATAGTTAGCAGGTACCCTACCCCTACAGGCCCAGGAGGAACTGGAGTGGACAGGCGCCCAGGAAACCCACCATCGAGCCTGGAAGCCCCGCACGTATCGCTGCACGGTGATGGCTGCTTTTCGCATGCGCAGGTACTTCTTCCTCAGCAGCCACCCTCGGATGGTTTTCTGGATCCGGATGCAGGCGGCCCTCAGTTTGTCTGCCCTCAGCTTTTCTAGGTAGGCCACTTGACCAGCACGGAAAAAGATCTTTGTCTTACCAAACTGGTATTTGTCCTTGTCCTATTTTTGGAAGAAATTGTAATGCTCAGAAACAATGATCATATAAAGTGAGCAAGAGAAGAGGGAAAAAAAAATCTAAAAGCAGAATCAGTAAAGGGATGAATCTATCAGCTAAAACGTGGGCTATGTCACAAATAACTAATGGAGCCAGATTTTTGATCCAATGCAAGCTGAGAAAATAGAAGGAATTTTAAAGGAAAAATTGAGTTTCAAGAGTTATTTTCCAGAATAATTCTACCTGGAATTATTATCTGAGGCCCAACACTTGGTTGTGGGTTATAGGCAGCTATTACTTGCTCGTTTGTATTTTAAACATCTCAAGGAAATGGAGATGCTGACACGCCCTCTGCCTGCCCAGGGCCGTAAGGGTTACATCAGGCTGTGTGTTCCATGAGAAAGCTGAAGGGACAAAAACACCAGGATGAAGAGTAAGGCAGGAAGAAGTGCACAAGAAATAAAAATTTTAAAAGAGAATAAAAAAACAAAAAGTTCTTGGGTATTCATCTTAAGAACTAAGTCTCTAAACAGCTATCTCTTGGCTTTATCAACAGTATCTGAAAACAAACAAAATTGTGTAAGTATGTGTAAAATACTATACATTTCACACTCTTTGCACAAAAACATAATCCTTTATAGTGCTCAGAGACTTCTGATCAGAAGAAAGGTGAGCAACTAAACATAGATGGACAAACTTCTGGAGTGTTACATTGAGATTCCACTTAAAGCATGCAAGATAAAACCATTCTTATAATAACAAGTGTAATTCATGCCTGAATTACATGCCTCATTCAGGCAAGCCTACATACACACATCACTTCTCCTCTCTGGAATTCTAACCACAAGGAAGACAAAAAACAAAAAAACCCACCTGGGAAAACAGTGGAAGATGGTTCCCTTTGTTCTACATTGCCATGTTGGGAATGAACTAGCAGATGGAAGCTTCTCTCACTTTCTTTCTGTCACTCTGCCTTTCATATATAAATAAACCTTTTTAAAAATTGCAAATCATTAGGCCTGTCCCAGAGCAATTAGAAATTCAGAAGTAGGGGCAGCAGTGGGTGATTTCAGCAGCCCTCATAAAGTCTGAGCACTCCTCAGCCTGCAATACCAGATTCACTCTCAATGCCAACCTGTACTTCCTGACTCACTTCCTACTGTCCCAAACGCAAATCTTATCTTACAAAAATGACTTTCCTGGTTTCTGAGCAACTCCTGCTTTCCTATTTATTCACACCTGGCTCCCTCTTAGAATATTATCCTTCCATTTTATGCTATCTAATCGATTCTTCATACAGTGGCTTTCCCTCTACTGATTCTCTTCTCACTCAGAATTCCATGCGGATACTGAGGTAAATGGCATCTATCTTTGAAGTGCATTACTTTCCAAGGCAGGTTGTGTTATCTGAGAATATCACTTCTTTTCTTACTTACAGGGCATCTGGCCTAGTGTCTTCGCTAAGCAAGTCCTAGGTGCATTTTTGCAGATGATGGTCGCATCCTATATAAAAAAGGTCCAACTCTGGCAGTCTGGGTACAGACCCCACAACTCTGTTTCTTATGCATGGACCATCCTCCTCATTGGTTCTTGCAACCACAGGGAGCTTGATCTCCAAAACAATCCACAGAGGTTGCCAGGGTTTTCAGAGACCAGAACCACTTGACTACTGCCAGTATTTGTACAGAGGTAAGTGAAAATCTCTCTCACCAGGATCAGCTTCTCTAACACATTCTTGCATGTTTGCTTTCTGTCACTCAGCACATCCTTTTGCTTCATTAGGACACGGTAGCGGCTGAAAAATTCTTGGTAGGTCCAACTATGGAAAGAAAAGCACTCATGAGCTTCTTTGAAGAACAGTGAATGTCTCTCGTTGGGGTCCCTCCTCTTCCCACACGCCCTGGCTCACCGTGAAGGGAAGCCTGCTGCGCTGATCCGGATGGTCTCCAGCACCCCACACGCCCTCAGTTGCTGCACTGCCCTTTTCTCATCAAACCTACGGAAAAAAACCAAAGTCAGGAAGGCACCAAGAACCCGCTGTAACCACAACCTGCCCTCTTCCACCAACACTGGAGCTCTTAGTGATCCAAGTAGCTGTGACCGAACAGAAAACTCCACGACAGGGTTGAGAGAGGGCAGCAAGCCACAGAAACAATGAACAGTCGCATTCCCTCCAGTACCGCCAGCCCCTAAGGAAAACCATTAAGTCTGTCAGATAAACAACACGAACTCTCCCTGTACTCTCTCCTCCCTCATATATCACTTTGCCCAACTTCAGAGGTGCTTCAAGTTCATGGGACCAGCAAACACATCTCCTCTGTCTCCAGGCCCTGGAGACTTCACGGACCCAAGGACAAATTTACTATTATCCAGCTATTTTAAAGAGACTGTTGTACTAAGCACAAACAGCATTTACAAGGAAAAGTATTATTATTTTGTACTAAATGTTATATTTATTTCATCCTAGGGCAGAGCTGCAGATCCTGTTCTCCACCGAGGCCATCTGGATATTTACAACATCATCCATGGACCATATAAAATTACCAACTTAAAAATTGGACTGCTACAGATTTCTTGAATTTCAAGTGCCATGGAAAATCAGATTGCCCATTTTAGCAAAAAAGCCTCCTAGGAATATTCACTCCCTCCTCAGAAACGATAACTGCAGCAGGAGAGGTTGGAAAAGGCACAACTTCCTGCATGGTTTCAAGACCTGCAAACTATCAGGCAAGCACTCTGCAGCCCGCTCTGGTTTCAACTAATGCCGTAAGCAACAAAAAGCCCAGAATGTCCTTGAATACAGACAAATTCAAAAAGGAAACAGTACTAGAAACGTTAAATTGACCTCATCTTTTCAAAATCTTGGAATACCACCTACTTTGTTCTTACCGTCCCAAAGGATAAGATAAATGGAAAAAAAATCTATTAACTAGTAACTTCTTTCTATAAGATATGAGGATTTGCCCATTTTTTTTTATGTTGGGCTGACAATCTTTATGACATAAGTAGACTTTTGTGCTCAGTAGAGTTAATAAGTACTTACGTGAATGGGAACTTGAAGTCATTAGGTTTAATACAGCGCACATAGTGAGGGGTGGTGGCATTGAGGGTTTCCATAAGCAGGTGGAGGGAGTTTCGGAACTGCATGAAAAAGAACAAAACAGGGTATCGAGGTTTTGCTGATAGTCATGAATTATACAAACAGTTTAAAATTCTCCCCCTATAAAGCTAATGAGGATGACCCTGGGTTGAAATTTGGCTAAGTTCTACCTTTCTTTGTTTACTCTGTAATACACTTGTTCAAATCCCAACATTTCCCTACTCTTGTTGTTGTTACAGGTTTCTGTATCTCAGTTCTACTATGATTTAAATCAAATGTGAGAACCAAAATAACCTTATTATTTATTATTTTTTAAATTAAAAGCAGAATAACAGGAGAGAGGGAAAGAGGGAAGAGAAAGACGAATGAGGGATCTTCCATCTATTGGCTCACTCTCCAAATGGGCCAGGCTGAAGTCTGGAGTCAGGAACTCCATCTGAGTCTCCTGTATTGGTGTCAGGGGTCCAAATACTCCATCTTCTGCTGTCTTCCTAAGTTCATTATTAGGGAGCTGAATTGCAAGTGGAATTGCACTTGAATCAGCACACCAATACGAAATGACGGCATTTCAAGTGGCATTTTAACCCACGACACCACAACGGCCAGCCCTATAACCTAACATCAACAATATTAAGACCGTTCACATAAGGTGAGAACTTTGTTTTCGATGCTACTTTTAGGAGTATGGAAGTAAATAAGTGAGGACAATCAGTGAAAGCTTACCTGTCCTTTAAGAATATGGGATCAGGACTGAGGGCTGAGGACCTGTGTCAGGTCCTGCTCTAATCTACAGTAAGCACAGGCTCCCATGCACAGGAAGACAAATTGATCGGTACTCAGCCTTTCCTGCAAAGCTCCCACACCCAGTTCAGGTAGTAGGCCTGTTGTGGGTAGTGATTTCCACTCTCCACAGAGCATAGAACATCCAAGAAGGAAAAGGACACTGTACTAGAAGCTGGTGCTCTGGAAAAATACACGCAGAAAGCAAAGATGGCTGTGGTCTGAGAGAAAGGATATACACTAGAACTGAAACGTGAAAAACATCATTTTGGGACAGACTTCAGCACTCATGTCTACAGAATTACGAGGTGAGAGTGCCACATGCGACTCAGTGAAAGCCCTGGTCCTTCGTGGCCTATGGAGGCCACCTGGGAAGCTGAGGAAAGAAGACCTGAGGCGTCAGGTGAGGCCAAGAGGGACTGACGTGGCAGCAGGAGCTCCCTGACTCACCTGGTGCCCCACGGTTTTCTTGTGCTCCTTGGCCGTCTGGCCTGGTCTTCCTTTGGTGGGCTTTGCAGGCGTGCGGGAGAGGGGGACGCGCCCTGAAGAGGTGGCGGAGGTCGGACTGATGGCCTTCTCATCATCTTGAAATAGTTCTGGAAGCATCTTAAACTGAGCCAAACACAGTAAAAAGAAAAAAAGAATTACCCTCTAAACCCAAATGTCACAGTAGACACTACCAAGATTTTCAATAAACAGGGACTCCTTTCCTCAGATAACCTCTGTCATGATCATGATGTTTCAGAAATCATTGTGTTTAAAAGTCAAAAAGATGAGAGAAAGCGGAGATAAATGCTACAAAAATGAAGGAGAGAGAATGCAATAATTTTACAACTATGCTTAAGGGAACCGAATTGAAAACTCTTTACACTGACTTGGAAATCCAAATCCAAGGACACCACTACTGATTTTGACCAGAATTATTTTTACGAATCAAATACTAATTGAAAGTCTTGTCTTCTTGACTGTTTCACAAAATGTTTTATCATCAGAACAGAAAAGCACAGGTCCAAACTTGCAAGTCCTTTACCAAACATCTACTCAGTTGCTTCATTTGTCTGCCCACTGGTGCAGGTGCTGTGCACCAACTCAGAAGTATGACTGACACATCTGGCACAGGAAGACAAATAACGAAGTTCTCTGTTACGTGTGGAAGTTAAATACTGATAGCAGAGAAGTGGAGAACCACCCAGAGCTTACCAGAGGCTGGCAGGCTGTCTGGGGCTGGGTGCTGCTGAGAGCAGGGTACCCAGGTAAACCTGCACTGCAGAAGCAACTCCCAATGTTGTACAGCACAGAGGACTAGCTAAGTTGGCAGCTGCTGAAACATACAAAGCCACTAACCCAGAGGACGTGAATGAATTACACACTGCACATGTGAAATTAAATGGCACATTTTAACCCATAAATATTTACAAGCTACTAAGTGCTAGTTAAAAAGAAAAATATTAAAAGCTGCTGAAAAGCTCCAAAGGAAGAGAGTAATAAATTATTTCTCAGTATTATAAGATTGTCATAATGATTTTAAGAAAAGATGTTGGGGCCCGGCACGGTGGGGCAGTGGTTAAGGTCCTCGCCTTACACGCCCGGGATCCCATATGGGTGCTGGTTCTATCCCGGCAGCTCCGCTTCCCTTCCAGCTCCCTGCCTGTGGCCCGGGAAAGCAGTCGAGGATGGCCCAAAGCTTTGGGACCCTGAACCCATGAGGGAGACCAGGAAGAGGCTCCTGGCTTCGGACCGGCGCAGCACCGGCTGTTGCGCTCACTTGGGGAGTGAATCATCGGAAGGAAGATCTTCCTCTCTGTCTCTCCTCTCTGTATATCCGCCTTTCCAATAAAAAAATAATAAAAATAAATCTTTAAAAAAAAAAAGAAAAGATGTTGGATTGTAGAAAAACATGTAAAAAAGACTGTGGCCTTATTCTATAAGTTTTTATATTTGTTTCTTTTGTAAAGATTTTTAAAATTTATTTTTATTGGAAAGTCAAATCCATAGAAAGGAAGAGAGACAGAGAGGAAGATCTTCCATCCACTGATTCACTCCCAATAAGTGCCTGCAGTGACCAGAGCTAAGCTGATTGAGCTGAGCAGAGCTGAAGCCAGGTGCCAGGAGCCAGGAGCTTCTTCCGGGTCTCCCATGTGGGTGCAGGGTCCCAAGGCTTTGGGCCATCCTCCACTGCCCTCCCAGGCCACAGGCAGGGAGCTGGAGGGGAAACATAGATGCCAGGACATGATCCAGGGTCCATATGGGATCTCAGCATACTCAAGGCAAGCACATTAGCCACTATCACGCAGGGTCCTTTATATTTGTTTCTAAGTGATCTTAATATATGTAAAAGATTCATTTATTTTCATTAGAAAGGCAAATTTATAGAGGAGAGACAGAAAAATCTTCCATGTGCTGGTTTACTTCCCAAATGGCCACAATGGCTAGAGCTGAGCCAATCCAAAGCCAGGACTTAGGAGCCTCTTCCAGGTCTCCCACATGGGTGCAGAGTTTCAAGAATCTGAGACATTCTCTACGGCTTTCCCAGGCCACAAGCAGAGAGTGGAGTGGGAACTAGAACAGTTGGGACACAAACAGGTGCCCATGTGGGATGCCAGAACTGGAAAATGGAGGATTATCCTGTTTGAACCATGGTGCAAGCCCTTCCGAGTGATTTGTAATTTATATAAATCCTATAATCAAGTTGTTATTCTACCAAATTATGAAAGACTATTGAATAAGGTTGCTGTCCCCCATCTCATGGAAATGAAGTTGAGTCTTCCTGTAAGAGTCATTTTGAATTTGTAACTACTAAGAACTTAACTGAAAATGTCAAAATATCTCCAGGAAAAACCCAACTTTCTTAATGAGAGTTCATTCAATGAAACACCAAATTATACAATTTCAGTTGCTATTAAAGTATCTATTAATTCTAAGTGTAAATTTAGAAAATAATTTGTGGTATGTATGCATATTAATAATGGTTGCTAGCTACATATAAATATATTCTTGGAGACAATGAATAAATAAAATATGCTGGCTTTGTTTATTATAAAGAAGAAAATAAATATTTTTTAAATGTATCATATTATACCATTAAGATTGTGTTTAAAAGAAAAAATAAAATTTCCCAATAGATTTGAATACTCAGCATGAAGCACAGATGCTGGCATATGCAGCAACGGGCAATGTACCCACAAATCTTTTTTCTTTTTTAAGATTCATTTTATTTTTATTGGAAAGGCAGATATAGAGAGGAGAGACAGAGAGGAAGATCTTCCTTCCGATGATTCACTCCCCAAGTGACTGCAACAGCCGGTGCTGCACCGATCCGAAGCCAGGAGCCTCTTTCTGGTCTCCCACATATGTGCAGGGTCCCAAAGCTTTGGGCCGTCCTCGACTGCTTTCCCGGGCCACAGACAGGGAGCTGGATGGGAAGTGGGGCTGCGGGATTAGAACCGGCACCCATATGGAATCCCGGGCATGCAAGGCGAGGACCTTAACCACTGCGCCATCGCGCCGGGCCCTGTACCCACAAATCTTACCTGCTATTGTATCATTCTCACCTAAATTGCTCCCTGTACATTCTAGCATGATGGCTCAATGGCTAAATCCTTGCCTTGTAAGTGCCGGGATCCCATAAAGGCACAGATTCATGTCCTGACTACTACATTTTCTATCTTGTCCTCTAATTATCACCTGGAAAAACACAAGGCCTTTGGGACTGCACCCTCATAGCAGACCTGGAAGACGCTTCTGACTCCTGGATTCTGGCTTCGGGTTGGCTCAGCTTGAGCTATTGCAGCCACTTGGGGAGTGAACCAGTGGATGGAAGACCTTTCTCTCTGTCTTTCCTTCTCTGTAACTCTGATCTGCTTTTCCAATAAAAATAAATAAATCTTAAAAAAAATTGCTCACTCGAAACTGGCAACTGTTTAAACTTTGTTTTTCTTTTTTCTATGCGAAATAGTTAGGAGAACTGGGTTCCAGTATCACATTCAACACTTAAATGATAACTATTTAATTGAGTATCTATATAACATCTACCAGAAAGTAACTTAGTTTTCAGAGTTTAGAACAGACACACAGATAAAGACACATACACTTAGCACATGTGTCTTCCTCTAGAGTATAAATTTAAAATTCTGATTGATTTCCTTTAAAAAATACATCTTATTTGTTTTTATTTTATTTGAAAGAGGAGAAAGAAAGATAAAGAGAAATCTCCCAACCCTTGGTTCACTTCCCAAATGCTTCCAACAGCTGAGGCTGTGTCAGGCTGAAGGCAGCAGCCTGGAACCAATCTGAGCTTCCCACGTGGGTGGTGGAGACCCAAGCATTTCAGTTTTTATGTGCTGTGTCCCAGGATTTGCATCAGTAAGAAGGTAAATAATAAGCAGGAACAACCTAAACTTGAACTAGGCACTCTGATTTGGGATGAAGGTGTCTCAAACAATGTCTTAATCTTTGTACCAAACACCTGCTTTCCCCAAAAGTTATATTTTAAATTGTATTAGAAACTGCTTTACAGTATCTTCTTTAGGCCATGTCCCTGAATCCTCACAGGCCATTTATCTCACACCTGTTTTCCATGATCTCGTCTCCTGTCTGTCTCTAAAAGACAATGCCTAAAGACTGACTTGGCTCTATTTTTTTTTTTAATTCTACATGCTCTCTCTAGGCAATCTCATTAGTCTCATTGCTTTAAACACCATCTAGCCAAGACTACCAAACATCCATCACTTGCCTTGGCTTTTCCCAAATCTGCTTTTATTTCCAACATTCTATGTAATGTGCTCACTTATTTCGCCATCCTTTGTAAAATCTGCAATTGAACTTTCCAAATCCGCCCCCTTGCTGTCCGGTGTCAGATCACTTGCCAGCCTTCACCCTAGCAAATAGCACTGTCATTCATCCAGCGCCCAAGGCTAAAATGCAACAGTCATCCTTGGGTCCTTTCTTCCTTCCATTCTCCACACCCAAGCCAACAGGACCTGCTGACACTAACTTGCTGCCATCTCGCCTGCTGCAACCGTGGCATCTCAGTCCGCCATCCTTCCTTGATCACAAATGCTCCATCTCCACCCATGCCAAACCCAGCTCCATCAACACCAATCTTTCCTGACCAGAACACTTGCTAGACTTTCTACTGCACAGGAATAAAATCCACACTCTAAAGTCTGTAAGGCACTCTCTCCATGAAGCAGATTCTGGATACCTGCCCTACACATCCTGTCCATCTACCAGGCTGCACATTAGCCTTCCCTTGGACCTTGATCACAACTCACTTATCAGGTCTCAGTTCTCCCTCTGGATTTCTGTTTCCCACTTGCAGGTTTCATATCAAAGGTCACTTCTTCAGGGAAGCCTTCCTTGATTTATCCTAGCTAATGCTGCAACTTGCCTCTGTTCAACTGGCACATTGTTTTACCTTCTTTGTTTTTAAAATGTATTTACTTAAATGTATTTGTTTTAAAATGCATTTGTTAATTTGAAAGGCAAAGTTACAGATAAGGAGGGAGAAAGGAAGGGAGAGCCATGGAACTATCTGGTGGGTTGTAGCCCAGGTGGGGCTGGACCAGGCTGAAGCCAGCCGAGAAGTCCATCTCAACCTCCCACAGTAGGTGGCAGGACTCAAACATTCAGGGGATCATCACTGCCTTCCCAGGTGCGACTGCAGGGAGCTGAGTCTGAAGTGGCATAGCCTGTGCTCGTATGGGATGCTGGTGTCCTGGGAAGTAGTTCAACCCACTGAGTCCCAGCACCAGGCTATTTTACTTTCTTGATAGCATTTACTACTCTACAATGTCACATCCAAATATTTGATAGATTGCCACCTAACTCCCCATAAACACTGGGACCTCTGTCTATCTCATTTACCATGCTCACCTTGCTAAATCTTCAGTTTTCTTAAATTATTTATTGAAAAATGCATCCATTTCCCACTGAGAGGCCATCCTAATTAAAGGTAGAGAGATTAGTAATAGATAAGTCTGGACAGTCCACCTTGTTCTTTGAACAATATTTTAAACAGTATTTTAAAAACATTTTTAAGAAAACATTTACTTATTTTTATTTGAAAGGCAGATTTTATGGAGAAAGTAGAATATATATATGTATATATGTAAAGATATATACATATATATATTGACAGATAGATAGATCGAGAGATATCTTCTCATTCACTGGTTCACTTCTCAAATGCCACAATGGCCAGAGCTGAGCCAATCTGAAGCCAGGAGCCAGGAGCTTCTTTGGGTCTCCCACACTGCTTCAGGATCCTAAGGACTTGGGCCATCCTCCACTGCTTTCTCTGGCCAGAAGCAGAGAGTTAGATCAGAAGTGGGACAGCCAGGAGATAAACCAGCACCCAAACAGGATGCTTGCATGGCAAGACAAAAGATTAGCCTGCCACAATACAAAGCTAGCCCCTCGTCTCTCTGTTCTTAAGGTAAGGTTCTGAACTACTTTAAGACTGAAGTTTTATGTCTAATAAACAGTGCAAAAAAATATATATCAGAACCCAAGAACAGCTTCAGGAGAATGCGATAAAATCTCATAAACAGTAACATTATTCCCTAAGAGTAAGTGTGTGTGTGTGTGTGTGTGTGTGTGTGTGTGTAGCACTGTTTGAAGGGCTTAGCACACCTATTTAATTTTCACAAACCCCAAAGAGTAGATAATTCTTATGATTCTATTTTATAGATGGGAATTCTGAGAAATAAAATCAGTAGCTGAACTGTGCTTCAGCCAATAGCAATTCAGAAAGTAGGGACTGAAAGTAGAGGGCAGTAGATGCCTGAAGTACAGGCATCCCGTAAGGGCCTTTCCTTGTCTGGGCCTTTTTGCTTCTGATCCCGCCCCCTGCTAATGGCCTAAGAAAGTAGCGGAAGATGACTCAAGTTCCGGGGCCCCTGCACTCATGTAGAAAACCCCAGAAAAGCTCCTGGCTCCTGGTTTCAGATCTGCTCAGTACTGGTCGGTACAGCCATTTGAGGAGTAAATTAACAGACAGATTTCTCTCTTTGTCTCTGCTTCTCTCTGTGAACTTACCCTTCCAATTAAAAAAAAAAGTAGGGATTGAAACTCATCTTAATGGTATTTGGTAGAACTGGTATTTAGTAATACTTAGTGCAGTTATTCCAATTAATAGAGTTTACTTATGTACTTCCTCATGGCAACAAAAGATTTCTTTTATGGTAAAAAAAATCAACATACATATACGCTCTGTTGAATTTATAATTCCATTTCAAGTTGTAAGTTTGGGTAAGGTTGCAAAATTCAAAAAAAGAATGACATAGAACATACATGCAAACAGACCCTATCCTGTGTTACCACATTAAGAAGTCTGTTAAAATATATATAAACATGAACTTTCTAAAACAAGTACTTCCAAGACAACAAATTAATGCTACATCATACTTGCTATCAGACTCCCCTAGCCTGGATTTGTGCAAAGGCTGGGACGGGGAGGCCTGTAAGCTAAATTAGGGGAGCGATACACATTCCCTACTCTGGCTTCACAATGTTAACACAGACTAATGCAGGATTCATCAGAACACAGAGCTGTCTTTGGACCACCAGGGGCCCAGCAGCCAAAGTCACACTGATCGTGGATGCCCGGAGAATGACAGCCTGCCAGGGTTCTGCTTCTGTGAGCTGGCAAACGGGAAGCACACACCATTTTCCCATGGTTTCTATCACTATCCACAACCCAGAATAACTTCAACTGAATAATGCTTAGAGATTGGCACCAGGAGAATTTTCTTCTACGCCTCAATCCCATAAGCTACAAAGTGCTAATGCTCAATGCATGATAGGTGAAGGGGAAACAATTTTTTCCTATAGACATTTTGACTCATTTTCTCAGCTTACAATTGGAATTTGATCTTTATGCAAACTTTACACATTCAAAATAACTGAAAATAAAAGCATTTGTTACAGAAACAAGAGACATATACTATAATGAATATATGTCTACAGGTATTTTCTTATTATTATTACTAGAAAAACAAAGACTGTCAGCCAGGAATCTGGAAGAATCCACAGGAAAGTTTTTAGCTTTTTAAACAAAGATGCATTTATTTGAAAGGCAGTGTGACTGAGAGGGAGAACGCACGTGTGCACTCTCTCCCTTCCTCTGATTCACTCTGCAAATGGTCGCAAGCCCTGCGGGTAATCCAGGGCAAAGCCAGGGGTCAACAACTCCACGTGGGTATGTTATGTGGATGGCAGGCACTCAAGCATTTGAGTTCTAACCTGCTGCTCTCCTGGGACGTTAGCCGGGAGCCTGAATGAAAGCAGAGTACCCAGGAGCTGAATCAGCACTCCCATACATGAGTTGTGGGAATCCCAAGAGGCAGCTTAATCTAACTGTGCCACAATGCCAGCCCCAAGGTTTTACGTTTTTTACTGGACATTTCAATATTCATTTTGTCAACCCACTCCAGGTCTCCCACATTCTTGTTCTCTCCAAAGAAAATGCTCTGGGGCAATGCTTTCATATAAAACTGAAAGATACCGCTGCACAGTGGTAGGGGGTATAGATACTAGGCAAGACAGCCCGGGCCTTCATTTGGCTTGAGCCTTGCCAAGGCATGAAGTGGCTCTGCCTCAGGTGTCTCCTACGTACAGTGAGAGAAATGGAAATACCATCTTATAAGAAGTAGATGAGCTGACATTTATACGGTATTTAGAACAGGACCAGATGTACAGTGAGTATAACCTATCTGATTATTAAAAACTAAATGTAAAATAGAATTTTATCAGAGAAGACATTATTATTGTTAAAAAGCTAAAGCTTAGGTAATTGGCATTTTATTGAGCATATTCCGATTCCAGTAAGTCATCCTTGGTTACCTTGCTCGATTTAAGAACTTTAATTTGTTCTTCAAAAACAGTATCTTTGTTCTTTTCCAGAAAGCCTTCACACTGATATTCCACCTGTAAACACATGGAGAAACTTCCCTTAATCAATAAACTGTTCAACACACGCTATCACTATCAACAACAGAAATATTTACTAGGCTCAGGATGTATGGCTAGCTCTCAGCAAACTGGTGTCTTTAGTCTTCTGGAAGAAACCAGAACCATCCTCGGTAAGTATGTCAATGCTGAAGGAGAACACCCTAGTATCGTTTTCCCTTGGGAACATGGTAGGGCTGATCAAGTGTGCACTACAAGATCCAATTCATGTGCAGGCAGATTCCCAACACACTGACCCCCTTCTCCCATGGTGGCCAGAGACACAACTTCCAAGGCTGATCCAACACACTGCATCTCTAAACTAATTCCTTTACAGAAGAAGTGTTTTCTCTTGAGAGAGAAGAGATTTGAGAAGATGACCAAAAAGAACAAATGTCTGCCTGACACAAAGGCCGAGGAGGAGGTTGGGGAAATATTGCATGATTCAAGGAAGCCATACTGTGTGAGAATGGTTTGTTCCTCTTCCCAAGCTGCAGCAGGATCATTCAAGTACTACTCCATGGGCTCCACAGTCTGCAGCGCAGAACACTTCGGTGTTATTCTGAGGCTTCCCAAAGGCTCACCCAAGAAGTTCTCAATCCCTGAAGCAAACTCAGGGATCCTAAGCCAAAGCCGATCTCATGGCTTCCTTGCAAGATAAATTAGTTTCTCGGCTCCTTATTTTCTAAGTAGATTACAGAACTTGTGAAGTAGCAAGTCAACATGTCTTGTGGGAGGGACCCAATGAATCAGTCCCAAGGTGGCACAAGTCCACACTCTCTGCTGTGAATCCCTTGATTCAGAATACACTATGCTCTCGAACTCAGAATGCATTTCGGATGTCTAGATGCAGCATATGCACACATCATTCTTTAATTCCTCCAGCAGAGTTCAAGGCAGTCATCTGGAGCCAGCACAATAATATTTCTAGACTAAAATAAGTAAATAACAAACCCAATTGGTATAAAAAAGACTATAAATAACATCATGGTGAGTGGAGGTCAAGATCAGGTTTAGCCACTGAATAATTTACGGTTTTTCATTGTCTCAGATTTCACATTTGTAGATAGAACACTATGGGCCCATATTTATTGCATATACAATTCAAATTAGGTTAAAGGAGGAGAGAAACAACAAGCCAACACTGTAAACTGTTCTTCCTTGCAAGGTCCAAAGGATGCAGGCATCAGCAAAGAATAAAAAAATACCTCTCGACTATTGACTTTCCCCCTCATTAACTTAAGTATATAAAAAAAAAAAGACATAGAACTTCTTACTTTGTCAGCAAAATGCTGGATGATGAAAGCTTTATTTGATAGGCGAGGTTTTTCAAAGAGTGCACATTTGTTCAAATGTGTGTTGTACAATTTCTGGGCCCAGGTGTCATCTGTACCTTTAGGCATCTATATTAAGGGAACAAGGGAAGGAAAAAAGAAAAAAGGCAATCATTGAGAAACTTCCAACGTATCAGCTGACAAGAAGCCAGCTTTTTGGTTAACCTAACAACTAGTTATATTCAGCTTAGAAACTCACTTCTTTCACATTTCACACTTTATTTCATACCTACTAAGGAAGGGCATGGTTGAGACTTCCCCAGCGGGCATCCCTGCCCAATCTCACATGACTCAATCTGCCTATCCCACAACTATCAAGCAAATATTTGATCTACATTTGCAACAGAAGCCCCACAGATTACAGATGAAATAGTACAGTTGTCATGTACAGGTTTTTTTTGTTACATTTTTATTTTGAATTTTATGGTACAATTTTGTAGAGACTGAGATTCTGCTCCCCCTCAAATCCTACCCTCGACAGATTTTCCCCATGTTGCTACAATAGTATAGTCCTTCATAAGAAATCATGATTCCATCAGTCTGCTATTTAAGTGTGCCCCGACAGTGCTGGTAGAGACAATGTTAGACAGTCCAGCATTCCACTGTCTACACATTTCCAACAGTTTCATTGGGAGTACATCTTTGATTTGGAAGCAGGGATCCATATTGCATTGTATCCCCACATCTGGATTAAGCCATCACTCACGTATATTTTTAATATTCTGTTCAGTAAAGATATCATTAGCACAGTGAACTATTTCTATAATTCAGAAAGGTGTAAAATGGAGAGTAGTCTCACCATTTCCTCACATCTCATTACCTCCTCCTGTCTTTCAAAATAGGCACAACTGTATTCTCCATGTAGTTCCTCCTGCTCCTAGCATCCCAGGCAGCAGCTTTACCTGCTCCAAAACAACACTGACCCACTACTTCCTACATCTCTCTAAAAACATTCTATCAGTAAAAAATTTACTAAATATAAACAAGTTGATAACAAAAGTGGCTAAAATGGGTAAGTATTGTATCTAATGTCATTTAGGATCAGTTGAGGATGGAAATTTTCTGAGGTTCTGTAGTGATTAGTACGCTAAGTATCCTTTCAGAATGAAAGTCACAGCAATGCCTTCTTATTACCCTGATGATTACACAACAGCGTCTCATGGTGTACAAATACATCTTTACCTGAAGTTAATATATTTGACTGTGATACCTCTATTTTAATAGACAAAGTACTGTAGAAAATCAAACCCACCTTACATTCCTCATCCAGCAGATCTAGAATCCCCATTTTAGACTCTATAAGATTAATACAAGGTTGATTATCATAAAAATCTATGAGTGTCCATGGAATTTGTTCTTTCATATACTCTTCTTGTTCCAACTTGAAGACATGCTAAAATGAGAAAGAAAAAAATCAGTCATTACAAGACTGTTTCATAAAGAATGCAGTTAGGAAACAACATTCACATAAAATACTAAGAGGATTTCGATAAAACTAGAGACAGCCCATGGCTTCTAGCAACAACCCCAGAGGAAAAGGAGGGGATTACATGCAGGGAAAGTAAATAAAAATCAGAGACAGTGAAACCTCAGCTACAGGCAGTTCCTGGCGAACAAGTAAATCAGGGCACAAGCATGTTTTCAGTAACTGATTAAGTAGAACAGTTCGTGATTTCCTGATTATGCATATTCCCAATACTTCAGTGTGTACGTCTGGCTTCTTAACTTTTTACACAGTGCTGCCAAGAGGGACAGGAAAGCTCTACTAAGCTGGTACTCAACAACTAGGTGGAGTAGATGCCTCTACTGAACCACGTGGCACAATATTTTCAGCATAACAAAATAATTAACAGCATTTTTAAAAGGTGCGGCCCATTATTTTGGGATTCCAACCCAGGCAGTTCACCACTGGGGTCTGCACCTGTCATTACCACAATCTTCTGTTGCCCTGTGCTATAATATTTTCTCTCAATTTTCATTAATTAGAAGCTGAAAGAGAGAGAGATCCCTCACCTGCTACTTCATTTTCCAAATGCTCATAATACTCATAGAGTAAAACCAGAACTAAGAATGGAGTTCAAGTGTCCCATTTTAGTTGGCAGGAACCCAACTACCAAGCTATTACCGCTTTGTGGAACCCCGGTTCTCATGTGGGATGCAGGTATTTTTTACCAGTGTCTTCACTGCTAAGTCAAACGGCTGCCCCATTGTCCTGCATAAGCACCTCCAAACTTGCTAATGCCATGATAACTTCCTAAGGTTGTTGATACTACTGCTTCATGAGAGACTCTCAAAGTATTCCTTGTTCTGTAGTCTCAGTGAACGTCTCAGACTGTCAAAAAGAAGGTACGTGAAGTTCTGATTTTGAGTTGTCATCTTACAAATACAGCAAGTAAGGGTGAAGACCATCCTTAACTCCACATACAATGAGCTCCAAACTAACAAACTGAAGGATATACCTGGGCTCAACTCTTCCTATTCCCTTTTCTATGACCTAAAAACTTCACGCTTTGCTCACTCAATTTATCAGCCCCAAATGATCACTATTCCTGAAGAGCAATCCAAGATTGACGAATTCTTCCTAGACTGTAAAATAATTTTCTAATGTTGCACATTTACTGATCAACAGTTTTTCAGGCATTTAGGCTGTTCTGTCACATAATGACTATAATCAGGACTTCATTTCAGGAATCAAGGTTTAAACAAAAGCTAGGAGTTCAAAAGAATAATTTATAGCAGAATATTATTCAACAAACAAAATTCTTACCATATTGAATTGTTGTTGCAGTTTTTCATTTGCATAATTTATGCAAAACTGTTCAAAACTATTTATCTCAAATGTTTCAAACCTGTAATACCAAAAATAAAGAAAATGATTCAGGTTTTAAAATATTTAAAGGGAGCATTTTAGCAAGAAATGGGAAATCCTCCAACACTGGGACTTACTTTCCACCTCCGTGAATACAAATGCCTATGAGTCAGAAACATGGAGTAAGGACTCAGCAGGTGAGCCCCAGCCAGGTGGGAGAAAGATTGCTTTATAAGTCATGTGGGGACATTCTGAGTTTTCAAGAGCTTTCTTACCCCTAAGTGGAAAGCTTCAGAATTATGGTAAAGTCACTGTGCTTAACAGGTTATCTACACACTGTGATACATGCACATAAAGGGAAATAAGAAAAGAAACTTTGCAGGTTCTTTGGAAAAACAAGCATAAAATGAAAAATTAGATATCAGAGAAGCCCAACGTACAGGGAGGCAAACTAGTAAATGGAATTACATTTTCAGAAATCTCAGTAATAATTTACTATATGAAAGTCTAAAGAAATCAATTAGTTTCCACCATCTTAGCAAACTAGCTCAGAATCTGAGCTTTTTTTTTTTTTTTAAATAAAGTCAGATACGGACGGAACCCCGCAGGGGTCTCGGCCACAGTCCCCACCGCAAGGCGGGGTCAGAGACCCCAGCCTTGGGCGGCCAGTGCACCAAGTGGTGCCAGGCTCTGCCTGCTGGCCACCCAGCGGCAAGCTCTGGGGTTTTGATGATATGAAATAGCTGCTTAGGGACACACATAATAAGACCACGTTAGCGTATGAGACACTAATCTGGTGACTCCCGACCCGGGACATGAAATCTTAATGCAAGTGTGTGACTGAGACCAAATGGTTCGGAGTAACAACCTTAGTCCACAAACATGACTGAACACAGGGTGCAGCTCAGGACATGCCAGCTTTGTTTGGGCTCCAACTGGTCCACATTAAAAGCACAGAGTTGAGGCCACTGTGTCCTAAGGCAGGGTTGTGACAGTGGTGGGCTGCGGTCGGTCGATACAGTTTCGTCTCCCTTGGCACAAATGTGGACTGGAAAAAAACGCACCGGGCCCGTCCAGGCCGCAACACCGTCGGCGCTTGGAGTACAGGGTAGATGCGGGCCAGACTAGCTAGGTCCCAACCCAACTGAGCCAGATACCGATCTAGATGGGCGTGGACGACCGTGGCTGCGAAACATCCTACAGCAAGAACCAGAATGGGATGATGCCATTAGGAAAGGTCACTGTTCTGCGAGACAGGAGGCCGACTGGCACATGGACCACTGGCATGCACGAAACCTGGCACATGGAGGGGTTCTGATGGAGGGCCCGGCAACCCTCTGGCAGGACACAGAACCCGAGGTTAGCGCACGAAACAGGGAAGTAACAGCCAAGAGGTCATGGAAAGTGTCCCACTGGCAGCATTTGGCATGGGTTCGGGGCACCCAGGCTAATCCTGTTTCATGTCATCCACTGGTAAATCCGTATGCCAGAACAGAGCCGTGGGTCGAACCAGGTCCGGTCGTGACAAAAGCAACACACAGTTTGGAATGCCAGGTGAGTAGCCCTGAGCCGATGCAGCGGCACACATGAGAACCAGGGAAGGAGAGGCAGAGCTTGACAGGGGACTAAGATGGTTCCCCCTAGCTGAACCGCAAGTTACATTGAGGAACGTGAGCTGGGTAGGGTAGACCAACCAGCAGGACACTGCCCTGCGCAACGCAGTGGACCAGATTGGTGAAAGCCAAGGCTGGGCTGACTATTCCCCCTGGGCAAGCTACAATCAGAGTAGGAGAGGGTTGTTGGGCTTGTCCGGACCTCAGCTGGCGGAAGCTTGGTACAAAGGGTTTAACGTCAAGTTGAACCACAGGCCAACTGGAGAGGGCACAACATGGAATGGGACGACCTGGGAGGGAAATAGTGGGCTCCTCCCTCTTGTCATCACCCTTCCCACGGGAGGGCATGGGAACTAGGACAGGGCTGGGTGGCTAGACAGACCCCCAACAACATCCGTTAGGACCTGGGGGGGGGGGTTGGGATGATGGTTGGATGGAGTAGTTGCAACACCGTTGGCAAGTATATAAACAGAAGGGTATTTGGACAGACCGACTAAAATGCCATACATATTGCAAGCCAGGGTAGGGTGGGCTGGTTGGGGTTACGGTGGGCCGCCCTGACTGGCTCTTGCAGCTCCACTGTATGTGCGAGGCCAAGGGTCCCGGGACCAGCCAGACTACAAGAGGACACGGGTGGAGACAGAACGACCCAGCAACTGCAAACCACCACTGATCGGGGCAATGGACGTGCGGCCCGAGGCTTCTGAACATGAGAATCTGGACTGGGAATACCTCAAAATTGCTTTTGAATCGCCCAGTCAGACACACTTCCAGATCCTAACCAAGAACAGGACAGAACCAGTCAAGCACAACTCAGCTATCTGCTGGCAGCAAAAATTGGCAAATTGAAACTCTATAAAGATGGACTGAGTCAATCAAATGGACTCTTCAACGACCACATGCGGGAGGTGGAGCGGCAGACGGGCAGCGACCCAAGAATGGTGAACTAATTGAACCACCTCAATCGCGTATCGCAGACATGCCTCACATCCGGGACTGAGTGGGTGGGAACTGGGTGGGGCTTCTTCCTCTATATCCCCCTTTAGGCCTTGAACCTTTTTTTACCCCAATTAAATATGTAAAGATTGTCAAAAAAAAAAGTTTGCAGGAGGCAAAAAAGAAAAAAAATAAAGTCAGATACACAGAGAGGAGGAGAGACAGAGAAAATCTTCTGCTGATTCACTCCCCAAGTGACCACAGTGGTTGGAGCTGAGCTGATCCAAAGCCAGGAGCCAGGAGCCTCTTTTGGTCTCCCATACAGGGGCAGGGTCCCAAGGCTTTAGGCCATCCTCAACTGCTTTCCCAGGTCACAAGTAGGGAGTTGGATGGGAAGTGGGGCCACAGAGATTAGAACCAGTGTCCATATGGAATCCTGGCGCATGCAAAGTGAGGACTTTAGCCACTAGGCTACCATGCTGGGCCCAAGCTACTGTTTCTAAGTTTTAAACAACATGCAATTCGAGCACCATCATCAATGCACTCTTGAGTTGTTATAAGGAATTGTTATGGTTAGAGCTTCCCTTCTTATTACCGATAGGAGACAAAAATCAAATGCCCAATGCGTTAGCAGAGAATCTCCATGGAGAAATGCTTTGTGAAAGAACACGAAGCCAAACACACTAACCCGTAAATGTCCAGCACGCCTATGAAGGAGTGCTGCTTGACAGCCGAATGCAGGGCCTGATTGACGTGATCCACAATCCAGTTGAAGAGCTTGGCGTAGATGTGCTTGGCTAAGGCATCGCGGGCGTTTGTCGCCTGAAGCTTGGAGATGGGCTTGATGTACGTCTCTGTGGCGGTAGCCAGCTTACGATGACAGAGCCAGTGACACATCTCCTCGTAGTCCACACCCATGAGATCACAGAAGATGCTGAGCGGTTCATGCTTGGGCTGCCAAAAAAGAAGGGGTTATTTTCTATGACGAGATCAGCTCAGGAAGAATTTCTTAGAAAGTATTAGCAATGAGGTCATGAACAGGGGCTGGCACTGTGGTGCACTGGCTTAAGATGCCACCTGTGATGCCAACATCCCAAATGAACACCAGTTCGAGGCCCAGCTGCTCCACTTCTGATCCAGTCCCCTGCTAATGTGCTTGGAAAAGCAGTGGAAGATAATCTATCTGTTCAGCTCTTTGCCACCCATGTGGTAGACCTGGATGAAGAATCTGGCTCCTGGCTTCAGCTTGGCCAGCTCTGGTTGTTGAAGCTATTTGGAGAATAAACCAGAGGATGAAAACTCTGAGAAAAGCTCTAGGCTCCTCTCCTGGCTTCAGCCTTGTACAGACCAGTCTGTCGGTCATTTGGTGAGTAAACCAACGATGGATGATCCCTTTTTCTGTTTCTCATTTTCTCCTGTAATTCTGCCTTGAGATTAAATTTTAAAAGTAAACGCTAAAAAAAAAAAAAAATTGTACTCTGCCCCTGCCCTTGCCCAGTCATGTGGAAGTGCAGGCCTAATGCATTCAAGAAAAACAGAAACAGTCCTTTTCCCTTGAATCTCCATAAAGATAGTTACAATTCCTTAGGACACACTCATTCACTCAATCAGAAAATCAGTCAACTAGCCACAAATATTGACCAGGTGCCTGTTCTGTGTCAGTACATGACACACACTGTCCCTGTTCTCCGAGAGCTTCCAGTCACTAAAAGCCAAACAACTGCCCCCCAAAGCGTAAAATAGTAGGCAGAAGGGCGCTCTGTTAGGTCCATGTGAGAGGAATGTACTTTATTCATGCAGACGGGGACATTTGCCTCTACACATGCGACTTGAAACCTGAAGCAATGGAAGGTATTAACCGGGTGCAAGGGAGCAGAAAGGGCTTTCCAGGTCAGGGGAAGTGCTGCTAAACATGTTGTGTGGCGAGGAGGAAACCATCAACGGGAGGAGCTGCAGATGAGGGAGGCAGAAAATGTGCCAGAAGAACTCCTGCACGTGGGCGGGGGTGGCACCACGGCTACTCTTCCCTTGAGGCAGAGCTCCGTAACCTGCTACTTCTTTGGGTCACTTCTTGGATTCGTCTCTCCTTCTCTTTTCTTAAGTTTTGTAGTTATTTATTCGAGAGGCAAAGTTACAGAGGGAGAGACATAAGACTTTTTTTTTAAATGATCAGATAGAATGTATTCAAAATATTGTTTGGGTGCTGGTTTGGTGGGTAACTGTAATGACTGATTGTCAGTGGTCATCGATGGGTGATCTTAGGGCACAACAAAGAAATTGCCTTTATTTGTAACCTGTTCTGTTTCTCAAGATGTATTTAATTACTTGATAGGCAAAGAGAGAGAGACACAGAAAGAGAGGGATCTTTCATCCCTTGGTTTATTCCCCCCAAATGGCTGCATAACCAGGGATGGACCAAACTGAAGCCAGGTGTCAGAAACTTTTTGGGGGTCTCCTACATGGATGACAGGGCCCCAAGTACTTGGCCCGTCCTCCACTACTTTCTTGGGCCTTTAGAAGGGGCTAGATTGGAAGGGGAGCAGGCAGAACATGAACCAGCACCTACATGGGATACTGGCTTCACAGGTGACAGTTTTACTTGCTATGGCACAAATGCTAACTTCAGATCTAGAGTTTTCAAATGACCTAAATATTCCAGTATCCCCTAAAATTATATTGAATTTTTGTAGGGCTTTTCTGAGTAGGTGCTTAACAATAATTTGCTTAATTTAATCACTGTTAGTGTTTTGCATTTTCAGCATGTCTGTTTTTCAAGCGTAGCAACTGAATCTGGTAACATTTCTGGGGACAAGGTAGAGCGAACATTGCTGTGTCCAAACAGTAAATGAGGAAGTAAGAACCAAGTAACCAAATTGCAATAAAAAAAAAAGTCACACAAGCCAAATTAGGTCTGGGCTGGCATTAGAACACTGGTTCTAACGCTAATACCTCCTATCTGGACCCTGCTTCTCGCTCCCTCCCTCTAAGTGATCACTTCAGATACAGATCAGCACTGCCACTAACAGCCTGGATCAATTCCCTTAAAGAAGTCACTTTTAACAAAGAAAAGAAAAGAGAGAGAGGTGGGAGGGGGGAAGGGAGAGAGAAAAAAAGGAAGGAAGAAAGGAAGACAGGCAGGCAGAATGAAAGAAAAGAAAGAAGGGAAGAAAAGAAAGGAGGAAGAAAGAAAGAAGATAGCACATACATAAGGGGTCTTTTAAAAAAAATTACAGAAAATGCCTGATTTGAAAAAAATACATGGATTTAAAGAAATTTTAACCAGAATAAACATAATTTAATTCCTGAACTTTCTGGAGCATACTGGACTATTTCTATTTCTCCATAAAATGAATAAAGCACTTATATATGCTAGAGTAGGGGTGGATAGTGAAGGAAGCCAGTCACAAAGGACCACATATTATTTGATTCAGTTTGTGTGACATGTCCAGAACAGGTTCATCTATAGAGGCGAGAAATAGAAACCACTGTTGCTTAGGGCCGGGGCACAGGGAAGCAATAGCTGAAGGGAAAAGAATTTCTTCATGAGATGATGAAAATATTTTAAGTTGAACTATGGAGATGCTTATACCTGTGAATGTATTAAAACATTTAATTATATACTAAATCCATCTATGTATAATAATTTATTACATATAAATTCATTTGTACTATCAATTATATTTCATATATGTAAGATAGTAAAAAACTAATATATCCAGAAAGAAGAGAATAGAATATTTTCTTATAAGAGTAAGGAATCTATTTTTATAAGAGGAATTATAGATCCAGGAAAAAAAAGAAAAAAGAAAACAAGAGTGAGTTAATGCAAGCCATCTAAATTAAGTCTTTTTAGTAACACTAGCATAGGAGCTAGTGCGATGGTGGAGCCGGTTAAGATGCTGCCTGTACTGCTGGCATCCATATGGATGCCGGTTTGAGTTCTCAGATCCCCTACTTCCGGACAAGCTTCCTGAAAATGGTCTGGGAAAGCATCAGAAGTGGCCCAGATGCTCAACCCCTGAAACCAGAGAAGAGGCCCAGATGAAGCTCCCAGCTCCTGGCTTCCACCTGGCTCAGCCCTGGCTGTTGTAGTCATCTAGAGATTGAGCCAGCAGGGGGAAGATCACTTTCTTTCTCTACTTCCTTTCCTCCTCCCCTCCTTCTCTGTAATGAATAGACAGATAATCTTTAAAAAGTCACACAGACATAGCGGTGGGCACTGGTACAGCAATAAGATGTGGCTTAGGATATCTGCATCCCATATTGCTATGCTTGAATTCAATTCCTGATTCTGCTCCCAATCCCAGCCTCTTGCTCATGCATACTCTTGGAGGAAGCAGTGATGGCTCAAGTAATCCCTGCCAACTCAATGTGAAGCTCTTTTTAGCTTCAACCTGGCCGAGCCCCAATGCAGTGGTCATTTAGGGCGTGAGCCAAGGACAGAAGATCTCTGTCTCCCTTCCTCCTCTCTTTCTCTGCCATTCAAATAGTTAAAAGTTTAATATCAAAATGAGTATCTCCATCTACAAAGACTTCACAATCCTAGAGAATAAATGCAAGCAAGGAAGAGTTTCATAGTACGATGGGATTGGAACTACCATAATGGAGATGATATCTAAGAAGACACGTTACCAGATGTGTATGTAACATCTGTTACTAGAAGAGTTGGCCAGAGAAAAGCAGTTAGTCCATCTTAGCAGAATCTACACAACAAAGGGGGCAAGGTAGCTTGGCAAATCAATGGGTTGAATGTGGAGAAGAAATTGTCAGAAATACAAGACTGACAATCTTCCAGGTGTGGAAAAGCACAGAAAGGTATTTGGCCTGTTCCTAAAGACAATGGGGGAGTACTGAAGGACTTAAGCAGGGGCACCACCCTTCACAGCTCTAACTTTTGTGTGCATCAGAGGTTAGAATCCATATTCTTTACTGTCAGTTTAAGATCTTCCTTTGGAAAATATAGCTTTTTGGCAGTCATCTCTCTGATAATGTTAAAATATAATGCTTTTTAGAAAAAAAAAAGTGTAAAAAACTGAAATAGAACGAACTACAGGTATTGAACATACAGGTATTGTGCAGCTGTCTGAATCTCTGGAGGCGAATCCAACATTGCCTAAGTGAAGGATCCCAGCAAGTATTCGGAAAATTCCCATTTGGTAAGATTCACTAATGCCTGCAACAACAGAGCAAATACACAAGCGATTAATTTCAGAATACCAACTAAACAATCTTAGCAGTTTTAAGCATCTTGTCAATTCTTTAATTATTGCCAGATGGTGCACACATTTTAATGTGTCATGGCTAACCACACTTTCATCTTTGTGGACATGAACACATTAGGTCGTTTAGTACCATGATGCATGACAGACCTGGCGTGAGGCCTGGCTCTGCTAACTGCCAGCCATCCCACCTGTGCAAGTGACTTCACTCTCCTATGCTTCCATTTCTTCATTTGAGATATGGAGTTAATGGTGACCACTCTAAACGAAGTTTGTGAGAATCGCATGAGATAACGCAAATACTACTCTTGACATACCATGTGACAGAGGCATGATCATCACCACAGCCAAACCCTGGATTTCAGCACGTTGTAACACTGTCACCATCTCTGCTCGTTGCAGCTGTGCCCTGGCCTCATAAACAGGCATCCACATGGGTCATTTGGGCAGCATTTGAAGAATAAAATAGAATGAGAAACCTGCAGAGCCTAGGCCTTCACCTGATCTGGCTTCATTCTTTCCATAGCATTTCAGAAGAGTAGACTTTCTTACATGGAAATAGTAGTAAAGTTATTTCCAAGTACATATCCTTACAAAGAATAATTAGGAGTCAACCTTATAAGGAATGTTTTTTTCATCTCCGATAATATGGTTTTTGTAAATGCCTAAGTATCTGTCTACAAAGAGACTTAGGTCTAGAAAGAATGTTTTTCAAATGTTGAAATGCATAGAGATCACTAGTAGATCTTGTTAAGATGCAGAGTTTAGGTTTCCAGCAAGCCCCACAGTACCCATGGACCACAGTGGTGATGATCAATGCTTTTAAATTAAATTAATTCATCTGAGAGGACTGCTCAACATTGCAACACATGAATTTGGGCTTGTTAATACTTATATTCTAAGGATTCTTTTAAAAATAATTCACATCTCTTTGGAAGTTGGGAACTACAGTTTCAAAAATTAATACAGTCACAAGTAGATTCAGCAAGAAACAGGAGAGTGATCTCTGAGCTTTTATAAAAATTCTGCCACAAAGTGCATATGACAGACTGCTCTGCCACCCAGCCACGTTGCCTAGCCATAAAAGAACCAAATAAACAGAACAACAGACTCTCTCCTGCCAGGTATGAGCTGCACAAGAACCCATTTCACTTAGGTTTAGAGTCCATAGTTTTGTTAAATTTTAAACAAATAATTACATCTAATCCTACCTCTCCAGATGCCCATAATGTGTTTTAGAACAGCTTTACTCAGGGATAATCACATATAACACAATTCACCATTTTAGTGTGTGATTCAATGACTTTTAGTAAATTTACCATCACAGCAATCTAATTTTAGAACAAGTCAGTGTCCCTGAAAAGATTCCCTGTGGCCATTTACCATGTAAACATTGTCTATAAGGAATACTAGGTCCCCACGCAGTACCCAACACTTCACACAAATCAACTGACGTTCCAAAGAAAGGCTGCCTGAGTCAGAAAGCATTGCTGGTAGGAGCTGGAACGAAATGTCATTACCTAGCAACGTGCAGGCCTGCCTCGTGTGTGCCATCTCCTTGGCATCATCCACTCCTTCTATCACAGGGCTGCCGCCTTGACTGGTATAATGAAAGTTATTTGCATTTCCTGCATTGAGGGAAAAGAAAAGTTTTACAGTCTCCGAAAAATCACTGACTTGTATCCCAATGTCCACTTTCTGAAGCAGTACCAACATAAATGTCCACGGTTTGCAGGTTGAATACCTATGTTTTTCAATTATATTTTATCACTAAACGAGAAGTTAAATAGTGAAGTGGAATGCTGCAGTTTATTTAACTGTGAAATGGACAGGTTCTTTCTAAAGGCTCTGTTAGGATATTTTCCTTAAACATTTTACTCCTCTTGACAGAAACTCTTTATGCAAAAAGGGGTTGTTTTTTTCTTTTTCTTTTTTAATCCAGGCAAAGTTCAAGTACATGCAAAAGTAGAGACTAGTATAACCAAACTCTCTCTAACCATCCGTGTTAAACAAGTATCACCACAAGTCCAAACCTGTCCCATTTATAGCCATTCTGTCTTCCCCACCCCTGCGGCTACACCACCTCGTACACTGCAGGACTTGTACATTTCATGTATCAAGGTTTCAGTATGAAATACACTCCTTTTGAATAAGCAAGTTTGAGAATTCAAACATTAACAGAAGACAACACCAGCAAAATAAAGCTAACCCCAGTTTCATACCTAATCGCAACATTTTAAATTCAGGTATGTTTGCGGAGGCACAAAGTTGATAGAAGATATGATAGTTTCTCTCCTCTTCTGCCTTTGAAATAAGAAGAGTTTTTAATTATGGCATTTTAAAATTCACAAATCTTATCACAAAATAAAAGTTCAATGTGTAGTTATCTCATTTGGTAAGATAGATTGTACTTTCCCAAAGTTCTTAATATTGATGAGTGACTTTATGACTTATAGCTTATGCACATATGTGTAGGTATGTATGTGTTGGTGATATTCAACATATCTACTGCTGATGATTTTTGAACTGGTGAACAACATGGAAACAGCTATAAGATGTGAGTGTTTTGGGAATAATGTAAACCTTTTGCTTTTTTTTTAATACTCAATACTGCTTTCCAATGATACCTCTTAAATTCTTCTTAACAATGCAAATGATAAAGAATAACTATATCTTTGTTTTATTTTACAGTTGACTATCTACTTTTTGTATATGAAATCCACAAAACACTGTATCATATACATCATGATAGCTTATTGCAAAATAAATATTTTATAAAATAGAAAATAAGGCATTTATAATTCTAAAATCACGCCGCAGTCTTTCTCCACATATACCTAAAAAAGCAGTTGCAATAATGTTCAGGATGGGTGCTGTAGTACAATGGATTAAGCCATTGCTTGGGATGCCCACATTCCATACTGGAGTACCAATTCAAACCTTAGATACCCCAGTTGGGATCCAGCTTCCTGCTGATGCATGCTGGAAGGCAGCAGGTAACAGCACAGGTGCTTGGGTTTGTGTCACTCACATGGGACAGCCACACTGGGTTCTAGGTTGCTGGTTTGTCTGACATGACCTGGCCGTGGCTGTTGCAGTTATTTGGGGAGTGAACCAGTGAAACAAACTCTCTTTCTCTCTCTCTCTCTCCTTTAATTTCCTTCTCCTTCTCCCTTAGCTGCTTTGCTTTCAAAGAGATTAAAATAAGCATTTTTGAAGACACTGCTCATATTAAACTAAATTGCAAATTTAGTTTATATATTCTATCATCATATCCTTGAAGTCTGCACTGTTTTTGGTTAGATAAAGAAAAGTATTAATAAAGCTGTCTGTCAGATTTGATGCCTAAAGAGGGCTGATATCTGTCAAAGATAACATATTACAGGAATAGAAGATATTGAACAATTACCAATTTATTAATAATCCAAAGTAACAAGTAATTCAGCACATAGAAATGTAGACAAGCAAGTGGGTATGCACACATGCTCAGGTGTTCTTGTACATAAAGGAAAATATCTTGTACATAAAGGAAAATTTCTGACTATATGATTCATTTCACATAATCAGAAGACTATGTGAAAACCTAAGACCGAGGAACAACTAGAATTGTTTCAGTGTCTCTAGATAAAATAATAAGGATTAGGCCCTACCATTTTGTATTAAGCATCTCTAGCCTTTGGCCAACATACTAGGAACAGCTTTTCCTACCGACTTCATCTTTTCTTGTTTACCAATGAATCAAATCTCTACTGTTGGGATTTGATTTTCTCTCAGGTTTAACTGCACACAGTTTTTCTTCTGGCTATACTACATACTTCAGAAAAAAAAAAAACTACAGAAGTATAACACTGCTCTTTGCGTATCCAGATATTGGAATAACAGTGGCAGATGACTACTGTCTCATTATTTTAATCAAGCACTACATTTGAGGTGGCCAAAACAACTCCAAAAGCAAAGTCAAGGTAGTGGCAGTCTGCTCAAAGCCACAACTTGTGGTATTTCCCAGACACTTTGAAAACAATAATCAAAGACTCTGGCCAATGGAAGCTGTGAACCCACTTCATGGTGCTGTTAAGGGTATCTGACCCTCAGTGCAGTGTACATCCAGTTAAAAGGCCACTGAAACCCCACATCTCAAGCCTGAGGAGTGCAGTGCATCACCAGGGGCTCTATAATGCAAGTTTTCCAATGATAAACCTCTTAGTACGCCTGCTAATGCATAAACGTATCCCAGCTAGTGAGGTAAGTGTATGGTATTTTGTACTTCTACCAAAAAGGACTAGCGGCATTATGTACAAACACAATCCACACTGATGCAGCAGCAGCTGAATGAGGATTCTGACAGCAGTTCACAAGTAGGTTTTGAAGTGTTTTTTTTTTTTAATCTTGGCTATTCCATCTAAATTGTGCCATATTCTGAGTGAGGAGGAGGAAGAAGAGAGGACAAGATATTTTTTTGTTTGTTTACGTTCAAAGCACAATTCACTAAAGGGATAGAGGAATACTTTTTCCATCAACTGGAAAACATGAGAAGCAAGACTAAACTAATAATATCTGAAGTTTTCCAATAAGCACCTGTAGAAAAATGTTATAATTATGAAACCTAACTCAATGCCTAGTCCCAAGGACTGTTAGTCTAGAGGCCATTTCACATGTTCAATCCAGGTGTGGTTAATAGTAGAGAACATACCCAAGGGGATCTGGAACAAAGTGAAAACCAGTAACTGCAATTATATGATAATTTAATACAAGAAGACATGTGTACCTGCCCAGCTTACCTGGAACACCACTCTGGATTTCTCTAAAAGGTAAGTTCTCATATTGGCACCAATAATCCGATATCTCTTGTCAAAACCAATTTCAATATATTTCCCAAAACGACTGCTATTATCATTCCTGGTTGTTTTAGCATTTCCAATTGACTAGGAGGCAAAAGAGAAAGTAAGCTTGTAGAAGTACAATCAATGACATGACACAGAGTTTGGGAAGAAAAAGAACAAAGCAGAATACAATTCCTTGGAACATATTCTTTTAAGAACATAATGAGTTTAACACCGCAAGCACAGGAGTTTGTCTTATCTGCTACACAACTACACAGAAATATTCTCATAGGTATTATTTGTCTTGTTATTTTCACAAAAATTATTTTCAGCAACAGCAAACCTGAGCCCAGCAGATACAACATTTTCACACACCATTTGGCATCTTATCTGGTGCTATTTGGCATCTTATCTGGTGCTATTTGGAGTCCTGGCTACTCTACTTTTGATCCATCTCCCTGCTAATGCACCTTGGAAAGCAAAGGAAGATGACCCAATTTCTCGAGCCTCTGCACCCATGTGAGAGGCTCCTGGCTGTGGTCTGGCCCCTTGCAGCCATTTGAGAAATGAATCAGTGGATGGAAGATCTCTCCCCCTGTTTCACCCCCATGCTCTCTGCCATTCTGTCTTTCAAATAAATAACACATTTAAAAAGATTTATTTACTTTAGAGAAGGAAAGACAGAAAGATCTTCCATCTTAGTTCACTCCCCAAATGGCTACAACTACTGGACCTGAGCTGATCTGAAGTCAGAAGCCAAAACTTCTTCCAGGTCTCCCATACAGATGCATGACCCCAAGGCTTTGGGCCATCCTCAACTGCTTTCCCAGGCCGCAGGCAGGGAGCTGGATGGGAAACAGCAGCTGAGACACAAACCAGCTCTCATCTAGGATCCCAGCGTTTGCAAGGTGAGGATTAGCCAATTAAGCCATCATGCCAGGCTCCAATAAATGAATATTTTAAAAATGTTTGATTCCTTGAAAAAATTAGTGTTTTATGTAAATAAGATGGTTAGCACATATTAGCACTTTTCTGAAATTTTGTTCTGGCATTCAGGATCTCTTTAGCCGGAAGATTGCATCATCTGATTCTGTGGAAACAAGTGTCTAGTGGAACTGCTTATTAGCACATGAATTAGTATTATACAATCAGTTGAAATAGCATTTTCTGAAACCAGAGGAAATAGAATTTGGCTTTGCATTCTGTTATTCACAACTACCTTGGAAAACATCTGTTTCAGGGTGCAGAGAATATAACTTTCTACTAAATTTTTATATATCCTTAAAACTTAAAGTGGCATATATCTTAGTTGTGATTCAGGTAACATACTGCTATACATTTTTCTTTTAATGGAAAGCAAAAAAGATAAGAGTAGTAATATAGCAAGTGTTCACACAATCCATGTATTAAAGTCTGATAAAGTAATTTCATAAAAGATTAATAACTTTCAGGTGGGCAAAGTCTACTCAAGTTAACACAATAAAAATCTAAAAGATAAAATAGTAGTAATGGGGCCTGTGCCATGGTATAGTAGGCTAAACTTCCACCTATGCTGCTGACATCCCACATGGGTGACAGTTTGAGTCCTGGCTGTTCCACTTTCAATCCAGCACCCTGCTTATGGCCTGGGAAAGCAGCAGAAGATGGCTCAAGTTCTTGGACCCCTGCACCCATGTGGGAGACCCAGAAGAAGCTTCTGTCTCCTGGCTTCAGATTGGCTCAGCTCTGGCTATTGAGGCCATTTGGTTAGTAAAGCAGTAGTTGGAAGGCATTCAAATAAAAATAAAATGGGTATTTAAAAAACACAAGAATGAACACATTATATTCTCTGATCAAGCAAAGAAAATGTCTCTTTTATGCAATAGAGGGCAGCTACTCTATTTTGTTTTGTAATTGAACACACTGCTATATTTTAAATTAGTGTTTTTTAAATGATTTTCAAGAACAATAAAGATTATTGGAATCTCTTCCCAGCAAAATTATAGGGCTCTCATATACCCTGAGCTGATTTAACTATTCATTTATATATTTTTATTTTTAATATTATAAATATCATAACAAAGTCTGTATACATCCCCACAATTTTTATGTCTTTTAGAAAATGAAATTAGATACAAACATGGAATTATCTCCCAACACAAGGCACTCTATCAAGAACAGAAGACCATGCAGTAGAAGTAGCAGCAAGAGGGGTATGTGCTAGATGCTGGTCATTGTCTCAGCGCTTTCCTGCCAATAACCAAGCAAGCTGGGGAAGGGCGATCCACAGTTACTTCTACTTCCCACTCAGCCCACCTCCCGGATGCCACCTCTCCTCAACCTCTCAGACTGGAGACAAGAGGGGACAATTTACCAAAACAATACAATTCTGTGAGAAGGGCAGGCAGTAGGCTAGCGTTAAAGTCAATCTTCTCATCACTGAGCAAAAAGTGCTTCTCCATGGAACAGATAAAACAGAAGACTACAAACCTGGGCATCAGAAGAGTCCCTACCACCAATATGCTATCAGTTATGTCTCCAAGAAGCATTTAGTGAACTCAACCACAAATGAACAAGGATGGTTGAGCTCTAGGGTTCAACAGAAGGAAGAAAGATCAGGAAGATGCATGTGGCCCAGCTGTCAGAACACCCACATACCACCAGCAAGTGCCTGGGTCTCATCCCCAGTTCTGCTCTTTACTCCAACTTCTTGCTGTTACGCACACTCTAGGAGGCAGCAAGAATGTCTGAAGGAACTGGGTTCCTGCCATCCACCTGAGAGACCCAGATTGGGTTTCTAGCTGCCAGCTTTGGTTCTGTGAGAGCCACAGTGGGCACTGGGGAGTGAACCAGCAGTACAAGTTAGTTTTTGGATCAGAAGCAGTATAGTTGGGACTCAACACTTTTCACTTCAAAATGGGATGCAGGTGAACCAAGTGGTGGCTACACCACAACACTCAGTCCATAATTAATTAATATTTTTAAATCACCTTACTTTGGGGATGGCATAACGGTATGGCAGGAGCATCTTTGCCAGTGATGCTGGCATCACATAGGAGTGCCAGTTTAGGCATCAACGGTTCCATTTTCTATCCAGCTCTCTGCTAACATGTCTGGGAATTCAGGGGAAGAGGGCCTATGTTTTAGGTCCCTGTCGTCTACTTGGGAGATCTAGTTAAAGTTCCTGGCTCCTTGCTTAGAACTGGACCAGTCCACAGTTGTTGTCACCATTTGCGGAGGGAATCAACAGATGGAAGGTTTCTATCTCTCCCTCTCTCTGTAACTCTGCCTTTCAAACAAATAAACACTTTAAACAATCACATTATTCTAAACAGTGTACCTGACACCAAAAGAAAGTTCTCTAGATGACCAATACCTTTTGTATCTTCCATCCAATTGCTTCTCCTGATTAACAAATACTAAATTCACAAGACACTTTAATGGGATTTTTCATTTCAAACAGTAAGAAACTGCTAAAGAAAGGAAGCTTTGTGATTTTGATCTTACTACTGATTTTAATGAATCATTGCACGAATTACTCTTCTTAATGGAGATAATAATCTTTAACTGCAGTTATTAAAAATAAAAGAACTATTCAGATACACAGTGCCTCCAAACCTTCCCTGTCCCTGTTTTATGGTGAAAATTTCCATGAGAAAAAGGAAATTTGATGGAAATATAACAAAAGTAGTAACTTTTCATACGTTGTTCTTATTTTGGAAAACGAGACCATTTTGAAGAGCAGAAGCTTCCTCTCTAACAGGATAATATGCAAATTCCCCTAACCAGTTAATGACGCAATAAACGTTTCAATAGATTGCCAGAGACTTGGACATTCCAGTTATAAGAAGGGGGAGCTCTGATATGCAGCTGTTTCTGAGGCAGGTCTAAGCTACCAGGCTTCTCAACTGCACCATTCTACACTCAGTTGTTACCTCTGTTTGCTTCTAGGAACTACACTTTTGTCACCATTATTCAGCCCGTATTCCAAACCTGCAAACTGAGATATCCTCTTTCATAGGTGTCAAAAATCATTTTTCAAACTCTTTAGCAGATCCCTTTTTCTTTTTCTGTTTATCCCAGTAATAGAGCAAATTCCTTATAAGTGATTGTTTATAAAGTAACATCTGTGTCCATTCAAAAATTTTTAACCTCATTTCTACTTACAGCTCAAATCTCCATTTGACATTGTGATTAAGATTCTACCTAGGATCGATAGCTTTATTCAAATAAATAAAAATTAAAAAAAAAACTAGTTAGGATGCTTTTCCAAAGACATCATATAATAGGTTATTAAACTTCTGGCATATTCTAAAGGTGCATTCCAGATATAGGTTATCCTCTAGACTTCTTCAAATCCTCTGTATGATGTAGAGCTGGGGGAGGTGAGACTCTCTAATGCCGTTGCATTAAGCCTTTGGGATATTCTAACATCAGGAACTAGAATGGTCTGAACTGTTGCTCAATATCAAGAACACACTGTCATGATTAAAACCAGTACCAACAACGGTAGGAGGCAAAGCCCTGCTTTCTTTCTGACCTCAAACCAAAAGATGCCTCTCAATTAACAGGAACATCCACTATCATATCTGTGATTTAAACTTGTTCAAAATTTTAAAATTTGATTAAGATCTTCACTGTTCTCTTTCAGCACAACCATCTGCTCCTTCCTGACCATGCCATTAAAAAAAAAAAGATTCTCATTTTCTTTCAATAGAACGCTCAGCACAGAATGCCTCTCAACTCCCCCCACCTAGCTTCTGCGGATCCCAAGAATCGCTGTGTTGCTGTAAAAGGCAGCTCTATAGACAAGAGGTCACGGCACTCTCTTGTGAAGTGTCACACACAGCACTGCAAAGCAGGCACAATTACCTCCAGACAGATTATTGCAAAACCACAGGTGCATTATTGTACCACAGGTGCATCAGGCCAGTTTTAACTCCATCTGTGTTTGGATGACAAATAGGGCTTGACGGGGGGAGAAAAGACAGGAATAAAACAATATTCATCTGTGTTGTTAACAAGAAAGTTTCGTTTTTGCATATCCCAACTGATTTCTCTCCATTTAATTAGATGTATTTTCTCTCTATCTAATGAGACTTACTGTAAGACTACCACTTTGGTAAAGTCCTATTAATATACAAATAGTCCTCTAGTTAGAATTCTTAACATCTTCCAGGTCTCCCACAACCAATTTCATTTTGTTTGACACACGCATTTCTACTCTGTTTGTGTATTCAACTTTTGAAAGTGCACCCATGAAGTTCTTTCCCTCTCAGGAATTTTCTCCAAGTTCCTGAATTTGTTATGCTAACCTACAGCTGTTTGATATGTTTGGCAGAAAGAGAAGTTTCTTAAGATCATAGGCTGTTTATAGCTCACATCTGGAAAAATTTTAAACTTAGAGTCAACAAGTTGGATAAGCATTGAGATGTGGGCAAAGGAATAATGAAGATGGTTCATGCTTCGGCATAGTGAATCGATGTTTTGGAAGGAATATAAATGTGAATTCGGGACTGATGGCAGATAAACAAGAAGCACTGACGATACAAGGAGCAGCAGATAGAAAAGCAACTAACAAGGATAGAAAAGCTTTAGAAGATGAGGCACTGCCGCCTGGTATTCAAAGGCAACAATTCAGTTTGTAAGTGAAGAATGCAAGGTTATAGGCTGATTCCTCTCTAGTAGTGCTTTACTCAAAACATCCACTTGAATGAATTTTCATTTTTTCCTAACAAAAAAAGTTTTCTATTCTTAGAGCCCGGGAGACAGATAGCTATCTGATACATGATTTACCAATTAATTTTTTTTTATCTTTCTTAACAAGAGAAATACACTAAGAAGGCCGAGGACGCTGTTTTCTTACCTCCATGATGGGGTTGGAGGCCAAGACCTTCTCTTCCACATTGGCCTCGCTGGCAGAACCACTGACGGTGGCAAAGTAGCGCATGGCGTACTTGGCAGAGACTGTTTTTCCTGCCCCAGACTCTCCGCTGACAATGATGGACTGATTGCGCTCATCTCTGGAAAACAAAGGAGAGTAACTGCTAGTGCTGTGCACTCCGGAATCTGACTCACTACTTCCTTCTGCTCCCATCAGCGAGGCACAGTGCGGCTCTGCTGCTACAAAGATGCAACAATGTGGAAAGCGAAAGAAGAATGAGGCTTCCCACCTACAATAACTACTTGCGAACTAAAAATGAACAGAGAGGAAAAAGGCAAAATCAAGCACTAAATCAAAGAACATCTTATCTAGAGATGAACCTACAATAATGTCTGAAATTTTGGGTGTGTTTATAACTCAAACATATTATTTTATTCCTAAGGACTTACTTGGCTATCTCATGGTACAGCTGTCAACCACATCAGAAGAGAAAGGAGATATTCTTTGGATTGAAACTGACAAAATTACTTGAAGTATTTTAAACTCCCCACTAACAGACCATCTATAAAGTGGTGTCTCCCACAATCTCCAGTTCCTACCAAATACCCTCAGTGCTATAGAAGAAACAGCCCATTTGCAGCTGATTTCATTCAAGCAGATCAGGCACAATTCATGCCTGAAGATGCAGTGTAGGTACAGGGACCACTGTGGGTGCACTTACAGACTTTGCTTCTTAGACCCCAGACTAATATTGGATCTTCAACACATTCACACAATGAGTTAAAAACTCTAAGGAAAATTTCCAAAACTTTCACTTTAATCGTATTTCTTTTTTTTTTTCAAGGTTTATTTATTTTTATTGAAAAGGCGGATATACAGAGAGAAGGAGAGACAGAGAGGAAGATCTTCTGTCCAATGGTTCACTCCCCAAGTGACCACAACAGCCGGAGCTGAGCTGATCCAAAGCCAGGAGCCAGGAACTTCTTCCAGGTCTTCCACATTGGTGCAGGGTCCCAAGTCCTCGACTGCTTTCCCAGGCCATAAGCAGGGAGCTGGATTGGAAGCAGGGCTGCTGGGATTAGAACTGGTGCCCATATAAAATCCTGGCGTGTGCAAGGCAAGGACCTTAACCACTATGCTATCATACCAGGCCCTAATCGTATTTCTAATACCCAGCATTCACTCCACATCCTGACAAATCACAAATGTTTAATCAACATATAATAGTTATACAAGAATAGAACTTTGATAAATCTCTGCTTTGGCTACTAATTCTACTAGGATAGAAGTAGGAAATTTCCTTTTTTTTTCCTTTGAGATAAAATAAGCAGTAACTTTAATTCAGCAGAACAGCTGGACAAGCACATAAAAACAGAATTATCTGTGCCCTAATTTGCAAAGAAAATACATGACTTCAAGGGTAGTTGTGGAACTAGCCCTACAAGGTCACAGATAAGCATTGCAGGAGACGGTCATTCTATTTTTTTTTAAAAGGAGAGTTGCCTAACAAATATTTATTGAACATCTTCTCTGTGCTAAACATTGTGCTAAAAACTACAGATATAAGTGAAATAAGCAGTGATTAATGTCCTTGTTGTGCTTGTTGGTCTATCAGAAGATACAGACCAGTGGAGACAGACCGGTGAACCAGGATTATAATATGTGTGATGGGGCATTTGGAAGAAGAGTGGATTAAGGGGATTCCTAGAAATCTCATCTGATCATGCTAGTAAGAGAAGAAGGAAAAGGGAAGCAGAGAAGGAAGGGAACTTTCCAGCAAAAGCAGATTATAGAAATGAAGGCACAAAATCTTCTTTCTTATAATGTGGGGAAGAACCCCAGCTGTAGGCAATTACCTAGGTTGCCTTGTACCTAGGCAAGAAATTAGAATTTTACCTAACTATCACAGGATGCCATTCCAGAGTTTTACACAGGGAGGAACAAAGCCATCCACTAGTAAAATTGTTCTGGAAGTAATCTGGACATGGATGCAAGAAATCCACATGTAATATTATGAAAATGCAAACAACATTGTAGTTGTCAGCCCTGGGAGAGGGAGATAGATTTGAGACATATCAAAGCAGTACAATCAACAGTACTTGACAATAAATATCCAGAGTACAAACTGAGGACTTCTCTAAAGAAAAATTTCCTTTTTCATTGAGAGTTGTCTTATTTTTCAGTCCCTGAAAAACATAGAGGTACTACCCAGTTCCGTGCCTGATTAAATATATTCACATCAAACTACCAGGGCCACACAGTAGCCTGTTCCTCACTTAGGCTCCTGTATTGCAGGGACAGTTAGCAGGACCAACATGACACTCTAAGAAATGACTATCTCCTATGGAACAAGCTCGCATGTTATTCCTGTTTCTATGGAACACCCTTCAATCTCATGTTTGTATCATCTCTTGTATTTGAGTTTCTACAAGGAACCGCATACTCCCATTGTCACTGTTTGCTCATGGCTAGTTTAAGATAGACCACGTCAGTAAAATAGTTTTCATTATATTGCCAAGGTCTTTTTTAAAAAGTTATTTAAATAACTTAAAGATATATTAAACACCCTAACTTTTCAACACATTAATCAAGGGTCAGTATCAACTGTCTTTGGATTCCCTTCCAGGAAATGGTCAGAGAAAAGAACTTCCCTCATTGCCACCTGATTAATCCATGTCACTACACCCCAGGTGATAACTTGACAAAATTCCCACCCCCACAGCTCTTCCATTAAAAAAATATATTAATGGTAACTGCTATTCTAAACTGTACTGCCTTTGAAAAGCTAGTGTAAGTCCCAAAGACAAACTATTTTATCAAGAAAAAATCTAAACATTTGAGTGTTAATAGTTATTTCTTATAATATGAGGAAGAACCCCAGCTGTAGGCAAGTGTTACACTACACTGTTGAACCTAGGCAAGTTTTACACTGCCTGGGTAAAAAAGTAAGTAATAGTTTGAGGGTATTTGGGGTCTGGCTAATGCCAAGTTTGTGCTAACTATACCAGTGTGGCAGAATAGTTGCCTATTCTATTTATTTGTTTATTTTAAAGATATATGAGGAAGGCAGAGGATGCCACCTTGGTGACCAGGCAGGAGTACTATAGATAGCCCTAGGAAAAGGGTCTGAAGACACACTGAAATGGGAGCAGCTGAAGGCATGTTTGCAGGGAAGTAACAAGATATGTGGTCTGACCTTGAAGACTTCTGTAATCTTCCACAGACTGAGTCCCTGCACTTGCACATGGGCAAGGGAGCTCAGACAGAGGGTTTAGAGCTGGGGGTAGGGAGGTGGAGAACCAGAGGACATGCTAGGCTCAGGCCAAGGCACCCACATGGGAGACATGGGCTGGGCTAAATAACATCACACACTGCCCACTGGCACATGCAAAAACTGGGGATATGCCTGGCTAGCGCAGGCCACAGTATCCACTTACAAATGTGGGAGCAGGAGATGGGCCATGTCAGGCTGGGCCACAGCATCCAAAGGCACATGTGAGATCTGGGGCTGGGAGTAGGCCTGGTAGGGAAACATGGGGAACTCTCCCGCTAGATTGAATCTCTGTTGGTAAGCAAGAAAGCTGGGTTGAGCTGTGGGCTGGGCTGGGACAGTCAACAGCACAAAATGACATGAGCAAGAGCCCAGATGGGACACAGACCAGGTTGAGTTGGATAGTAACATCCACCAGTTCACGAGGTCTGGGGGTGGGTCAAGCCTGGCTAGGCAGCAGCATCCACTGACAAGTGACAGGAGTTGGGCGTCAGTCATGACAGGTCCGAGATCTGGGACTGGGAGTAGGCCTGATAGAAGAACTGGGGACACTCCCTTGCTTGGTTTCAGCTCCTGCTGGTGAACATGAGAACTAGGGCTGGGGATGGGTTAGGCTGGTCAAAGCAGAATCATCAGCCAGCATGTATGTAGGCCAGGTCTGGGGGTGGGTCAGGCTGAGCTAAGCTGCAGTGCCCATGGGTATACACAAGAGCCAGATGAGATATGATGGACTAGGCTGGGTTGCAGCACATACAAAAACTGGGGGTAGGAGGGAGTGGTTGGGGGATTGCCTGATTAGGCTCCAGCACCCGCTGGTGTGTGAGGACTAGGTTTGTGGTGGGCTGGACTGGGTTAGGCCACAGAACCCATCAGTTCACGTGAGCAGTGAGGCCAGGGCAGAAATGACAAGATAGCTGCATTCACCACTATGTGCATTGGCTTGTGCAGGTGATGGAATGAATCTGAGCTTGCACTGGCTGGCACACATGAGAGTCAAGCCTGAAGTTACCCCAGCTGAGATTTCTTGGAGGACACCCCGACTAGACCACTGGACTGAAACTTTGGTCACAGGGAAAAAAACAAGATATGTGGTCTGACTTTGAATTGCATGTGTAAGGACTGGGACTCTTCAGTTGCTGATGCCTGTGCAGTGGGCAACATACCCAGATGCACAACAGGGAACATGACTGCCAGATAATCTAGGCCAGCAAAGGATGCTGAGTGCCTCCTCAGAGGATGGAAAGCAGAACAGGCTGTAACACTCTCCTGGTCAAGCTTTACAAAATATTCCTAGGCCTGTGGATGCACTAAAAGTGCATCTATTGGTCAGCCAATAGATGGAGGAGAGATTTTTTTTTTAACACTGATGCAATGAAATAGACGATGTCTCAGAACTACCAAAGCCACTCAAGTAACATGTTCAAAGTACTCTTCCCCACATCAGGGTCTCTAAGGTGTCATCAAATGACCATTCCCCCATCCCTGGGTGCTTATGGAGTTTGATAGCAAGGAGTAGCTGCCTTCTGTCCCTGCCCCACCCCATCACTCTCTGCAGACACAGAGGAAAAGAATAACTGAAACATTTGTCCTACCCACATTCCTCTATATCTTGACCTCCCTCGCCCTAATTGGAGACCTAGATGGGCATGCATTCCTCTCAACTATGTAAACAATAGTATAAAGAAAAGAAAATGATTGCCACAGTCAGGCAGATGAACATCTCTGTCTCTCACAGTTGCTCCTCATGGATATGTGGTGAGACTACTCAATATTCAGCACAATTATTAACTGTAGCCACTGTGCTACATTTTTGCTCTCCCAAATCTCCTCCTGTTATACCCTTTGAACACCTCTGCATCTCATTCACT